AGAGCAGTGGGGATGACGATGACGGTAACGACAATGGCGAAAGCGTATCGAGGGATCTTGATCAAACCAGGAATAAGAGTCTGGAAGTTAAGTGTAATGGCGTACATTGTACCGCCAGTGTTGCCCAACAGAGTGAGAGATAGAATAACAACCACGAACTTTCCAAAGCCACCAGCGCTAGAAAGCATAGCTGCGAGAACGCCTCCTACTGCTGTTTCACCGTATGCTTCTGACCATTCAGGGACATTTGGAAGAGCTCCAGCGATAGCAGCTCCAAGAACCATGAGGAGAATGGTGGGTGTGACGAGGCCGAGGTAACTGTACGCAAAGACCCGCCACGAGGGAACCTTGGGATCGAAATATGTCGTAAGATCGCTTGCGATGGCTGCCCAGGGAATCATGTAACTCGCAACAATCATTCCAAAGCTAAGAACTGCTGCTGCAGTCGCTGGTGCCGCAGGAGGAGCCTGCTTCGAAAGCTCAGAACCACCGCATCCTGTAGCAATGGTGATAGCGATGATAGCAGGGATGAAAGCATAAGTCTCGTAGTAATGCAGAACCTTGAATCCACAGAATGAGATAAACAGTGACAAAATGCCAATAATGACAATTCCGACGTCAGGGCTCAGGTGGCCGCTTGACACAGCGGAGAGACATTGTCCGCCGACGACAAAGATAATGACCATGAAACCAGTCAGAGTGGCGAGGTTGAGAAGAACAGGGATAGAGACGAGATATCGACCAAAGCTATATCTCGCCTGAATCATCTGTCTCATTCCCGTTTTAGGACCAAACGTAGCAAGATATGCAGGCCCGATGGTTGAGAAGAGGCAGAAGAAGAGGATAATGAGCGCAGAGTCTCTCAAGCCTAGGCCATACACCAATGGACCCAGCATGCCAAAAGTGATACTGCACTTGTTAGTATGAGTTCGTAAAAGAGTTTGGGAATCAACTTACCCAAGAATATTAGAGTTGATAGATGCCCAGATCGTAAAAATGTTGTAAAAGCGTGTTACGGTGCGCTCTTCAAGGGGAATGGGTTGAATACCCTTCTCCTCAACTCTTCCCATGCGCAGAGCTTTGTGGAAAAGAGCCGCTGCCTTGAGACTCTCCACATCGCTGTGATCATCATCAGGAGGCATGCTCCTCTCTGGAGCTTGATCTGTTTTTGTCGCCATTGCAAGACTCCAAGAAGAGAAACAAGACGATACTCTTGGATTGTACGACAAACGATAGAATGAGGAGAATGAGTCTTATAAGAGTCAAAGGGCAAATAAATCGGTCACCCCGGTCCCGGACCCGGTTCCGCCTTTTTTTTTTTCTTCGATGTCGCTAATATTTTTTATCAACCAACGAGAATTCATTCATTCGCCAATGGCAGCTGGTGTTAGTGTGACTGCTAACGCGATTCTGCGGGATAAACGTCGCCGCATGGAGCTTTTACCACGGGCCTCTTAGTTAAGGCGTGTTGTTAAGGCGTGTTTGACAGGAAATGCCTGATGTTGCCGCATCTACCCTTCATAGATGATGTCTTTACTCTACTCTGTACATATGGTCTTGTCGTATTAAATCGTTTTTTGATCGTGGCTCTGTAAGTGAGATAATTATTGTCTCGGTGTTTTCGAGATATGAACCCTGTCGCTACCTGATATCGAATGTTCGACGCATGTTCCGCATCATTCTAACACGCCGTCTGTTGATCTTCCATTGAAAGCACGGTCTCTGTGGCGGAAAAGCCTAATCTGCCTCTTCTCCTCCATTCGCCTTCTCCATTCTCACGCCAAGAAGGGTCTCGACCTCCACTCACACACAAGCTCCCATCTTTGTACAAGCTCAAATCTGTCTCGTGATCTGAAAGCTTCGTTATGCCCAGACTTGGAAGTAAGACCCAGCCCTACCATCGCTTTTACTGATTCTGGCTTTTCTTTCCTCGGAAGAACCCCCCGACAGCGCCCATCACACCTCCGAGGCCCTTCTCGTGACTGTCTTTCACTAAACCCCCTCTTATCCACCCCGGTAGTTTGCCCCGGATTCGCTCCGTGCCATATCGTCGATCCACAAGAACTATCGCCGCATAATCGCCCCGGTGCCGGATTGCACGGCCGATACTCTGATTAACGGCCCTCATACAAGCATTTTCGTAAAAGTCCCTCGCTGTCTGCTTGCCTTGGCTTATAGCTTCTTCTTTTGCTACACCTTGCGCTGTGAGGTTGTTCTGTGTTGTTGTCTCGATGTATTCGATTTTTGCTTTCCAATCTGGTGATGCGATGTTGGGGTAGGGAAGCCCGATTACTATGACGCATCGGCCGAGACGGTCGGAGAAGTTGATGCCTTCTGACATTTTACCACCTACGACGCTGAGAAGAAGAGCACCTTTGCCGTTGTTTTTCTCGCCGAGGATGGCGTCGGAATATTCTTGGAGAACTTCGTCGCTTGATGCGCCTCTTGATTCTTTGAAGAGTGCTTTTCGTGTGCCCAGTCGATCCCAGATTGGCTGTGCATTTCCGTGACTCTTTTGCCAGACATTTACCACTTCATCCAGATATCCATAGCTGGGAAAGAAGATAACGACACCATCAGGGACTAAGGAGCAGAGGTTTAGTATGGCAAGGCCCAGCTGCGTTATCATTTCTGTGTCGCCTCGCTTCTGGAAGCTAAACTCAAAAGGCGGCGCACCAGGTCTTGAAGAGGCCAGAGTCCAGACACAGAGGTTTTCTGGCGGAATGACATGTCCGCAACTCAGAGTGGTGATTTTGTCTGGTTCCAATGAAGGGAAGAGGTGGTCCTTGTAATCGTCAAACGGGGACATTGTACCTCCTGCAAGCACAACTGCTCTCGCACTAGATGCGATAGATGAGAATGCATAAGTTGGCGATAAAAGCAAGTAAGAAAGTTGTATATCAGGGGTTGGCCCTTTGATCTTTTGGTAGAATATTCGACCCTCGGAGCTGAGGTTTGTGAAGGCAATGAGGAATGATACTAGGGTGTGAAGAACTGGTGAACTTGATCTTGGTGTTTTAGAGTTTGCATTCTCGCTCTCGACATGAGATATGTAGCTCTCGATTTTGAAGGCGAGCTTTGACTCTTGGATGTACTGAATGAGCTCAAACATGTTGATCTGATCAATACCTTTCGGTCGGGTTAAGTCGTTGGGATCCACGATACCGTGTTCTTGCTAGCAGGATGTCAGTAGATGCTGTTTGACCAGTGGTGAGTAGACTGACCTTGAACTTGAGTGCCCCGTCCATCCACTCGCCGAGACCTTCAATAACTCTTCCTACTCTCCCAACGTTGACTCGATTGACACCCTTGAGTTTCTTGCCGAACTTCTTCACGTATACACCCAACATGGCTCGTCCTCTTCGAATGTCGCTTAGCTTTATCTCAGCCGCATGCACATTTGCTACCGCATCCATAATATTGTGCGCCTCGTCGATGATGACAACACTGCCCTCCAATTTGACTCCAAGAGCATCTCTGGCACTCTTCTGTAATAGTAGAGGATATGGAAGTGTGATGATCTCAGCGCCTGGGAGGGCAGTTCTCGATGCATAATATGGACAAACAGCAAGTGATTTGCCAAGCTGATGAAGGTCCTCAATATCTGGCAGTGTGGCCAAAGCCGAGTCGCGGAATTGGTGTGTCTGCGAGAGCAGATCTTCTTTGGGTACGAAGGGACATTTTTGTCCAGACTTTGGCTGCTGGAGTTCTGAGCACCGATCGTTGATGGCTTGCACAGACCCGAGGCGTGAGACAGCAGGATTGATGCATAATCTCTGTCGGGATGATAATGGTAGGAGTTTTACTGCTTCTGTTTTGCTTTCTTCGTTCTTCGCGAGAGATGTCGGCAGTGAAGGCGGAAATGAAGGGCGACGAAGTTCGGTGATGAATTGCGAAAGTTGAGAATGTGTTCTTGAAGTGTAATAGATCTATTAATGTTACTATGCGCACTTTACGGTCCAGAAAAGAATTTCGCACCTTGATTTCCTCCTCTAAAAAGTCATCTTCCTCCTCAGGCTTCTTCGCCCCTCCCAAACCAATACTCGCAAGGACTTCTCTCGTCTCTTTACTCAACCCAGATAACGCATCTTGAGGTCCAGCGTCGCGATCATCAGGATCATCAAGCAACCACTCCGCATCTTCATCTTCTACGCGCGATTTACTGGGTACGTAGTCATCAACTCGTCGACGCTTACGGGCGCGCTCTTCTTGGGCTTTTTCCTTAAGACGAAGGGACTCGAGACGCTTCTCTCGTTCTTCCCAGCGGGTGACAAGCTCTTCGCGCTTACGGCGGAGGAGCTGCTCAACGAGCCATGATGGCTCATCCTTGTAAGCGTCTGCGGATTCTTGGATTGATGCTTCGAATTGGTTGGATTTGTGGTTCCGAAGCCATGTTAGTGAGGCGCAGATTAGTGAAAGCGATTTCCCCTATTCGATGTTAGTATCCCTATGGGATAGTGAATTGAAGACCCAAAGCTGATCAATACAGCATCAGAATTTCTGTCTTAGCTTTCGGAGGCACTTACTGTACCAGTCGGGCTTTCTAGAATACCAACTTGCCCATTGCCAGTCTCTAAAACATTATAAACAGCCTTCATGAACTGCTCCTGAACATCATAAGGTGTGTACGGGTGATGAAAGTCCAGCTTTTCAAGATCTTGCGTGACTTTATCCACTTCAGATTGTGCCATCTTGATCAACTAACTTCAGTTGAATGAGTATCAGAGTCGCCGCGCTTCAGTCGCGTCTCAAAGCATCAGTTACCCTTGAGCCCATCATTGGTGGGTCCTCACCGAGTCTCACCACGGTCAGTCCACGAGATCACCTGACCCGCCAAAAAAGAACCCAGGTCGGCCCCACCTGCACACAGCCATTTCTTTAGGGTTGTCCTGCCCTCGCCTAGATTTTCGGCTTTTGCTAGGCTTTTTGCAGGATATCATCCTCCATTTCGAAGTTTCGACTGTGAACATTCGGACAAGTCGACAACCACAGCCGTCACCATGCCTACCCGTACTTCAAAGACCCGCAAGCAGTATGTCCTCATCCCCCTCGCCGTCGACGAGGTTGGTCGTTGAGAGAGACCGCGTCCGTTTCTGTTTTCCCTAGGGAATCAGAAATAGACCGCTGGAGCTCACAATAATCGCCCTTTGTCGGCGGCTGCTCTCGAACCCGACGAGATACACGATGTTATACCGAACTTGAGATGGACTGACTTGTAATTCAGCCGCGGTCACGTTTCCGCCGGTAAGGGACGTGTCGGAAAGCACCGCAAGCACCCCGGTGGTCGTGGTCTTGCTGGTGGTCAGCACCACCACCGTACCAACATGGACAAGGTTCGACAGGACGATTGAAGCGAAGAATTGGACGAGGTTTTGGCTAACTCGATCACAGTACCATCCCGGTTACTTCGGTAAGGTTGGTATGCGATACTTCCACAAGCAGCAGAACCACTTCTGGAAGCCCATCATCAACCTCGACAAGCTGTGGTCTCTCGTCCCCCAGGAGACCCGTGACGCCTACGTCTCCGGCGAGAAGAAGGACACCGTCCCCGTCCTCGACCTCCTCCCCCTCGGCTACTCCAAGGTCCTCGGCAAGGGCCGTCTCCCCGAGATCCCTCTGGTCGTCCGCGCCCGCTGGGTCAGCCGCCTTGCTGAGCAGAAGATCAAGCAGGCCGGTGGTGTCGTTGAGCTTGTCGCTTAAGCAAGCAACTGTTCTCTAAATGTCGTGCTTGCTTAGGAGTCGGTTGGGCTTGTATGGGAATTTTCGCGAAAGGAAAAAGAATCTCCAACCCGCGAACAACGGGCAATGGATGAAAGGTCTCCTGTGATCAGGGACCTAGGTCGGTCGGCTTCGGGCATTGCATCAGGGACTCTTGCAAGGAGTTAACGAAATAAAAATCGATTTTCGCCCATGATTATGAATGACAATTTTTTTTAATTCACTGTGATTGCGCCGTTGGTGTCCTTGTGCTGCTGTGAAACATTCCTACAATGGGTATCAGTCATGTTGGGTTATGTACAGATATCTAGCCAACCACTTCCATAACACCATACTCAAACCAACGCCTTTCCATGCTTCTATGATTACATTAGTGATACAGTATTGTTTTAATGCTCCGCCATTGCCTCTTCGTTCTCTTGCCTCTCGGCTTCCATCTCGCCCAAGAGAAGAAAATCGTGGTTCAATGCTTCCGCAGCCGTTATTCTCCTGCCAGGGTCTAACTCCATGCACCATTCAAGGAAGTTGATGGCCAACTTTTCCTCTCCTGTCAGAGGCTTATCCTCGCCTCTGCATGTACTCCACATGATAATCTTCTCCATTGAGAAGCCTCCTTGACCAACAGTGGGAATGCTAGTCTCGAAGACGCATCCATGAAGTAAACCTGCAGCCTTCATGCGTTTGGTGCCAAAGATAGTCGCTATCTCAATCATGGCTTCGACGTCGTCAGCCGAATTGAAAAATGGGAAGCGCTTAGACAGAATGGTAAGGAGGATAACGCCTGCAGACCAGATATCGATGGATGTAGTCTGCTCCGTGCACTTGAAGAGAACTTCAGGAGCACGGAAACCTCTGGTTCCAGCACGATTGGCACGTCGCGATGATCGTGTATCAGACTTGGGATATCCCGCTTGAGGAGTTGCAGCATTCTGCGCCCAGACTGAGTTTGTTTGGCGATGCTTTCGGACCTCTCGGGTCTCATGACAAAGACAAGGCTTGGCATCAGACCCTTCCCTCTCGGCAAGACCAAAATCGACAAGAACACCGCGCTGGGTGCTTGGGTCGTACAAGAAATTGGTAGGCTTGATATCTCGGTGGAGGATCTTGTGATCATGAACACTTTTCAGGGCGGTGAAGAGTTCTCGAAGGTAGATGGAGATCTCTGTAATAGTCAAGTCACGAAAGTACGTGCGGAAGTCTCCGTGTCGAAAGTAAGGCAGGATAGCCACCACCTGGTCGGTTTCGCGGAATGCGGTGATGAGAGGACAGACGGAGGGACATTGACGTAGATCGTGAAGTAGTTCAAGCTCATTGAGAATTCGCGAGGGACTTGAGGTGACGTAGATCTTCTTGATGGCGACGTAACGTGCCTTGCGACGGGGACGGTGAGACACAGGACTGTCGGTTGCTTTGGGCGGTGGTGTCCATTTTGACGAGTCGTCTTCATAGTCCCAGCTGTTGTCATAGTGATCGTACATAATATCCTCGGCTTTGTAAACGGTAGAGAAGGTTCCTGGAAATGGTTGTTAATCTCAATGATTACCCAGGTAGGAGAAACGAGGATGTACCTTCACCGATGCGCTTGATCAACCGATACCGATTGCGAAAGCCAGGGAAGTCATTCTGTAATTTGTCCATGTCTGCTTGGACAGTTCGGTCAATGGCTTCGTCTTCGGACTCCTCCTCTTCTTCCTCTTCCTCTTCTTGGGGTTGCTGCGGTTGGCGATGGGCGTGTTGTTGCTGGTGTTGCATTTGCTGCATATGCTGTTGCTGATGCGCCTGCTGGAATGACTGAACGCGCTCATCCTCATCCATTGGAGCAGCTTCTTCAGTGCGCTCCTCCTCCGCCATCATCTCCGTATCTTCCGTCCTCAAATCCTCATGGATATCGAAGTGCTCTTCAACATGCTGATGAACCGCAGCACTCATGATCGCTTTGTAATACAGAAAATGTACCCAGTAAAAAGTAACTTAATTTCAGCCGCTTCGAACTCTCGCAAGCAGGAACAAACTTAAGCAAAATAACAAGACTTTGTTATTGGTCCTTCAGAGCAAACCACGGGTTGCAAAAGCAGTTGAGTTTGGAGGGGCTTAAAGATTAAAGCCAGCCCTGGAGCCTCGATGAATGGTTGCAGGGGTCTGATAGGCTCAACGCGCTGTCTTTTTAGCGGGACATGGAGGGGAAGGGTCCTGAGTGGTCGCTTGGAACAAAACAAAAACAATCGTTGCCCAGGGGTTGGCTCACGTCCCTTCAGCCAAATCTAAATCCCCTCCACCGACTCCGTAGCTTGCATTGTCAACACAACACCAACGGTCAGGTTTAACGGGTATTACCTGGTCGCAATACATCCGGCGCATAAGGCACACTTAGTCCTTTATGATTTTGTGATACCCTTTTACTAGGTTTTTAACGCTCTTACCGCTTCATTTCTTTCTCTCTTGTCGCTCGCTACTTGCGACGACACTGTCGAATCGCCCGCCATGAATACCATTGACTTTGACCTCAACGATGCCTTGAAGCACTACATGTCGGATCCAGCCAGCATTTCAACGCCTGAAGCTGATGGAGCTCTCTTCGACTGCGAAAATGATCCAGAAGCCCTTACACTCCCTGTCGTTAACTCTGTCCTGAACCCTATCGTCGATGCAGTCGCCGATAATCCAGATGCCATCATGCGCGCCTCCCATATGGACTCGCTGCAGTTTCTCCTCAAGTTAGCCCCCATATCCCTCCATCATTCACCTGATACTCCGACCGTGGGACAACATTCTGAGCTAGAAAATCCCAGATACACAGCACATCTTCCCACCCACGCCCTCAGCAAGATCTTCGACCTCGTTATGAGCGGCTTGAGTGCAGAGGCCGACTCTGTCCACTCCGATATCGACTCCCCCGACGAGCAGGACTCGGTACCACATCATAAGAAGCTACTCGAGATATACGGTTTCCTTCTGCAATGGACGATCGCTGCTGTTGAGACCAAGGCTGCTGAGAAGTCTTCGACAGCACCTGCTGCTAGAGGACGCGGAAAGGGGAAGAAGGGGGCTACAAAAGATAAGGATGCAGCTTGGGATTCAGCTACACAGCTTCAGGCGGCTTTGGAAGTTATGTGCAAGGTTCTCAAGCTCAAGCTCTCCAAGATCTTCCTCACAACAAGCGAAAGGGATACCTTTATTGGACTCCTTACTCGACCGGTTTACATGGTTTTGGAGAGTGAGCAACGAGTCAAGACAACGACGATTCGAATGCACTGCTTCAAAGTCCTTTGCATTGCTGTGAAGCACCATGGACATGGATATGGTAAGCATTTCAAGATGCCCAGATGAAGTGAAATGCTGACAATTGGAAGCGGCGCAAATCAACATCATCCAGAACCTAACATACTTCGAACACTTGTCGGAACCTATGGCCGAGTTCCTACACATTCTAGCAGAAACTTACGACTATCCTCAGCTGGCTGACGAGGTATTACGTGAAATCAGTAACAAAGAATTTAACTCCAACGATACTCGAGGACCTAAGTCTGTTTCTTCCTTTATTGCTAAGCTTTCTGAATTGGCGCCACGATTGGTGATCAAGCAGATGACAATGCTTGCGAAGCAATTGGACAGCGAGGTAGGTCTACAAGTATTCATGATGAGAGGTTAACTAACCAAAGCAGTCATATACTCTCCGATGTGCTTTGATCGAGGTCTGTGGAAACATGGTTGGCTACCTCAGCAAGCAGGATGAGCGCAGCGAGAACCACAAGTCCCAATTGAACGCCTTTTTCGACGTCTTGGAAGAGCGATTCCTCGACATTAACCCCTATTGCCGATGCAGAACTCTCCAAGTGTATATGCGACTTTGCGATCTTGCACAGAAGTTCCCCAAGCGACGACAAAAAGCTGCGGAACTCGCGTGTAGAAGTTTGGAAGACAAGAGCAGCAATGTCCGACGTAACGCGATCAAGCTTCTAGGCACACTAATTAAGACACATCCTTTCACAGTCATGCACGGCGCGCAGCTGTCGAGAAAGGAGTGGCAGGCTCGTTTGGACATGGTACAGGAGGAGTTGGATGCTCTCAAGCCCCCCCCCGGTGTCCCTGGCTTTGGGGGCGACCAGGCAAACACGACTGTTGACAACGAGCTTCTTGATGAGGCGACACAACTTGGCTCTCCTCAGAAGCCTACCCAGATGACCGAGGAGGAGAAGGCTGCTGCCATCAAGAAGGCGCAGGAGGAAGCTGCCACAAGTGAAGCTATCGAGAAGCTAACACTAACCCGGAGGTACTATAACGAGGCACTCAAGTTTATCGACGTTATCCACGACGCCACCACCACCATCTGCCAGCTCCTCGGCTCAAGGAACAAGAGCGAGGTCATTGAGGCCATGGACTTCTTTGAGGTTGGTGACGCCTACAACATTGAGCAAAACAAGGTCGGTATTCGACGTATGCTTCGGCTCATCTGGACCAAGGGCAATAGCGATGAAGGCAAGGGTGTCCAGACACACTTGATCGAGTGTTACAGGCGACTCTTCTTCGAGGCACCTGACTCGTTCAGTCCCAATGATGCGGCCATTTACATTGCGCGAAACATGATCAGTTTGACCTTCGGCGCGACACCCGCTGAGCTCACGTCTCTTGAGCAGCTCTTGGCGACAATGATGAAGGGCGGCATGATCCCCGAGGTTGTTATTAACAAGCTTTGGCAAGTATATGGTGTTCAGAAGCGGGAGATCTCCCGAACTCAGCGGCGAGGTGCTATCATCGTTTTGGGGATGCTGGCAACTGCAAACCCCGAGATTGTGGTTGGTGAAATGGAGACCATGCTTCGAACTGGTCTTGGTGTGCATGGACGCAATGATCTCCAGTTGGCCAAGTTTACATGCATAGCTTTGAGGCGAATCAACCCCTCTGGGCGTCAGGCTAAGGACTCTCCTGTCAAGTTCTCACGGTTGCCCAACGACCACGCTGTGTCAGTCAGATTGGCTGCCATCACCGAGGTTCCCTCAGACAGCAAGGAGTGGTATGGAGTAGCAGAGCAGGCTATCAACGCCATCTATGCTATTTCTAAGCATCCTGACACCCTCTGTTCGGACCTTATCCGACGAAAAGCACGACAGGTGTTTGGACAGTCTCGCACCCCGCCATCTTCGCAACCCAGCTCGCGCCCTACATCGCGAGATGAGACAAAGGTTGCTCCGACAGCCGACCAGACTGTGACCCAGGGTGAGAAGAAGAAACGAGACAACGCCATCGCTCTGTCCCAACTTCTATTCATCGTCGGACACGTAGCCATCAAGCAGATTGTTCATCTTGAGCTGTGTGAACTCGACTTCAAGCGCAGAAAGCAGGAGAAGGAGAAGGCAGCGCCCGCTAAGAACGACAAGGACAAGGAAGATGCGGATGAGCTTGATCTGATCGGAGGTACAACAGAGGATGATTTCACAGAAGCCATGGCACACATTCGTGAGCGAGAGCTTCTGTACGGACCTAACTCTCTACTAGCTGTCTTTGGCCCGCTGGTATCAGAAATCTGCGCCAACAACACGACATACGCCGATAAGGGACTCCAAGCCGCCGCGACACTCTGTCTCGCCAAACTCATGTGCGTGTCTGCCGAGTACTGTGAAGCAAACTTGCCGCTGCTCATCACTATCATGGAGCGTTCACCCAACGCAACTGTCCGAAGCAATGCTGTCATCGCCCTGGGCGACATGGCTGTCTGCTTCAATCATCTTATCGATGAGAACACCGACTTCCTCTACCGTCGACTCGCTGATGACGACGCGTCTGTCAAGCGAACATGTCTTATGACTCTGACCTTCTTGATCCTGGCTGGACAGGTGAAGGTCAAAGGTCAACTTGGCGAGATGGCCAAATGTTTGGAGGATGAAGATCGCAGGATCGCTGATTTGGCAAGAATGTTCTTCACTGAGCTCAGCACCAAGGACAATGCTGTGTACAACCACTTTGTCGACATGTTCAGTCTGCTCAGTGCTGGCGGTAATATGGAAGAGGAGAGTTTCCGCAGGATTGTCAAGTTCCTTCTTGGCTTTGTTGAAAAGGTATGTGATGCACTTATGGTTGGACAAGCAGTAACTAACGCATTGACCAGGACAAACATGCCAAACAGCTGGCCGAGAAGCTTGCTGCGCGACTCAGTCGTTGTGAGACAGAGCGACAATGGAACGATGTTGCATATGCGTTGGGCATTCTGCAGCACAAGAACGAAGAGATTACAAAGTTGGTGTCTGAAGGCTACAGAGTTGTTCAATCCTCTGCTTAAGGGTGTTAGATACTCATGTTGGCAGTGGTTGCAATGATGCTATGAGTGATACGAAATGGGATGTAATGATGAACATATAGATGGTCAGGTTGAGTGGAGACGCGTTGATTTGAGTTTTTGCGATAGATACCAGTGTTATTGAAGAATTTTGGTATTGAAGTTTGTGCTGCCTCCACTTTTACTACATTGGTGGTTATTGAAAGAGTAGCTGAAGTTGTAGCGGTTTTGCATGGATTGTATGATGCCTGTTGCGTTTCACGATGTTTGCCACAGGCTCGACAACACTCAGGGCAGCACTCTTGATAGTCTGTAATACTACAGGAATAAACACACCGACAAAGTTGACCTGGTATACGTATACAATGCGCATGTGACTCAATTGTCCCATTCTGAGCCTGAGCTCAACTGGTGATGGATTTTCGCATCCCGAATTGATCTAGGGTAGATACTGACACGCCACCAACTGAGACCACTTCTGCGTTGCGAGACAATGGAAGCTAAGATGGAGCCCCACACAAGCTGTCCAAGTGATAGCCTCGGCCATGGCATCCGTGATCAAGTAACAAAGGATCAAAACAGTTGAGTGACTTAACCAAGAGATAATGCCATTGCTTTGACCCAAATGAGTGTAATAGCTTAATTCAATTCTTTGTGCTTTGCCTTTTTCTCAGGATTCAAGCTGTAAAGTATAACTTGAGCTTGCTGCATTGATGATTGAATGATGTGACGGGGGGTCAGCACCCTCCAGCTCCAGGTACAAAAAGGGCGGGTCTTCCCACCTTTGTTTCTCTGAGCGGCAGTTGTACTGTATCGAGCCCATCATAGGACGAAACATAGTGACCTATTCTTTACCTGATTGGTTCATTTGTGGTAAGCTCTCTTTATGACCCTGCTGATGGATGTTGTTAACATATAACTTATATCAGTGACTGTACGACAACAGCCTTGACGTCCAATTCTGACATCTTATCGCTCCCCGCGTCTCGTGTTACTCCACATTTCTATTCCGACATTAGACTTGAGTTGCTCTTTGTTTCCATTTCTTCTTCGTCTTGATAAGATAAAGATAACTAGTGAAACAACAAAGCTTCTGCTGTCTCGTCCAACATCACGTCGCATTTGTTACCCCAGCGCTTGGACCAACTCTACGATCGCGATCGCGGAGAATCAACTGCGCCACCAATTTACATTACGGTACGCCTCGCGATAACGTTCCAGCGCCTCCGATTAACTTAGTGGGCTGCCACGTGATCGCGCTCATTGAAAGCAGTACAAGGAAGAAGCTGGTCCGCGCTACGAGCTGTGCCAACCAAGTGCGTCACCTTGTACGAGCTTTCTTTCGTAGCACCAGAGACAAAAAACACCAGCGAAACGATTCAAGCTATCAACACGATTTAATTCTTTCAGTACAATTATTTACGCTGTCCAAACCTGCACCGAATTGTCCATTGGGAAGAATTAACGCGATTCGGACTGCGATTCGACGTGCGATTGTGGCGCGCTGATTCACTTTCGCGACGATCTGCTGGTGAGGCCATGGGCTTGACTGGTGCGCCTGCGCCGCGAAGGATTAAAGAAAGGGGAGCTCTCTAGGTATGTTTCTTTGTCATTAGGAATCACTAGCGAATTTATCCACACCCAGCCTTTCACCAAGCTTTGCCTGGCAAGTTCCGATGAATGCGAGCTAATCTTCAAGACTAGAGGCTACCGATATCATCGCAAGAACCCTTACAAACATTTTACCTATCAACGATATACACAATGCACGACAAAATCGTCCCCCTAGGCTCGCGCCTACATTACCCCATCATCGTTACAAAACTACTCAAGAAGCCCGGCGATACGATCAAAAAACAAGAAAGCATTTTTGAGTACAAGTTCCACTGGAAGCGCAAGGTTAACGAAGAGACTTGGAACGATGAAACCACATATACCGAGTTTGACAGCCCTGCCGAAGGCAAACTCAAACAATGGCGCATCCTTGAAGGCCAGGAGATCGTGGCCGACTCGCCCTGTCTGATGGTTGAAGAGGCGTGCGGTCATGAAGTTCAGGTGCAGGGTCTTTGCAGTTTGTGCGGCGCTGACATGACTGAGATCAACTGGGCGAGTGATAACCTCGACACAGATCGCGCCATGATCAACATGAGCCATGACCAGACGGTCTTGAGAGTTAGTGAAAGCGTCGCTACAAAGGCTGAGCACGAAAACCAGAAGCGCCTACTCAGACAACGGAAACTGAGCCTCGTTGTCGATCTTGATCAAACCATTATTCATGCTTGTATAGAACCCACCATCGGGGAATGGAAGAACGATCCGACGAATCCTAACTACGACGCTGTGAAGGATGTTAGGGACTTTCAACTTAATGATGACGGTCCTCGCGGATTGACCAGCGGCTGTACATACTATATCAAGCTTCGACCTGGACTGATGGAATTCTTGGATGAGGTTTCCAAGATGTACGAGTTGCATGTTTACACCATGGGCACACGTGCTTACGCCCTCAACATCGCCAAGATCGTCGATCCCGACCAGAAGCTTTTTGGAAACCGGGTCATCAGTCGCGATGAGAATGGTAGCATCACTTCCAAGAGCTTACAACGTCTGTTCCCCGTCAGCACGGACATGGTAGTTATCATTGACGACCGAGCCGACGTGTGGCCTATGAACCGACCGAACCTTATCAAAGTTGTACCATACGATTTCTTCAAGGGTATTGGCGATATCAATTCAAGTTTCCTCCCCAAGCGAACAGATATTCTACCTATACTCAAATCGAAGCCGGTGGAAAAGGGCGTGAAATTGGCGCCGAAAGCTTCGCCCATGGATGAGATTGCTAGAATGAGCGGCGGAGACGATGCAGCCAGTCTAAAGGTCCAGGAGGAAGAGCAGGAAAAGACACTCGAGAAGCAAATCAAGGACCGGCCTTTGCTCCATATGCAGGAAGAGCTGGACAAGGAAGATGACCAGCAAGAAACGAATGCTAGCGAATCACCACCTGTACACCACCGAAACGTTCTTGTCGATGACGATGAGGAGCTTATCGCGCTCCAAGACCACCTTACAGATTTGCACACGGCCTTCTACGAAACATATGACCGGCGACGAGCGGAAAGAAGAGAGAAAGAGGGAACACACCCACCTGCGCATAGCAAGTCCAAGCGAAGGGCGTCTGTTGACGACGGCGTCGACTTATCTATGGTACCGGATGTCGGCGACATTCTTGACGAACTCAAGTCCAATGTCTTGTCTGGTCTTGTGATTGTGCTATCAGGTCTTGTGCCCTTGGGCGTGAGAGTGGAGGAGTCAGAGATCGGTATGCAGGCTCAGAGTTATGGTGCTCAGGTCCTGGATACAGTATCGAAACGAGTCACACATCTTGTCGTTGCCGCATCACGCCCTCGTACGAAGAAGGTGCAGCAGGCAGCAAAAATCCCTAGCATTAAAATCGTCAACCAAAACTGGCTCACCGACTGCCTAAGTCAATGGAGACGACTCGACGAGCGACCTTATTTTTTAGAGATTCTCGATGCTGATAGGGAGAAGGGAGGGGATGATACAACCGAAGTTGCATCGGAAGCCGACGAAGCTGAAGATGCGCAGACGGGGCAAGAGCTTAGGGATTTCGACTGGGGAGAAGCTGAAGATGAACTGGCCGAGTTCCTGGATGATGGTGTTGACGACGGCGACGTGAGCATTGCCCCCACGGTCACAGAATCAGATGTGGAATCCGTGGACGGTCAGAACTCGAAGGGCATCAAACGTAAGGCTGATGCCGATGAGTCAGACGACGACGGCTCAAATCTCGGCGAAAGTGTCCTAGCCAAGAAACAACGTCTGGTTCGAAATAGGGGCGCTTCTGGTCTCCGATCAATACAAACACCCAACGGCGACGACCAAGATACAGAAGACGGAAGTCTACCTACACCAGTACCAACAGGCGACGAAGCTGTGGAGGATAGGGACAAAGAGCCTTTGGTGAATGTTGACGATGGTGCAGATTTTGATGAAGATGAGCTGGAGAGAGAGTTGCTAGCTGAGTTGATGGCGGACTGAGCTGAGATGCATTACCGGCGAACTGAAGACTTGAAACCTCGGGGATGGAGTCAGGCGCGATATGGAATAGGATATTTTTACCCTACATTTACATCAGTAAAATGGAGATAGAAGCGTGTACATGACGGAGGGGAGTTGGTTGGTTTGAGATTTGTACTGGTAAATATGCTATGTAATACCCCGAAGCATGGGCAATCAAGTCTTACAAGCACGTTATTGTGTCTAATCTAATTTGATGATTGGTCTTGTGAAACGTGTGAGCCATTGTGTGTCACATTCGCTTGTTTGTCCCTCTGATCGGAGAAGGCTTGAGGCTTGAAATAGATTACGCTCCACCGGCGATTTTGCCGCCGATTTTTGACCAAGGGACAGGGATGATTAACTATCCCGCGCTAACAGCTTTTGGTGCAAACCAAACCTGAACGGGATAGTGAAAGCTACTGTAGAAACCCGTCCAACATCGGGGATCTATCATGCCGCTTCACTTAGAAAGACACTCAATAGACAACAAAGTCATGACGTTTAGTGTGTGGCTTTGTAATTGGAATTGCACAAGGGGAAATGATGACGGGAGAACGAAATGTGTATAAGAAGGACGAGTCATCCCTTGGTTGATGGTAGAAGCAACTCTTGTTACATTCGTACAACCACATTAGAATCAACATAACTCCTTTTATCTACAACTCCGCTGTTTGTCTTTATTTCAAGATAGCGATTTATCTTAACCATGGCATCCTTCAAAGGCTTCAATCCAGAAACCGACATTCCCTCTCTCGCTGGAAAAGTCATCCTTGTCACCGGTGGTCCGTCTCCCTTCTCGCTCTTCTCAATCCCCTACTAACAAAACACCAGGAACTTCCGGTCTAGGCCGCTCCGCCATTCTCACTCTTGCCTCTCAGAATCCGTCTCACATCTACTTCACCGGCCGCTCCTCAAGCTCCGCATCGTCTCTCATATCCTCCATCTCCCCCGTTCCTGCAACATTCCTCGAATGCGATCTTTCGTCCATCGCAAGCATGCGCTCCGCAGCGAAGAAGTTCACGCATGATCGATTGGATGTCTTCATCGCAAATGCGGGAATCATGGCTGTTGATGGACTTACTCAAGATGGACTTGAGTTGCAGTTTGGGGTTAACCATGTTGGCAATGCGACGCTTTTGATGGCTCTTTTACCAATTATGCAAAAGACTGCGGAACAAGGGGGTGAGGTTCGGTTTGTAAGTGTTACTTCACTCGGATACGCAGGCCATCCAAAGAAGGGCATCGAGTTTGAGACGCTTCATTCACACCAAGAACATTTACCATTTGGTACATGGAGCCGTTATGGGCAGAGCAAACTCGCCAACGTCGTCTTGGCCAAGGAGTTAGAACGACGATACCCTGCTATCAAAAGCGTTGTTGTCCATCCCGGTGTTATTGCTACGAATTTGGTCACAGGCTTGGGATTCTGGAAGAGAATGTTCGTGTATGTTACCAACCCAACTATGATGACCGTTGAGCAGGGTGGCTATAACACTGCTTGGGCTGCTGCGGGAGATGTCAAGAGAGATGAGGCAGTGGCGTTTTATGAGCCAGTTGGCAAGGCAAACAAGGGAGATGAAATGTGTTTTAGTGAGGACTTGGGGAAGAAGCTGTGGGAGTGGACGGAGGAGAAGATTGAGAGTGTCAAATAGTCACAGTTGAGGTAGTCAATGTCTTCCTTGTGACCTTTCAATTCCAGATAAAACCACTTTGTTAAAACATATATACAAGCTTGCGTCTTTCCACCGTTTAGTTTGTAGTAGGAGGGGGTGTAACAGCGAAAGTCGGCCTCACGAATCTGCCCTGTATTAGCATTTCCCATAAATAATACCTTTTGATGAGAGAACTAACCGGTCGCTGTTGTAAACCTTGGCATTGTCACCAAGCAACTCCTTCTCGCGCTTCTGGTCGGCCAGGTATCGACGGACCTGATCGCGGTCTTCTTCGGCTTGAAGGAGGGGAATGAGGTTAATGCGAGCCCACATCTTTTCACGGCCGAGTTCGCTGATAGTTGTTAGTATTGAATTCGGTAGGTGGTTGTTTTCTGTTATAGGGAATTGTGCTCGCAAGGTGTTTGCTTGTCGGCGTGTTTCGTTGAAGATGCATGTTCGGCTGGAGGGAGAGATAACGTACTTGGCCTCGCGCATGCCGCCGATCAGCTTATACCAGCCATAGCCCATAACAGCGCCCATTCCGAGGAGGAGGATACCAGGACGGAAACCCTTCGCGGGGAGGTTTCGCTACAGAAAGTCAGTTAAACGTCTTCCAATGACTTTCAATCGTTCCATCTCTCTTCGGCCCTCGCAATCGATCGTGACACCCGCCCAACCCATTCAACAAAATCTCCTCAAACCAATTGATCCCACAAACACCCTGAAACGACACATCCTCCCAATTGCACTCCCGTAAACTTCCAACGCACCTTGTACTGGACGGGCTCATACCCGCCCCGAGGGGGCATATCTTGAGGCATGCTGGGCAATTATGAATGTCGCTCGCTGGTCTCGAATGTCGCTACTGTCGTATCGTCCCTCGTGCGGGCGGGCTCGTCGTTTGCTGTCGCGTTGGGCGGTCTCGGTTTGTGAGGTGATTGATTGAATTGAGCTGCCAGTCAATTCCGGTTGACAGACTTGACCGATTACGTAAGGGGACTGGGGAGCTTTAGGTGCTGGGATGTGAAAGTGGGTTACATAAGCGGATTGGCCAGTAGATTTGTAGGGATTAGCAAGTGAAGGCATCGCCATTGCCTTGAAACAATTAAGGTTGTTTGCTTTGTCTTTATGTCTTTGTACTTGGGTGATTCATAGCAACAATATATGAAAACATGTTTTCATCTCGAGGAATCATGTTTATTTACTTTCAGCCTTTCACTGCCGCATCTTGACCAGTTGGCTTACAGTGACAGCTTTATTCTATGCGATGAAATCACTCACCGTTATCGACTCGTGTTTGATGAAAACATTCGCTTCGATTAAGTTGCGTTTGAGTGTGCTCTTTCAACTCTTCAATGTTTGTTGTAAGATCATTAATGTTTGTTGTAAGATCATTAATGTGCGTTTGTCCACCATCAATGCTGCTTCATAGCGTTTGTTAATGCAGACGTTTGCTTCACAGAGCAGACTTGCAGAGAATGCGGCTATAAAGATCTCCCCTTCATCCCAACATCTCAAGATCTCCGCAGCTTTTTAAATAGAGATCTCACGATGGAGGAGGACATCCCTGAAAGCTACAGGCCAGACCCTCCAGGCAACATCGAAGCGATATGGCACATGTGCCATACTCCCAATACAGATCTCTTTCCCTATCCAAACAACAAAAGCCCGATTATCCCATCAACATCAGATCTAGACGATGACTGGCTTCTCGCCGCATCTAGAAGAGTAAGCATTTTCATGAATCGCAGCACCAGCCCCAACATCCGTCAGCAAAAAGACGAGCACATCCAATTCTTCTTCTGGACGGCTCTCGACCGATCAAACCGCCGCTACAAAGACGTCAACGCTCCTAACGCACGCCTCTGGGAATTCCACGATATGCACGGTATGCTGGCCTGGTAGCGCGAGATCACGCACTCCCCGCATCTCGAGGAGACACAACAAGCCCATGAAGACGGTCTCTGGCGCCATGTGCTTCTCAGTTCCCCCTGGTTTGACTGCCCTATCTTTGAGGACTTGCTGCGCAAGCCGCAGATAAGGAATGGCGAAGTTAGGAAGAAGAACGGAAAGGTTCTTATGATGAAGCGAGATCCGCGTTTTGTGGAGTTGGAGGACAAGTTCCTGGAGCGATGGTGGTTTAAGGCGGCTAAGTTGAAGTTGAGGAGGTTTGACAATGGAGATGCGGTGCTGCCAATTACGGCGAAGGGTTACAGGGATATGTACGGCGAGAAGGCGATGGAGTGGAAGATTGAGGAGGAAGAGGATAAAGCCTATGAAACGGCCGAGAGCGTCAATGGTGAGGAGGCGCACAGAGAGGATGATGATGCTGATGATGAAGCGTCTATCTGACGACGAATTATCTGGAGAGGAGTTGACGTCTGAGAACTGGCTGCAGGTGAATATGGACTGAGGACGAGGTGTATCAAGTAGCCACCATGTCTCACGTCGAATCACACACAGAGGAGCTCAAGTAGTAGCATCTGCACAACCTCTTTCGACTCTTAAAACATCTTCGATGTTTCTTCCCTCGCATCTGTAATCTTATAATAACTCTATCGCTGAAACAGCCGCCTATTACAGCCCCTTCTAGGGGAGGCAAGAAAACTTAAGATACATATCCCAATGACAAAAGGACTTAGGTGAGTTTAGTGTAGGTTCAGTGGACCTTAGACTAGTTATTTATGGCACCTTGCTTCAAGGTCTGAAGTTTTCTTGCTCCCTGAGGCCCTTCTCCTCAGGGCCAACTCCTACAACAGGACTTCCATCCTCAATCTCTTCCCTTCGGATGTCTTCCTGCTCCTGCTGAACATACTTCTCAGGCCTCTTCGCAATGATGGCATCCCTATCCTTGATGACAATGAGTGCCGGGTTCTCTCGAAAGTAGGCATCCATATCTTCAAGTTTTCGGTTCGCTGAGAATAAGTTAGCTTTGCTCATGTTACTTGAAGCGCTGACATTACATGTTTCGGGGTACAGAAAGTAGATAACTGGTAGGAACAAGGCATTCGTGACAGTCCATACAATCCAGAAGCGCCAACCGAGATTCTGAATGCCAATAGGGGTAATTTCCACGACGATGAAGTTTGTGATCCTGCTGCCTGTCAGTCCCATACTCAAACACAAACACAAAGACTGGCTGATGCATACCAATTCGTCCCAGTAGCAAGCGCTGCCCCCTTTGTCCTCATGGGAAGAGAATTCACTTCAGTGGGATACAGCCATGGCACCCCTAACATCCCGACTCCGAAAGAAATGAAGTAAAAGAAAAAGAACGCCACAGAGGCCGATCCCAGCGGCTGCTTCATATCACCAACAGCATACCTCAGAAGAATAGTAATGACCAAGAACGACAACAGTTGACCAGACGTGGAGAGTAGCATAAGTCCTCTGCGTCCCCATCTCTCAACAAGAAGAATCGCCATTGACGAGAAGACTAGATAAGACACTGCGTTGCAAGCGGAGAGCAGACGAGCCATGCTCTCAGAGAGACCAACGCTGTTGATGAGAACTGTGGGCATGTAATAACTCATGATATTAACTCCGCCGAATTGTTGCATGAGTTGCGAATTTGCTCCAAGCAGCAAACGTCGAAGGGTCTTGGTATCGGATGTGTCTTTGTTACGACGGAGGAGGATATCCTTCCATTTCACAGCGTGTTGAAGTTCATAGTCAACGCTGAACTGAATCTCATGCAGTTGAGCTGTCATGACTGGGGATGTCATGGGCTTGTCTTTAATGCAGGCGAGGATCTGTGTTGCTTCTTGTGTGCGATCGTGGGTGATGAGCCAATTGTTCATTATCAGCAATTGAACCGAGAGTTATATGCGTGACTGACCGTGGAGATTCAGGAAGCCATGGAACAGTAGCAAATAGGAAAAATATGAATACAAATTGGAACGCTAGAGGAAATCTCCAAGCCACAGAGCCTTGGATGAAAGAGAGTCCGTAGTTGGTCCAATTGACGAGGCAGAAACCAGCAATGTTCATCGCCATCTCTAGAATGACGAGTTTCCCTCGCAATTTGGCTTGTGCTGTTTCAGTTTGCTATATCGACGCTGTAGCGGTATTGACACCATTGCCAATCCTATCCCAATCAGTATGTACCTGTATAGTAGGCTGTAACTCAAGACTCACCCTAGGACTATTCTCCCCACGATCATCTGCGGAAGACTATACGACGTAACCTTTATAACAGTACCAATAGACATGATCACTGTACCGACGATAATAGCCTTCTTCCTCCCAAGTCTTTCAGCTATAGTGAACGCAATGACAGCGCCGACAAAGCACCCAATGTCGTAGATTGCAGTTACAGTGGCAAGAAGGTTGGTCTTTGTTGGGCCGACGAGGTTATGAAGTTTGAGAAAGTCTTGAGTTACGACGACACCACCTGAGAGAGTTAGAGGTTGAGATTTGCGAAGAATAGATGGACAACTGACTGAAAACGCCTTGGTCATAGCCAAATAGTGTCATGTCAGTTGCGCATGCAACCTGTGACGGTTAGAAGGTGTAAGTGAAAGGCCGTGTGACGAACTGTAATCCAGAAGGTGAGCCATCCTCCTCTGTAACCGAAGAAGGGCTGTTTTGATGCTTTGGCCATTGGTCAATCTCTTCCTTTAATAGTTCAAAAATATCCTGAGATAAAGGTGATTGGAATGCAAGAATGATGTAGCAGATGATGCACATCGTTACCAAGCCTGTCAATTGGCTTATATACCCAAATCGCCATCCTCAACTTCCATTTAGCAGCCTCATGCAAGCAGTTCCCGAGTTATCCCCATACTATCTGTCTGAAGGTATAAAAGATGTATTATTTGGCTGCCTGGACCTCACCTGACCTTCTCTCGGTCGCCATCGACCCGAGATGCAGTGGTGATAAGAGGTGCTGTTACATTAGCCTGAGTGCAACCAAGGGAGATCTCATCCTTGGGGAAATCATTCTTAGCGAGCGAGTCGAGCAACTTCACTTGGAGACGACAAGGATGATAATCCTCCTCACGTGTTGTTGACATATGATGAGCTGAGATATTTGTACATGACTCTATTTTCGCAATGCAAACCCTTCCAATTACTCAAACATGCTAATAAGGAATACTATTCTCCAGTCGCATCTGTCTCAACGACACATCGTTCACCACATGCTCCAACCCCAAGCACGTGATAGCAGCGGCATGAGACATGATTATAGGCCAAGTACCCTTCTTCTCGACCTTGAAGAAAAATCGAGAATACTCATGGGCCACGTTTTCCCAGGCGCTGTACACTATGGGGTGCAGCTGTGGTTCCCCCTTTGCCTGCCACGTTACCGAAGCACTGTGTTGATACTTGCGATATGTGAAGGCGCACGCTTCATTAACCCCGCCGTTCCATATTATAAGCCTCTCCAACTTTGGCATGCGCATCGCAATTTGCGCAGCAGTTTGTAATAGTCCGTTGATCTTGAAAGAGTCGCCATCACGGGTGAGCAGTCGGGACGTCAGCGTGAGGGAACGCAACTCTTTCCATCGCCAGTTTTCTTGACACTGGCCGAAGAAGTCAACGGCGTCAATCATGAATGAAACGGAGAGACTCTCAAGCGAAAGACTTGTTCTAGCGAATGCCTGAGAAAGTACTTGTTGCATCGACGGTACTGTGTCTGGCGGAGTCCCCATGACCTGTTGGAAAAGGCGTCGAAACTCCTCTGTGTAGTGACGAGATACCGTGTTGAAGTACTCATCACGATCTTGAAAAACAGTCATCGACTTGACGTTCCTGAAAGAATCAGGTACCATCAACAGGTATTGTGCATATGCTGCGAACATGTCAGCACTTGAAATTGCAACTCGAAGTTCAAAACTTACTGTCGACAACACCGGATTCATACTGAATATCTGAGACATCCCAAGTCTCAAGGGTAATCTCTTCCAATCGGGGAAGTCGCTCGAATATGCAGGCAAGAGTACTTGCTGTAAATTGACGCCGGCATTGCCGAGGAAGAAGAAACTTTGTCACGGCTTGGACAGGGGGCGCATATCGCATGTCGAATCCCACCTGCGTAAACAATGTCGTTAGTGCATCATGGGGAGGCATTACAAGCTCCTTGGGTTCGGGATTCGATAAGAGACGCATATGTTCGTGCTCTTCACCTGGCGCTCCATAGTGATGCCCCTTGAGCCACTCCTCCGAGTAGTTCTTGGGCTCGTACGCATTGATCTCCAGTGTCAAGTCGTTCCGCGCTGGCCAGGATTGCAAGGCACGAAACAAGTGTGTTACAGCATCGCTGATAGTCGAGATACCGGGGCGTAGCCCGTATTGATCGTGCCAGAATCCATGATACATGATATGTTCAACGTCGAGCCAGATGTGTTTGACGAGTAGTCTGTGTCGATCACGCAACCGGCTAAGGCTCTGAAATACCATTGGAGTCCTGTCATGATAGTCCGAAGATGAAGCTTGAATACGAAGGTGCCGAAAGGTCTTCTCAATGGTGTCGCGTCATTCTAGCGAGACGGGAGCATAGGGCGCGATACGGTCGTGAGTAACGACGTACCCTAATATCATACCGCGAATCTCTTGAGGGAGTGAGATCCAGCGAGTCATTGTGTTTTATGTACGCGGGAGAGTTCGTGTTGAGAGGATGTGGTTAATAGAAGTTAAAGTGAACGAGGAGTAGAAGTAGAGAAACCTGTGAGAGACGAAGATTTATATACTACTTACATTAAAAGAAAATTTGTGAGGTAAGAAAAGAAACTTTAGCAATTGTTCATCAAAATAAGGGTGAAATTGAATATATGCTTAAAGTTGTCCACAAGAAGCTCCAATAAGCCGTCGCATGATATAGCTTTCTCATTATATCTTTCTGCTGTGAATCATTTGTAACTCTAATAAAGTGATTTATGAGATTCACGATCCTGATATTGAACTATAATTAAATCTTGCCAATGAAAGGCTCGGAGAATTCGCGAAAAGGGTTGAGATCGCTATCCGCCAAAGTCACACAACTTTTAATGTTCCCTGTGTTGAAGGCTAAACAAAACACAGAATATACTTTGACTCAATAAAAAAGGTACGAGCGTATGAGTAAATGGTGGATAAATGGTGAGATGAAATCTGTCGAAGCTCCATGTTGGCGGTTGAGGCTCGCTACCACGATCTTGAGCTGCATTGCGACAAGTTATACATAGATGCCAACTTGCCAGTTTCATCATCGAAATCAGAGCATTAGATCTCGCTTCTCAATTTCCAAGACAAAGTACTGTTATCTTTATACGTAGTCTATCACATCTAGATCATACGTCTATCCGCAAGCCATCCATCCAGACTCCAAATCATCCAAAAGACCAGCATTAAGCCATCACCCAAATGCAGAACAACAAGCACACAACCAAGTAACATCACCAAAGAAAACCCCCACACATAACAGTTCGTAGCGACAAGTACATCATGCCGCAGCAGTTGAAGGCGCTTGACTTCCCAAAGACAGCGGCTTATCAGTATCTACTAAACCCTCACTCAGCTTCTTTGTCACGGCGTCGGGATCTGGCTCGTCTCTTCCGACGAAAGTCCAACTCTCTTCAGTGTCGTCGTCCTCATTTGCGTCGTGTTGTGCGGCCTTGCCCGCGTTACGCTTGATGAGACTCTTGGCGTATTCGAGATCGCGGTAAATGCACTGGATGGCGTTATCGACACCCGATTCCTGTAGATGTTAGTGGTTTGTAGAATTGAGAGTTGAGGGAGACTTACACTGCGGATCTGTTCGCCAAGGACACGAGCCTTTACAATCATGCGCTCGTTACGCGTCACTTCCCAAAGGGCTCGACCGAAGCTGTTGGTACCCCATTTCTTGACCCAGACTCCAACACCGAGATCCTCAACTCGTGTAGCAAAGAAGAACTGGTCGCCAAAGAATGGACGAATGATGGTGGGAATGCCAGCACGTAGACTGGCGCCTGTTGTTCCAGAGCCACCGTGATGCGCAGCAGCGTCAATCTGACTGAATAGCCAATCGTGTGGTGCGGACTTGATCACATGGATCTCTGGAGGCATCTCCGGCTCTTCGGGGCGAGGCTTGGACGGATCGTCCTTGGGTGAGATTCGATCGGACCAACCCTTTGAGAGAATGCACCGAACGTCTGCCTTGAGGACAGCGTCGATGACCTCTTGTGTCATTTTGGGAGGATCCTTGACGATGATGGAGCCAAAACCGACGTAAACCAACTTCTTTCCATCAGCCCTGGCCTTGGCGATAAAGTCCTGCAGTTCCTGAGGCGGCTCCCAGTCACCTCCCTCATTGAGGAACCAGTAGCCAGTTACTCTGATCCAATCCGAAAAGTCCAGAGGAGGTGCAACCACGCTAGGACTGAAGTTGTACAGGAATGGCACTTTGTTAGGCTGCATCTTCTCAAGATTTGTACTGGGCAGGCCAAGTGTCTTTCTTCTCCATCGATTCACCTGGTAAGCCGTAGCCTTCCAAAAGATGTTGTCAAACATGACATATGTCATATAATTATATGCTCCTCCCATCTTGTGCTCAGGCATGATGAAAGCGTGAGGATATGCTCGTGTCCTAGTCCAAGGCATAGTGAACGCTCGGAAATAGGGAATACCAAGCTTCTCCGCGATGTGAATGCCAGCCATGGCAGAAGGAGACTCAATGAGAAGTTCAGAACCCTCACATGCTGTGTAGGCAGAATCTAGAAGTTCGTCAAGCCATCCTCGGAATGTTGAGTTTGCCTCCCGAAGGAAAGCCCAAGTGAATGTTCCATTCTCAATACAAAGGCGCATCAGTTCACCAGGGTCGCCTTCAACTCGAGCGAATTCGATACCATGCGACTCAATCCATCCTTGAAACTCGGCATGTGTGGCAATCCGAGGCTTGTGGCCTTCAGCAAGAAGGCCTTTGCACAAGGCAATGTATGGTTGCACATCGCCTCGAGATCCGATGGTGAGACATGTGATTTTCATCGACTTTTGCGGCTTGAAAGCAAGACCCGACGAATTGGGGTTGTCAAACAATATTGTTGGGGCATTCGAGACCCCAGAAGTCTCGCGTGGCAGCTCCAGCTCGTGGTTGACGAACTCGTCCTGTCGTGCAGCCTTCAGGGCGTCACGTTCCGCAATTGCAGCAGCGGCTTCCTCGTCGTCTTGCTCCTCTTGATCAAGGTAACCAGACTTCTCGAGAAAACGGTTAGTCTCCATGAGTTGATGCAGCGTCACCGCGCAATCATCTCGGAGCCCTGGTCGTCTAAACTCAAAGAATAGCTCCTCATGACCACGGATGACGACAGTGAGACCGTAGTAACCAAACCGGAAACCCTTTTCCTTGTGGACATTCTCAATGTCCTTCAAAGGTAGGATGAGTTTTGTCCTTGTGCCGGGATACAAGCTTCGGAAGCAGAATGATCGATCACTGATATAGAACTTTCCATAAAGAGGCAAGACCTTGAAGATGGCCCCAAAGTACGTCGCCACAAGCTTCTCTGACTCGGGTAAGGTGAAATGCGCTCGGAATCGATCCATGGCGGTCTGCGTCTTGTCTTCCGCGTCCGAATCGATATCATCGGCATCGTCATCGGTCTTGAGCTCTTGAGGCTCATCGTAATGCCTATGTTCTCCTTTCCACATGCCATGCACCTTTTCTACATAACCCAGTGACTCGGTCGCAAACATAGAACCCATACGCTGGCTTGTACGACTTAGATACTCGGCAAAGGCGTTGGCTCGTTGTAAGGGATATGCTCCAATCTTAGTGATACTGTTGAGTGTTGGTGTTACTGGACGCTGAGAATCACTCGTTTCACCACCCATTTCCTGCATAGCACCTGTCGTTGCGGCATGGTGAATGTGGCGAGGGCGCTCTCGGTTGGAGCTAGAGTTCCGAGGCGTTTTCTTCCCAGACTGATCGCGTTTTCTAGACGCCGAAGCAGAGCGTCGCATCGTCGGGCTGTGAAAGACCTCGCTTCCTTGAAGAATCTGGCTCGCGGATGGATCTTCGAACGAAGACGGCGATAGCGTGGAGATGCTTGGGTTGTCGATCGATGAATGAATAAACGAATCTCCCGAGTCTTGAGCTTGTTGTTGTTTGGGAGTGGTGTTGCCGTGCTGATGACGACTCGTTGATCGTCTCGTGCCGCTGAAGCTCCTTCGAGGGCTGAAGTCTCCGATCGAACTTGGCACATCCATACTCTTTCGTCCAAATCTCCTGAAGCCGTCAAAACTCGATCGTGGGGCGTCCATGCTTGCACGAGGGCTCAGTTGGTTTGGTGAATGAGGCGATAATGGCGACATGGGGGCCAGTGTGGCCTTCACGGTATCGCGAAGTTTCCCTGTATGCAGTCTGTCAATTTGGGGAAGATGACGGCTTGCTGCCATCGATGTCCGGCCGGATGGAGACTGAGAGCTCTCGTTCTCTTCACGACTAGACACAGCTTTCTCCGCCGACCGGCTCTCTGAAGAAGCCTCAATGAGGATCTTAAGCACATTTATGGCATCTTTTCCAAAACTGAAGAAGGAGAAGAAGTACTATGATTGTTAGCGGAAAGCTCTTCGAGACTTTGAGTTACTTACCTCATCAATAGCATATGTCTCGTCATTGTCAATGACCCTAACCTTGCAAGTATCGGCAAATGCGATCATCTGAGTATCTTCGATATCGATCACATTTTTAATCGGCAATGAGATCTTGACGCTGTCGCCATCGTTGTGACTTCGAAAAATGACTCTCTGGAGGCTCTTGACCCATTCTTTCGCACTTGGAGCGCTGTCGGCCTTGAATTTGTACGTTCGGTGATGTGTCTCAACTGTGAAATGCAGACCTTCCTTATCCTTGTCCACAATGTTTGCTGAGATGCCGTATCGCAGATCAATCTGTCCGTGGGGAAAGTAAACGTCTGTCGCAGTCTTGTAATATGCCAGAACATCGCCCTTTAGTCGGAACCAAAACCTTGTGTAGCTTGGGCTGCGTTTGCCGCTCTTCGACAGATATCCTGACTTGGCGGCCTCATGCTGTGTTTTGTGTTAGCAACTGTCTGGAAAACTGAGAGTCAGTTACATACCGCCTTCTTGGGAAGGTATGCATAAAAGCAGATATGCTTGGAAGTGATGTACATGTACCCTTGAAGAAGGACACTTTGTAGTAGCCAGCAGGGGTATTCTATGGCTAGTTAGCAAATCAAGATAAAGATCAAGATGTAACTTTGACAAACCCTCAATGACTTGCTCGTACGTATCAAACTCGAAAATCTCCTTGAGCTTCTTTGCCAGAGCCGAGACTACCTCGCCATCACTAGATCGACTAACATCAGATGATAACCGGTCCAGATCGAAGCTGGGTCTGCTAGACAAGTCCGCCTTGGCCTCCAACATCCTACTCATGACCCCTTGTGTATCCTGACGTGTGAGGGTAAGGGCTGGTGCAGGCGACAAGGTGCCGTTATCTTCCACGTCTGATTCATCAGCAGCCTCAACCGGAGCAGATAGTCGAGATGGTTGGGATTTATGCCGGGAGCGAAGTTTCGGCAACGCAGGTAGCGATCGCAACAGCTTATGCTCCGAAAGTCTTTTCCTTCTGTGCCCTTTGTCTTTTCCCTTCCCTCCTGGTTGCAGGATCGATGTTTGTGCGATATGGTCACGGCTATGTTGTGATGATGATCCCTCACCCTCTTCGTCACTACTCATTCCATCGAATCGATCGTTGAAGTCGACACGAGAGCTAGCAGTCGCAATAAGACCAAATATGCTCTGGTTCATATTCATGAACATCGGTGGTCCTTGCGTAGTGTCATCATCTTCTTCTTCGTCTTCGGCATCGCTTTCTCGTAGAGGCTCGGGAAACACGGTCGCGGTGGAGTCTTGTCGCTTCCTTCTATGAAGTTCCTCGTGGACATGCTCTTTGATGTCCTCATCGCCAATGCTGGCTTGGGCCGGAGCATCATCAGCTTGAGAAGCCATGATGGCCGGTCAAGTCGAGCGGGGCGTCGGTCAAAGAGCGTTTACAGTCGTGGTTCTATTGCGATCGGAAGGATAGAATGGTTCACGAACGTGTCGCCTCAAAATTTCTTGTGCGAACTCTAAACCGATCGAGCGTTAATCTCTAGGAACGGTCCGAGGATGGGATGCGAGTGGTCATGCAGTCGTGAACCTGGACCCGGTTTGCGCCGTATACAGCCAACACTATGCTATCGTGGGGAAATAATACGACTCGAAGTTGATGCCATCCACTGCGCGTATCGGGATTCGTGAAAATTCGTTTGTGTGAGTGTTACGCTACGGTACGAATGTTATTGTTGGGGTGAACAAAAACAAACGTAAAGAGGAGTTGGAGGAAACAAACATTCGGATCGCAAGAAAACGAAGCATGGATGAAGATAAGGATCACGGCATTCCTGATCAAGAAGGAACCTGACCCTGGGGCTGACGCTGCCTAGGCTTTTAGGTCAATCTGCCTGAATCTCCAGTGGGGTTTTAGGGGACGGGTAGTGGACCTGACCTTCTCAGCGGTGGAAATACCCTGGGGAAACAATGGAACCCTTGTATTCTATCCACTCTTGTGAGTTAAGAATTGTTTATCATTGGCTGGCACTGTTATCGATTAGAAATGACGCCAATCGGGCGGCTCATCCTTCAACACCGTGAATCGATCACATGCAAGCATTGGTCAAGTGGGAAAACAAGCCCAGATGATGTGAATAGTGCCCTTGCCATGCTGACCATAAAGGCCCTCACTCAGAGAAGAGCGATCAGCTGTTTGTGAATACACGTCATAATGAACGTCCATGCGATAAGTTTCGGTGCCTGAGTCAGAGGAACGCCATGGCTCGTCATTCACCTTGGTGCAAAGTCTTGAGTGGCTAGGAGTAGTAAAGTTCACACAAGCGTTAAAACGTGATCGACTCAGCCTCTATGTACAATAGAAGCAACTGTTTAAAACAAGGGTCCGATAGTCCTCGACTCTCGTACTCGGACATTCGTATTTTACACTACTCCAACAAACGCGTATACCGTTCCGCCATTGCCGACTACTTGATCCCTTATTCACGAGATGTAGCAAACCAAAACTCCCGCTTAAATGCTGATTCCATGCACCCCTTTTCGAAACCGGTAATCCGAGGCTCACTGCCAGAAACAAAGCTTTCCACTAGACGTCGCACCAGCGACCCAATCGCGAGATGGGTGGAAGTGTGCGACTGCTGGTACTGCAGTGATACCCTCCCCATCAAGCTGAGCCAGTTGGCTACCGTCTGAAGCAAAAACATCCACAAAACGGTTCATGTTGCCAATAACAAACTTTTGAATGCCATCATGAGGACGCTTCTGCCATTGAGGCTTGAGAATCGTCACCCACCGGCCAGTCTGGTTGTTGTGGCGTACTTGGTGGGCTGGTTCAATGCTGATGTCCTGGCCAGGCTTCCACGACGAGGCATCTGTGAAATCGTAAATCTTAATAGTGTCATCATAAGAACTAGTTGCGATATGACCTGCAGGACTCCATGAAGCATGCGATACGGATAGTCGCGATTGATGCTCTCCAAGGAGAGCAGGGTGTCTAAGATCTCCCTTGCCGGTAATCTTGCGAAGATCCCAAATCTTAATTGTGCGATCTAACGACGCAGTCGCGAGCAAGTGAGGTTGGAGCGGATGCAATGAGAATCCGCCAATCTTTTGATCCGAGAGCATCCAGATTTCGGCGTCATCAGAGGTTCGAGTGTCGTACTGACCCACGCCACCGTCGAGTGTAGAAAAGTACAACATATGGGGGTTCGACTCTGCCATGTCAAGGGCTGAGATGGGCAGATCCTCATTGTGATCCGATGGCGCCCATACCTGGAAGGTCTTCTCTTTGTTCAAGTCCAGTCGCCGAATTGATGAGTCGTATGAAGAGGTGTAGACAGAGTTGCTATCGTGCTGAGAGAAAACGAAGGAAGTAATCGTGCGACTATGTATCTTAAACGCAGAAATGGAAGGATCAGGCACAGATGCATCTTCGTCTTCATCGCTTACTTCAGGAGCAGTCTGCGAAGCGTCAAATATGCCCATGTTGCCTTCTTTGTCCCCAGCAAAGATAAGCGGTTTCGATTCGGTGGGGTGAAAGCCGAGAGCATAAACTCGTTGGGGTGTGATCTTAATGTCTGTGTTCCAGTGATTAGTGACATGCGTCTCGCTTGTGCAAGATACTACTTACCATTTGGAGCCCAGTGCTCGTATAACTTCAAATCACCCATGCGCTTTCGCAGCTCCTTCAAATCCTTGTCGGTGGTTTCCTTAATATCTTCCTCCGTAAACGTTCGGACTCCAGGCTGCGCACCGCGGACGAGGCCCTTAAACCCGTCGACACCAGCGAGATACTTCTTGCCCTCGACGGCGATATCGCCGAGCTTTATGTCTCCATTTACTCTCAACCTTTTAGCTTTCGCCTCCGCTGCGACATGCTCGGCTTCAACAGCCAGTTTTCGCTTTAATGTATCATTGTCTGCGTCGAGACCAGCGAGCCGTGAGGACTGCCGAGTCGGCATAGCTGGTTCACGTTTCGCAGGTGTACGGGTCTTCGATCGCGATGGCGTTGACTTCTTTGGGGGTGTCGGCATAACCTTCTTAGCGACTACGGCGACATCGGCTAGAATCTTCTGGTTTGACGCCATATTCTCTTGACGCCTGCGCTCGAAGGCGCTCATGGGCGAGTCCACGCCCTTCTTAGGAGGCATGGTCACGGTGAATGAGGCACGCAAAAGAAAAGTTTGACCAAAGGACTGTAAAGCAAACGTGACAAAGAAGGGTCTTAAGAAGAGTGTGCCCGGAGCAAAAACTCGAGTGGTTGTGCTGTTTTGCGCAAACGGCAAAAAAAATGGGAGGATCGTGAATGGTGACGTGAAGGGCGCAAACCAAAGCGCGACTCATTAATTGAGTTTGGCGCGAAGTCACGCGCTGGTGCCTACGTGTTCTGCATCCGATATTCAGCCGACCACTACTGTGAATTAGCATCAATTTTCAGCCTCTGAAATCTCATGTGAAAAACAAAGGTTTCAACAAGTCCTTCAACACAACATAAAAAATGTCTCGAAATCTTTTGACGTTCTTATATCAAACAAGGACACTACAACTAGCTTGTAGACGTCCTGCGAGTATTATTTTCACTCAAAGAGCTGGAGTTGCGACTTCGACGAGACGACTTAGAAAAGTCGATAATTCTGAAATTCCTTTCGAGTTTGACGACGAGGAGACAATAAATGCAAATGAAACTGAGATTGAACGACAAGGAACTTTGACGCCGACGGAAACAGAGATTTTTAAGGGGATTTTTGACGATATTGCTCAAGGCCGCTTAGCCAAAACCAAAAAGCCTTCTCAGTCTGACCAAACTCAACCTACAAGTTCAACACCAAACCAACATCGACCAGATGCGGCACGTGGAGGAAACACACTTGTCGAAAAGGCCCACAACTCGAATTTCAGCGATGACTTCCTCAAGCGTTACCCAGCATCTCTTCGAAGAGCTGCCGAGAATGCTCTGGGCAAATTCGAACTTGCACCAAAGCGCCCCAATCTTTACAGCTTGACTGAGCTTGATCAGGCTGAGAAGAAGCAGATGCGTGAGTGGGCAAAGTATGAGCAGATTAGGGAGAAAGAGAAGAATAGAGTGCTGGATCTCATGAAGGCCTGTGAGACTGACATTGATCTTTGGAATGTCATGGAGGAAGAGGTATTCTCCTTGCCTGGAAAGCTGGGTATTGTCCAGAAAGACACATCGGTAAAGAGGGGTCGGAAATCCAAAGAGCAAGTTGCCAAGGAGGAGGCTGAAAAGGTGAAAGCCGAGAAAGCAAAAAAGACAGAAGGGGAGAAGCCTGTTATGGATATACACGGACATCTGTACTCTCAGTATCTCAACTATGGCCTCGATCTCTTCGACACCGCATTTGCGAGATCATCTATCCTCGCATTCAACATCCTCCCACGAATCAAGGAACTCGGCCTGTCCTCCTACGTCCTTGGCGTCTCAACCACCTTTTTCATCAGACTCGCTGAAATCCATTGGAAGCGCTACGGCGATGCTACATCAGCCTTTGACGCTCTTGATGAGATGAAACCAGTCGGTTTATTCCCAAATGAACAGCTCGGTGATCTCGAGGGGTTGGTTGAGCAGATATCAGACCACTTGCATAGCTGCACCTGGGGTGCTCAGGGACCTTTTGTTATGGCTATGATGCAAGGCCCTCCCTATGATGCCAGTCTTATGAGTCGCCTGGGGCGCATGAAGGGGCTGATTGCGAAGAAGCACTTTTACAACGAGAGAGACGGTCGATCTAAGGATCGCTCAGATCGAGCTGAGTTGTGAGCATCTAGAGTTGGAACGATGTGTGAATAATTGTAAGATTACGATGTTTGGATATGTATCAAAATGTATTTTATGGTCTGATAGCTACCGGGTACCAACAGAATGCTACATTGAGTTTATTTGTACACCTGTGTTCTTTCGCCTGAATATTTACCTATAGCTTTGTGCACATTACCTTACCTACTAGTACTACCTAGGTAGGTACTAAGTGCTGGAGAGCACCTTCCTCGACCATTCCTTTAACTGGTAGTCACTTCCCATGAAATAGCCAGATTTCCTTGCGTCTCTTGCCCTATCTAATTGACATAATGTGTTCCTGCTATCTCAATAGCTCCATTTCAATGGAAGTTGCTCTAAAAGGTCAGTTGTCCTCGTTCGGAGAGAAGCTGGGTATTTCAAGATGTCTGCGAGCCTGGATCTCTTCTTTTCTTTTCTTCTTCTTCGTCGAATCCAGGCTCTTCCCCAGCGTCCTATAGCCCTTCAGCGGTCCGCCCGAATCATGCCTGTAGGTGTTATCCGCTGCATCTCCCATTCAGTAGCATTCTAACATCTCGGCAGACTTCTTCTTCCCACACACCCTGGTACCGGTATCCTCTTGTGCCGCCGGCCGTTTACTACACTTTCTCTGCTCTCGTATGTTGGTGGAGGATCTTCCCTAATGCCCCCGGTATTCTTTACCGGTGGGTGACCCGTGACAACCTCCGCCATGCGGCGGGGAGGGGAATCGAGATCCTCACTGACCTTCGTAAGTGTCTCGAGTAGTGAGTAAAGTGAGCCAAGGGCGGCACGGATACCGGTGTGGCCGACCCCCGACAAGCCCAAATGGACTTCGGTCCAGCCCGGGCACCCCCTCTGCCGTATTAGTTTGGGTCCTCCAGACCCGTGAGCATTCTGTTGTCTGACTTCCGGTCCGAGTTCAATGATGTCTCCTCTTGCCGTCAGATCGCAATACTGCACATCAGTCCTCTATACCCAATCGACCCTGGACCATTTGCCAGCAGGAAGACCCCTAGACGTTCAAGCCTGTCTATGATTCCCCTCTGGATGGCCCGTTCAAAAGTCTGCTTGGATATCTAGTCCTAGGTTTCAAGCGATGTGTTCAACAAGCCACAGCCCTATCATCACACGAAACGCCTTCTTGGGGGTCATTTTATCTCATTCACCTCCTTCCCTCTGTTACCTTGATCTTGTAACATCAAGGGACTATTCCCGTTCAAAAGGTCTCACTATTACGACATCGACATCGACATCAGCATCAGTCTCTTCGGCTTTGCGTCAGACTCCTTGCAAACCATCACAGGCAAACCCAGTCAGTATTTCAATGTCTGCACTACGGCTCACCAGCCCGGGCCCTGAATTACTTTTCAGCAGTCCTTCAGATGTTCTAAGTTCTGTGTGGTGATTATAAACTCTCAGCCACAGGTCTCAACTGCAAATAACACGTCCTTCAGATGTTCAAGTCTGCTTGTATCCCCAGATCCCGGACAGAGGGAGCCCCCACCCGCTCTGCCGTATTGGCCTCAGTCCCCCTGGTCTACCATCATTTTGCTGTTCACCTTGGAGACCTGTTGCGGTTATGACTATGACTTGGCATGAGAATAATTTCCTCCTGTGGATCTCCGAGGGACCTCGAGAGCACACCGGGCCCAATCGACACCCTCTTTTCTCTATTAGTTTGGGTCTTCCTGGGTTATAATGTCCGATACTCTCATTCCTTCTGTGCCCCAAAATCTGCTGCATCTGGCATACCAACATCAACGTCGGCCACTCACCAGCTTGGAGCTAGGCTCCCTGCAAAACACTATGGCCTACTTGAGGGTTAACCCAACAACATCGTCCCGGGGGCCACCAACCTCTCTGAGTCTGAGAATCTCACTGGAAGGGACAGGCTCGCTCTCGTTGCCTGTAAAGTCTGCTCTTCTCTTGTCATCCCCGGATACCCATTCGCTATCTTATGGCCTGTATACTCCTCTGAGCGAACCGATGGCCCATACTTTGCAAAACACATTCAACTTGGCCTACAACTATTCTGGAATGACATACGCCTTCTGATTATCTTACAAGCAGTATCCTTTCTGGAGACTGGAGTCCAGCAGATTTTCTTCCAGGCCATCCAATCAGCGAATCTTTCTTTCATTATAAGCTTCCTACCTTCTTTTTTTTTGGGATTTACAGATACCGCCATCCTCAGATGTCTTGTTACCTTTCAAATTCGGGTCGCTGTTTCTTCCGAAATGGAAGCTACCGTGACAGCTCCAACATATGCTGATCTGTCGAAACTCTAAACGACTCACTGGTCCCGAAATACTTTACATCCGGGAGTCCTGGTGTGCAACATTATCTAGCTGCTCTTGGATAACGACATCATCCCAAACGAGGATAGTTACATGCCCCTAGAGTCAAGACCTTTCATCACGACAGTATGTTGGGTGTACAGCTGCACCTACACTCTTTACCAGGGGCCATATATCATACTTCCGTCTTCTCCTAGCCGGCTTAAGACGCATATCATCATCATGGAGATCTTAAGTGTTAGCGCCACCAAAGTATCTGCACTCTGCTACGTTTCTTGGCAATTGGCTTTTTTTTTTGTCTAAATAGACAGTACAGGATCAGTCTCCTCTCGGGGTATATTCCAGCACCTCTATTTTCTCTCCGTTATTCCCCTCAGCTAGAGGTCAAACCTCGTTCAACACGAGCTTAACGCCGGTGAGCCTTACAACCAGCAACCGCCAAGCTAATTCGACCAGCCGCAACTTGCATCATCAAGGCCTACTCTTCTGGGTATTTTATTGCTTTGGCAATTACGGCCCATGACACACCTAGGTGGTTTGGACACAAGTTCTCTGTCGATCAGGTTTCACGAGCCCAGCTCACATGCCTTGAATCCCTGTCCAGAAGACGGCATATCCAAAACCCACCCACCGCCACAAGTCTCTAACAAGCTAGAGAACTCATAGGACCAAGGCGAGGAAAGGCTTGGCTGCTTTACTACGTGCAAGCCATGTCACACGCCTTAGAAGATCAATTACCTCGCAATCAATCTATGGCATGACCGTTTATATATCAAGAACACCAGTTCAAACCTTCCGGGCCACCATGTCCCAGGTCACTATATTCGCTCTGGCTTCCATGGCAGTCTTTCGTCAGTGCCTGTCAACGGCACTCCCACTGTTGTATTACAGTAGCCCCCTGGATATGCCCTTCACTCCTGAGGGATTAAATATCCACGTGATCCTCTCCGGTTGATCAGGAAAACAAGGCTCTAGACGCAAAGCTCAGCCTACAATATGAGCGTCATACCACAACGCTTCGATAGTGACTACGCTGATACATTCACTGCCGCTAATATACACCCTCAGCAATCTCAACTCTGATGAACTGAGTTCGCGAGCAATCCCTCAGCTTTAAGATCTAGATTGGGAGACTGTATGGGGCACGCAGCTGTTCAACCGTTGACGATACTGCTCCAATTGGCAGCACACACGCCCCCCGACTTTTGGTTTCAATATGTCAGCAGTGGCTATTAAACTAAGTCTCGGTGTCACTGTTGTATTCTTCAACACTATGTATTTTCGGAACAAGATTATTCGCATTGTCAACACAAGGTCTCGGAAGACGAATGCACTGCGAGCACTGCCTGAGAAGCTCAAATGAGATGTCAATGAGAGGCTGCGCATAGAATTGAAGAAGAAACTTCTCAAGATCACCCATGAAGATACCTATATCATACTGCTTTCCGTGACAAGACCTTTGTCGGAGGTAATTGGGTTGCGTTGGAAGACAGTGGTTGGGAGGATGTGACAGGACTGTTGCGGATCGAAAAATGGGAAAGAATAAAATGGCATTCTCTTGGCACAAATTGGGCAGGGAAACCCCCAAAGAAGGCTCCAAGAGCACATGTTTGTCTATGTAGATTACTTCATGTATTGGCTACATGTTGATAATACTCGCCAACTCATAGAAACCTACTCGTTTTGGGAAAGAATATGACAAAATATATTGTGTCGCTTGATCTGATCTTCCATCTGATGTTCAGGATTTAAAATCATCTAGCTTTTAAGAACAAAGGCTTAGTTTCGCTCGAATTCCTCTTCTTGCCCAATCTCCTCCCTTTACAAAGGCAGTGTCGCACAAATATGTCGAAGACTTTTGATAAGAGCCATCTCATTCTCATTTGTAAGAGACACTTCCTTTAAGGTATCTGCCTCTCTAATTCCCAGAGTCATCATCGGAGCCTGTGTGTAATTATTTGCTGCCGAGTCTTGCGGCTGAAATCTTCTTTTTAGGCCTCCGCTCTGTCGTAAGCAATACTCAGCTGTCGTCATTCATTCCGCATGTTTATGCCCTTGCACATGACGAGCGTCCCAAGCTGTTAACAAGCCACTTGCCAGATATGAGGTTGGGAGGACAAGTAGCAGTTGTTTCCACCAGCTCAAGCGTTCAAGCACCCCAAAGACCAGCTCGAAGTCTCTCTTATTCATCCTCACCTCTCCCATCCCACAGGCTAGGAGCCCTAGTATACCTAGGAACTGGTTGAAACATTGCCTGTGTGACAAGTAATACCAGAAACTGGCGGCATAGCTGTAGCCCTCGGGAGCAGGAGGTATAGGCAGGTATTGAAGTCTCCCACCAAGCCTTACAGGTCCTCTGATACAATGTTTAAGACAAGTAAGCCCAATCATAGCAACACGAAATCCACACATGGCTGAAAGCGGGTGGTGTTTCTTTGGTGGTGGTGATAGGTGTGTTGGCCAGGATTTCTTGCGTAGACGGTTGTTCAGTGGATTTGCATGAGAATGAAGCAATAAAGCGCGCAAAAGAGCTAAGTCGGTAGTGGAGGGTGTATATTGTAGACCGCAGATTGTACTTGGTTTTCGTGGTCCGGGATTGAGAAGAGGGAGGGTTTGGTGTTATGCTTCAGCAATGAAGAATCGGGGCCAAGAAGCCTTCTATTTATACCCCAATAAATTAAGATGGTCCCCAGTCGAGTCATCATGTAGGTTTATGGGATGGAAAAGCATAGTGCAAGATGCGAAAAGTCTAAACAAGATAGAGTTATTCAAAAGTGTCACCTTGATCAATCAGGATCAGACGAGGAAAATATGACAACGTGGCCCTTGGCTCTTAATATAATAAATAAGAGCCATGCTACTCATGACTTTGCACCAAGGTGAATGACGAGCCATGGCGTTCCTCTGACTCAGGCACCGAAACTTATCGCAGTGATTGGGTTTACATGGCATTTTGTAAGTAATATTATATGAACAGCAAAGAAACAGTTTCTCTCCCTCAGCTTCCACGAGATTTGGCAATACCCTGTCGCAGACAGGAACGGAAAATAAGACTCACAGCAGTAGTTTTTTCACTTCTTATAACTATAGCAGCGACTCTTCCAACACTGATGGTTCCAACTCGGACACTTGTGCTGAAATCAGTATCGGTGTTGGCTTTCGAGTTATGAAAGTTGGGATTCAGCGGCCATGGATGAACGCTGGTATCTTTGGGCGGACAAGGGACTTCTGCCGTGCAGACCCTACACTCGTAAGCGCAGCAGCAGCAGATGTTATCAAGAAGCAGTTAATGCAACGACTGACGAATAACAGATGTTTCAGGCGTTGATCAAGGTAGTGATAACTTACTTCTACCAAGCCTTCAAACATCCTACATCGTTGTCAAGGACATTCACATAGTCTTTACATCAAACAGCGGGTTCCAGGAGGGCACTCTTGACGATGCTCAAAGTGCCTCATCGCCTTGGAGTGGTGGTTTCCTGAGCTCCTCGAACTCGAGCAGTAGCAGCTCGTCCTTCTTTCACCACGAGGCTACGAATATTCAAACTTCTTCTACCAACATCTCGGTCAAGTTCCCAGCCCCACAGATTTTGGGATGGATCAACAAGCTCATGCCAGAGGACAGGTCGAAGAACACGTACAAACCACTTCCAAGTGACGAGTTTGATGATCTTGTTCCAGGTCAGACTCAAGACTCGAGTTCAAATGCAGCATTAAAGTAAAGATAGGTTTGGATTTAGAAGGATGTTTTAAAGGCACTATAAGGATATAAGTAGCCAGCCTAGCTATTACAGTAAACTACTTGCAGTTAATCTTAAGATAAATAAAGCATTATTGAAAAAAAGCTAAAAATATAATAAAAAGTAAATTGCCTGTGTATCACAGGTGGCTGGATCTCTCCCGCCGGGAATTGAACCCGGGTCTCAAGCGTGACAAGCTTGCATACTGACCACTATACTACGGAAGACATAACCGGCTAAAGCCGGCTGTAGTGAGGAACTATGATTGGATCAGCGAGCCGTCAGTATATATACCCCGGTCTTCTAGAAGCTCCCAAGCAATACTTCTGCCCTTCTCCAGAATGATTTGCATACCTTAGGTAGTCTTTGATCTGAGAAGCGTTGAAATGATTTGCAGAATGCCTGAACTTATGTCACATTGGTATTTAGTCTTCCGTATATATTTAATGCTTAAGCCTCGCCCCAGATCTCGTTGGCGATCTTCCTAACCAACGCAAGCTTCTTCTTCTCCTCCTCAAGGTTAAGAGGATATCCACTCTCATGAGTACTAAATCCGCACTGAGGACTGACAGAAATCCTCTGCAGCGCCTCCTTCTGAGTCTCACCAGTTCCCTTGGCCACCCAATCCGCCGCACTCAAAACACGCTTCTTCATCTCCTCCTTATCCTCCAGCTGAGGCAACTTGGTGCTAATGACGCCGACAACGACATTCTTGTCCTTGGGGAGGAACTGAAGAGGCTCAAAACCACCGGCGCGCTCAGTGTCATATTCAAGGTAGAATGTGTTGACGTTGAGGTTGCGGAAGAGCTTCTCGGCGATGATGTCGTATTTACCTTCGGCGAAGTGACGGCCTCCGATGAAGTTGCCGCGGCAGAGATGAATACCTGTGTGCATGTCTGAGGGAATCTTGGAGAGACTGTCGTTGTAGAGCTTGATGTAAGCATCTAGGAGATCATCGACGGTGCCAATATTATCGGAATCAGCAGCCCAGCCATCGCGGAACTTCTGACTACAGAAGTCTGGATAATGTTAGTACTCGGTTTCTCATCCATTGAAAGTAACCTACAAGCCATGCCGGGATCATCGAATTGAACGTTTCGAAGACCAGCCTTGTAAAGCTGATCAAGCTCATCCTGGTAGACCTTGGCAACATCCTGGAAGTACTCCTCATCGTTTTTATACGCCTCGGGAGTGTACGCCTTGCCTTGCTTATAGCGCATATGGAACCAAGCGGGAGTGATCATAGTAAGCTTGATAGAGCCCCAATCCTCCTTTGGCACAAACTTCTGGACGAGCTTCAGCTCATGGAGGTTCGAAACAGACTTCTCAGGGCTGTGGGAGAGTTTTCTTCCAGCAATGACAGACTCTCCAGGCATGACCTGCCGATCAGTCTCGATCAAGCTGACCACGTCAGGGTGGTAAAGACGGAACATGGAAGCATCAGCGTCAGAGAGCTGGGTCGTTCCCTCGAACTCGTCCCACATAAGGCCCCAGAAGCGAGTACGAGTGAACTCTCCGCTGGTAACGGCCTTGAAGCCTAGGTCCTGCTGCATCTTAACAACGTCCTTAACAGCATCATTCTCCACAGTCTCGAGGCCGGCGTTTTCGGGGCTAAGACCCTTCTCACGGATCTGCTCTCTGACGTCAAGAAGAGCTTGAGGTCGGAGCAAAGAGCCCATGTGCTCAGCGCGGAAAGGTTTAAGCGTGGGCGTCATATTGTCAAATATTACGTATAAAGTTCAAAGAAACTTGCAAGAGTGAATTGGTCCTAAAAAACGCTTCTTAAATGATCTCGACTAGAGTAATCTTAGGAGGAGGGGCGTTTGCGGGGCTTCTCATCGTAGGGCGGGGTCCGTCCTAATAAGAAAAGGGCTGAATGGCCGCGATCTAAAGTCGTCTTTGTCCATTTTGATCTGCCGTTTTCCGTATACCCGGTTTATGGTTCTTGGTGGTGGGATTTGGAGAGGGGTAATGACCGGAAGGGATAATGGCCGAGGCTGAAAGAGGAGATGCCATGAACCAGGATGCACTGTGTTACATTGAGAACTGATAGGTTGGTCTTGTCTGGAGTCTGGGTGGTGGTTTTGGTAGTGAGTGAGACGAGGATACGCTAAGGATCTTCAACTGAGTGAGGGGCTGTCGTGGTATTTATATCCTATATCCGAGAACCCTGAGGTCCTGAATCTAGCAAAATAACTCATCCCACATCTTTAGGAACCATAGCTACGACCTAATTAGCGCATATTTACTTTCTAGATAATTACGCGAGCAACCATTTGTCGAGAGGTTCCCCCTGGTGTCGCTCGGAGATTATTCAAGGTTAAATGATTGCAGGCAGTCAATATGCAGAACCCGCTCTGTGAAACACGTCCATGCATAGAAATCCGGGGAAACCCAGGAATAGACCACTCAATTGTGAAATTCGGTGTGAAGAAACAATTGCATATGCAGGAGACCCTGCGCGTCAATTAAAAATAGCAGACCTGCCATTTTTGGTAACTCGTTATTTATCCTCGGACTTCTGTCCGATGGTTTGGATATCGACAGATAATAATAACCTATTGAGCATACTCTATTCAATAGCTAACACAACGGTTGATAAACAATGCTTGTATGAAGGTCGAAAGATTGGCATAGGCGTGCATTTGGCAATGCCTCACGAGGCGTACAGCAGGGCGCATCAGCTCAATTGGTGGCTTGCAGATGCATCATTCCACAGCCCGATTCGTTGTCACTCAATCTATGAGCGGTGATATTCGTCACTTGGTCGCAAGAATCAGAAACCTCGAAGCAATGGTGGCAGAAAAAGACGCAGACGATCCGCGAACTTATATGTTGATGCGCTACCTGAATGATTTAAGCTCCGTTGCTGGGTCAGTATGTGATATGTCAGTACGACCAGCGACACCGGAGTCAAACACCAGCGAGTGAGCCTTTCTGTATGCCCCGGGGCAATGGGGCATCAAAGCTGACAATAATAAGCCACTTAGTCCACGACATGAATTCGCTCCATGCATCGGGGGAGATATCTCCTGGCCTCAAGGACACGAACAACAATCTAACACAACCTACATCCTCCGTCTCACTCACACCGGATACCGTTTCAGGTGCAAGATCCAATCGAAGTACTCTCATGGAGCCCACAGAGAGCTCAGCAGGGAATCAAAGAACATCATCTCCGATTAGAGGATCATCAAAACTCTCCTACGTCACGACTCGTTATCGTTCACCTCTACCACCCAAACTGAGCCCCTTGTCCAAAGACTTTGGTGGATGTACACTATCGCCTAATGGAACCAAACTCCTATGGAGAGACAAACGATATATGCTCATTGATATCAATTCAGGGAAGGTCAAAGATATTGATCCTAAACCGTCCCGGTTCAGCCTTGCAAGTCTTCCATCACGAGCGCATCCCATCATCGAAACCTTCAAAGTCCAAATTCTTACAACCGATGCGTCACTTCTCCTTGCGAGGGCAAGAACAATTCTAGGGACGTTTTGGATGTCCGGTGATAGGCGAACAGGCGAATGGAAGCCACTCGTGAGATGTTCAGATCCTTCCTCGCCTGCTTGCATTCTATCGCTATCACAAAATTGCGCACTATTTGTCCAGATCAATGACAAGGCAGAAGCTTTCATTATCAAGGTGACCAAAACAATTACCCCTGAAGGAAAACCAAAGATCAAATTCTTAACAAGTGGGGCTCTCTGTCGAGGTAATGAAGTCGACCAAAGGCTTTTTACGTTCTCCCGCGTGAAACAAACGATCAGTGCCGTAAGGCATGTAGAGGATTCCGCAATCTTGTACACATGGAAGCTCCACGAGGGCTGGTTCACCGATACTGGCCTATCATGGCAAACACCAGAGCCTAACACACTCCTCTTACCGGCATACCATGGGGAAGATGAGATAGCTATCGTTAGCCTAGTTCCTGGAAGCAGCACTCAGGTTTTGGCAATAAAGTTCCCCAATGATACTCTCCCTGAAGACTTAATAATCACTGGCCAGGAAGTACCATCCTATCCCTCCCCTCCCAAGCAGGGCTGCATCGCTGTGCCACAGAAACGAGCATATAATTACAGCAGAGTTTGCTCAAATTGGAAAGGTATCATCTCTGAAGATAGAGAGCTCATATAGACTAAGTCTTCGGCTGCTTACGGGGAAGTTATAAGCGAGATATACTCTATGTATGCGATTCAACTGGTTGCGAAGAAACCAGATGAATGGAATATATTTTTACCAAATTTCGATCAGTGGGTACGTATGGGAAAGGATACAAGGAGCGGCGATAAGAATCCTAGGATGTATCTTGAGGCATGCAAGCTTAGATGGCCGGAGGAGTGTCAACAAACTTAGGGACATTGGTGCATAGAATATAATACACGACTGATCACGTTGACGTATTTCATCTCACTTAGAACTTCTGTTAAGCAAAATAGTATAATTCAGTATTAGTTTCCAACTTGAAATCCTATCAGGTATAGTGGAAACACTTCATAAGTTCTGTGTGGTGATTATAAGCTCTTGGCCACAGGTCTCAACTGCAAATAACACATCTAGCTCATTATTTGGAACACTTCATCATCCAAGTTAACCACAATATGACTTCAAGTTTTCAGTGACGTTAGAGACCCCCTTTCATGTCTAGTTCTTGTAGTTTAACTCGTCACTTGCCTCTTCTGAGCTTCTACAGCTGGAATATAACAAGCTTACACCATAGCGATCAAAACTATTGACTACAGCTTTGTTCAGGGCCCCGGATTTTAACGCCCGGCATTGCACTGCAACGAGGTCTCTTCTCCCCCCCCCCCGAAATATATTCATACAGCAACACTTATTATTCTAAGGTCTTCAGTCCTATTATTCCTCATAAGAAATAGCATGACTTCTCTTCCTTTCTCAAATACCCTTACTCAAACGCAATCACGATCAATGAGCAAGGACATCAAAGAGCTACACAGGTGACAGGGCAGAGGCGACGAATTCGCAAAGGAAGAAACCGCCAAGTCATACGTCTCCGCCGTCTAAGCTCTACAATCTGAGCTCAACGCTCCAAAATCACTTTTCTCCGCGTCGAGAGCTGTCGTCAAAGAAACATCGGATTGAGACTTATCAAGCAGTTCCAATCTGCGCAGACAGACATCGATTAGTCTATAGAACGAGACTGAGATCATCGTGAACTTGGTGATACTTGAGCATGCTGTTGAACTCTGGGAAGCCTTGCATGAGGCATGTCTTCGTCCCTACCCGCAAGAAGGGACTGTATGGTGATAAGACTATCTGGCTTGATGAGGAGAATCTTGGATACGATGATCTTATCCATGGGATGCCAAATGCTGGAGAAGGAGCGGAAGGGCATGCAGTTAATTCACATTATGACGATGAGTCGAAAGCGTTGGTGAGTTTATTTGTTGGAGCTCAGTGTAGGTGTGAGCAAGGATATTGGTGACAGAGGATTAAATCGGCAGTGAAGGTGACAAACCTGGAACGGTTGCAAGTCGACTTATGTAACCCATGAAGAACTGGATCAAGATTTGCTTGATTCTCGAGACCTTCCTCGAGGCTAGACTGGTGGAGACCATATTCGAAACCGGTTCCAGAAATAGTCTTTCTTTGTTTGACGGCAATACGATCTCAATTCTGCCATATCTCTATCGCACCTGTCCAGGATCTCCTTCAGCGAATCCTCTGGGCTGATAGAACGAGGCTGACGGAATATCAATGCTGCTTTAGCAGCCTCTACAAGCCGAGCCGAGACCGACTCAGACTCAACGATGTAAAGATGTCTGCTCGTCGGTGTGCCAAATGCAAGCACTTTCATATAGATCGCTGGTCCAGGATAGTTAGGTGATTCCGTAATTATGGGGTCTTGGTGTGCCCAGCTCATAATAAAATCCATCAGTGTTACCGCGTCTATCTCGAGTATCATGAACCTAGCTCGCCCAAGGAGACGGTGGCCCGATCTTGGAGCTAGGGCATCTGCTGGACGAAAGAATGAGCCAATGCTATCCTGTGGTGCCTCTGTTTCAAAGTAGACTGGGAAGGTCGCTGATATACGAGCGCCCGCTTGACGGAAAGTTTGAAAGATGCTCGTGGCAGCAGGACCCAGGCTTGATTTGTCTTGGACGTGGGGCCACCACCTCATCATCCACTTGAGAGTCGATATGAGTACTTTGAACCAGAGGCTTCCGATGGGCCGGTTCGTGTTCGTCGTGTGCATGGCCCAGTTTGGGCCGTAGCCGCGCTCGAAGATGTATTCAGGAGCACCAATGAGTCCCAGTCGTCCTGAGGTTAAGCTAATATCGCATAGGGTGTTGAGAATACCACAAATCGTGTCATGTGCGACGTAGGGTTCAAGGGTTTCCAGGTTCCTCACCGTAAATAAACGGTGGCCAAAGCGGAATGAGCTTAGAAAGAACTGTCCCACCAAATCTTCTGGGTCAAGTTCACTATACTTGTTCATTGTTGGGGGGAATATGAAGCCCTTTTCGTAGCTTCTAAGCGTAAGTTTTAGGAAAACGTCCTGAATCTTGGAAGAAATTCCATGCGATTGGTTCCATTCGTATAGCATTTCCAGAAAGTCCTCGGAGTCCCACCTCGGTATAAACCGGTTTATGGCCAGTATAGCTTTGAAACTCCGGCACAAAAGCTCTTCATCGGGAGTGTCGCACGGCTGCCAGAGGCGGCGGCCTTCTTTGGTGTCAAAGATGAATTCTTCGGCGGATCTATGAGTGAAATGGATTGCATCATTCCAGAGTGTAACCTCAAGAATCCCAGGGCAACCAGAGTTCAGATGGTTCCTCATCACTTCTGTCTTTTCCTCCAACCGTTTCCTTGAGACTCGGTCCCCCTGAATAGCATAGCTTTCTAGAAGATCCGGTTCCATCACCATCATGCACTCGAAAGACGTCAATAGAGAGAATGGATTCTTCCGCGTAGATGCTATATGCTTGAGATTAATAGCCATGGATACATATTTTCTGTAGATCCGTAGATCTTCAGCTGAACGTCTCAAAATATCTCGATACAAACTCATAAGATCCTTCGGCATGTCATTCAGGCGCCGTTCGATCTCTTGCTCTGCATCTCCATTGTTTAGGCCCCGAATCAGTGATTGCGTAACGAGTACAGCCCATAAGAAGATGCCTTCAGCTGACTCCGCAACCTGCCAAGCCAACTCTGAGACCCGTAGAGTTTGAGATTCTAGAAGTGTTGAATCGCGCAAGGTTGTTTTGGAGTATTCGAATATATCGAGCTTCGTCAACTCATGCATTTCAAGATATGGGTATATCGAGAAATGACGTGTGAACAAGGGCTCTGGACGACTCGAGACGCAAATCTTGATCTTGGGAGACACCATACTTTTGATAAACCGCAGCGTATCCAGAGTATCTTGCCCCGGACGTGATTCGTCTAAGGCATCAATAAAGATACACACCGGCCGAGAAGGTTGATCCCGGTAGGTGTAGAGCAATTTGCAAAGCCGGCTTTGATCCCAGTCTGACGGTGACGATTTACGGAATGTGGTAGTCGTGTCGTTAAAATAACGAAGGAGATTGGTTTCTTGCGATAAGAGCTGGTAAGCGATAGAGCAAATAAGTCCTTTGAAGGATTGCTGCATAGGACTCCCCGGTTTCCAAAAGAAGTGTGATAGAACGATTACATCCTTATGCCATTTTTCCAATCCCACAAGCGTTCTGGAGTCGGACAGAAGGAACTTCACTAGGGTGCTTTTCCCAGATCCTGGTTTTCCGCTTATCCAGTAAATCAGTTGGTCAGATATGAGCCATGTCTTGAAGTTGTCCCCGTGATCTTCAGTGAAAGAAGGTTCCAAAGCTTCATCTTTATGCGAACTTGTGTCTAGTTTCGGAGCTTTGGGAAAATAAGAACGTTCATCGGGATGATCGTAAGAGTCGCCAACTTCATCGCTGCGTTCTTCGTGATCTAAATCCTGATCTATTGACCCATCCGCTGCTCTTGTCGAGTTGTTGTCTGACCGTTCATCGTCAGATGAGTCAAAACTTTGAGAGTTAGAACCACCAAAGATCCACTCCAAGGTGGAAGGGGTCTCTAAAGCGACAGTAGATTTCCTCTCGTTCATCTCGGGAAAGTGAAGACTTTTCAGAATACGCTCTCGTAGTTCGTCCTCCTCAGCTCTGGCATCAATGCTTCTGGAATCATGGTTCAGCCTTGCGGCCAATAGTAATGCAGAGAGTACTTACTGTCTTCCAGAATTCCAGTATCCAAGGAATGCTTTGGTACAAGCTGCGGCACAGACAGCACCATAGTCTTGCCAGTCCTTGTTCTTATGGCTATCGGCATAGTCGCAAACACTCTTGATTACGATGCAAGGAAAGACCTCCCAGACTCCAACGCTCTCCATTTCGAAGCCTATCACATTCTTCTCTAGTATGAGTTGGTCCCTGTCTTTCCCCGACTTCATCACGGTATCTCCAGAGGCGAATGCTCCGAAGTGTATCATCAAACTTGGCTCTCTTTTGTCTTTGTTACCTGGAATCTGACGTACGGCTTGTTTGATGTCGCACCCAAGCTCTTCACAGCTCGCTTTCAGTGCCTGTGAACATACGGGGTCAAGATCTCTGTGGCAAGAGGCGCAGACGGTGCATTCTCGTGATTCTCGATGCTTGTGACGATAGCCTGCAGGGAATAATATATCATTCGAACGTCCAGGATATGTGTCAGGTACACGGCCGATGAAATCCCGACTAGCCCTCCTCAAGTTTTCCCTTTGACGTGCTGTGGTGAGTTTGGCTAGGAGACTTCTTATCTCCAAGTTTGGTCTTCCTAAGCTCTCGCTTAAAGTGTCCTTCATCTCGAACTTGTCTGGGAACCGACGGCCAAGATCATACTGCACGACGCCAGTGCTGATAATGACATCGCCCAGAAGAATTGGACCGTTTTCAGAGAAAGGCGCGCCTCCACAGATCCCGACGACAAGTGCGAGGTTGATGTTGGGAAAACTCATGCGACAGAAAGCAGCGATGTTTCCTGCTGCAACCTTTCCCATGCCTGGAAGGTGCGCTAGCACCACATTGTGACTTCCAATGACGCCCGTTGAGTATGAGTTTGGGTCACCCCGCGCTTTCCCAAAGGAAGGGCCGTTATCTTCATCCCAGTGGTGGTCAAAAGAGGCAATCACGGCGTCAGCCTCAAGAGTCAGGGCACATATGATGGCGATCTCGAAATCATCACGGGTCTTCGGACGACGGGGCGTAGCTGGAGGCATACTAAGCATTAGCTTGGTGAGTTGATTGAGGAAGCTTGTTCAGGTTCTGTGCTGACTTGAGAGAGCCTGATCAGGCTGGGCTCAGCCGCTCGAGATTCAGCTGACTGGATGCAGGGCACTCACCAATTGGGAACTCAGATGCTAACAAGGGCTTTGAAATAAAGCCAGCAATTGGACCAGGTAAATTCAACACATATCTGTTCTTTTGATATAATAATGGCATTTAAACAAGCTGAATCTCCCTCAATAGGAGTTCAGATGCTCGAGCCTCACCACGGGATAGTGATTGTTGGAGTTGGTGTTTTTGAACGATAATAAACTCATGTTGATTGTTTACTGCGGCTTAAGCTTTTGCGACAACATGCTCTGACCAAAATATCCTTCCAGTCAAGTTAAATTATGGAATAGAGATCGCTTTCTCTAAAGGCTGCAAGCTAGCACTTGAGACTTTCTCTCAGACCCAGCTGCTGACAAACGATGGGGAGGTCCTCGGACGATATTGACGAACAACTGATGAATTATGGGACTCGGGTTCTTCTGGCCGGTTATTGAATGGGAACTATTCCTACAAGTATTATTCTTAAGCGGGGAGGATGTGCTGATGCGTGGGGGTCATCGGAGGCTCGGAGCTCATCCGGGCGATCAGTTCAATATTAGCTGACGATCAATCACGGGGAAAGAAAAGCTATCGGGGAGAGCATCATGTATAAAACGAGACAAAATGAGATATCAACTCAAAATATCTCCAAAATAATGTATATCTTCCGTGACTAAACATGTTTATGTTTTCGTGGCCCCATCACCATCACAAACCCCACGTTAGTGGTCATGCTGAACATGAAAATTGACCAGGATGTGCCGCGGCTGAAAAGCTGGGGTTACGTCAAGACAAGGCGAACCTATCATAGCAGATCCAATGTGATAACTTTCTGAAATCTTGTAATCTGTAGGTATTTCCTCGTGTGGAAGGTCATCTCGATAAACTTGGGTGCTTTTGGTGGCTTTAACGGGTCGGGGAGTCCGGCCTTGGAGGACAGTGTTTAGTGTGACGGATCAACCGATCAGCACTGGAAGATCAACACACTCACGAACCTCGGGATCCGAAGAATGATGAATGTATTAAATATTCTGTAATCCTCGCTTGAATCATCTGCATAGTCAGTATTGGACTTTCTGTCGCTTCAAGACCAGGACGTTACCATACGATGCTTACTCACATCAAATCGATGACTCCAACAAGTGACGCCATAAAATAAGCGGCATCACCACAACCCCTGTCACAAGAACCGTAGATCACCGAACGTGGCACGCGAGCCCCCCGCGCACCCACAAAGACAAGAGTGGATTAGTTACTGAATTGCACCATCAAACCCCGCGACCTCGCAACCTCCCGGGGAGTTCTTGTCTTGTTTTTTATTCCTTCTCAATATCAAGCCACTGACGATCTCTTAACCCTTTCTCATGATATAACATAAACATGCCGCCAGCCGAAAACTCAGAGGCCGGTCGTCTCTTGAAGTCTCAATCTCGCGAGTCTGCCTCTTGCACCATGGCTGATAAGGAAGAAGAGCGTAAAGCCTACGGGGCGATTAATAATGATGGGAGGAGGAATAGCCTTGTTGACGCTGCTGATGATGAAGCGATTATTCCGAAAGGGGCTTTGGATCCGGTTTATGAGGCGAAAGCTCGTATTCTGAACCGTGCTGTAAGTTTTCCCCCCTCGTCTTATTGATCGGGTGGGCGTTAACAATGTCAGATTCAAGATCTCGGTATGGGGCGGTATCAGTGGGAGCTTTTCGTCGTCATAGGCTTTGGCTGGGCGAGCGATAATCTCTGGCCAATCGTCACATCGCTTATTCTTACACCTGTCGCCAATGAGTTCAGCGTAAGCAATCCGCCATACCTTACTCTGGCGCAGAACATTGGTCTTTTAGCTGGTGCAATGTTTTGGGGCTTTGGCTGTGATGTTTGTAAGTCACTCCGCCAGTGCCCTTCAATCCCTGCTTATTGACTCTGTTAGTTGGTCGAAAATGGGCATTCAACATTACACTCGGTCTTACAGCAATTTGGGGCCTCATTTCAGCCAGCGCTCCTAATTTTGCAGCCATTGGCGTTTTCGACGCATTGTGGTCTTTTGGTGTCGGCGGAAATCTACCAGTTGACTCGGCCATTTTTCTTGAGTTCCTACCTGCGTCGCATCAATATCTCCTCACGGTTCTCTCCATTGACTGGGCTATTGCGCAAGTCATCGGTACACTTATCGCATGGCCACTTCTAGGCAATTACACATGCGAACAGGATACAGTTTGTCGACGAAAAGATAACATGGGATGGCGATATTTTACCATCACGGTTGGCGGATTAACACTTCTCATGTTCCTTGTGCGCTTTGTTCTGTTCAAGATCTACGAATCGCCGAAGTATCTCATGAGTAAGGGTCGTGACGAAGAGGCTGTTAGGGTGGTGCATACTGTTGCCAAGAAGAATGGGAAGACGTCGACGCTTAGTATTGAGGATCTGAAGGCTTGTGAGCCGGAGGGTTATGTTGCGCAGACAGATACCAGCGCCGCACTCAAACGATATTTGGAGAAGGTCGACTTGTCGCATATCAAGGCTCTCTTCGTTACCAGAAAACTTGGTCTCAGTACGGGATTGATCATGGCAGTTTGGGCACTCATCGGCCTTGGATATCCCCTCTATAACGCCTTTATTCCGTATATCCAGGCGACTAAGGGTGCCGACTTTGGCGATGGAAGTACATACCTCACGTACCGAAACAGTCTCATCATTGCTGTTCTTGGTGTACCAGGTGCTCTTCTGGGAGGGTGGCTTGTTGAGTTACCGCGACTGGGACGAAAGGGCACGTTGTCACTCAGCACCATACTCACCGGCGTGTTTCTCTATTGCTCCACGACTGCTACAACAAGCGATGCTCTACTTGGTTGGCAATGCGCTTTCAACTTCTTCAGCAATATCATGTACGCCGTTCTCTACTCTTTCACTCCGGAGCTTTTCCCTACGCCTCATCGCGGAACGGGCAATGCTTTGTGCGCGTCTTGTAACAGAATCTTTGGCATCATGGCAGTAAGTTCACCCCCAGGCGCCCTCTCAAACCCAATACTGACTTCCACAGCCCATCATTGCGATCTTCGCAAACCTGGAAACGTCTGCCCCTGTATACACAAGTGGCGCATTGTTCATAGCAGCTGGACTCTTGGTGTTGATTATGCCTTTTGAGTCTAGAGGTAAAGCTGCACTATGAGTAATGATGTGATACCCGATTGGTTATGGATGATGACGATGGTATGAATGGCAAAATATGAAGCGAAGCACTCGTTAGAGATGTAATGAAATAGCGATTTGTTGCACTAGCTGCACTGATTAATGATAAAAGACTGATATCAGTCATGTTTCACTCTTTACTTCTTCTCATCCCGCTTCTTGACTAGATCTGTCTCAAAGGATAGCCCAGACTCTTTTCTCAATATTCCATACATAGAAGAAGAATCAAGGGGTCTTCCCTCAGATTTAGAGAACTGCTTTGCATCTTTCAAATGCTTGATAGCTACTTCAGCAACCTCCAACCTCGCTCCAGACTGTTCAGCAAGAGTAATTCCATGACCAACATCCTTAATTGCTAGGTTCAGGTCAGACCAAGGTCGGTCGCCTCTCTTTGGCATGTAGGCTCCGGTAGTAAGTCGTTGAGACATGGAAAGTGCCAGAGGACCGTATTGTTGCTCAATCAGGGCTTCGAGATTCTTGCTTCCCAGGCCAGACTTTTCTGCTAGGACGTGGGCTTCTGCTACGACTTCCATCATGCCAGCTGTGATGAAGTTTCTATCTCATCATTAGGCATGCTCAGGTATCGGGTGGGAGCACTTACCCTGCTGTTTTCATCTTACTCGACAGCCTCACATCCTCACCAACTCGGATCACACCTCTTCCCATCACACCCTCCAAATAAGGATTGATCTTCTCAACAGCATCATCAGGTCCCGCAACAATCCATAACAGCATTCCCTGCGCTGCAACGGGACTTGCACCAAAGACAGGTGAGGAGATAAACTGGGCACCCTTCTCATGCAAACGGGCTTGAGCGTTGGCAGAAGAGTCCGGATGAACGGTTGACGTATCCACGATCAATTTTCCAGCGAGCTGTTCAGAGATATCAGGGTCGATAATTGAATCAAGGGTTGACTCGAGAGCTGAGTCGTCGCTGAGAGATAGGAAGATGATATCGCAATTTGCCACGAGGTCTGTGGCTGAGGGCGCAGGTTGAGCGCCGAGGCTCTTGAGAGAGTCACCGCGAGAGATAGTCCGGTTATAGTAAGTCATATTGGGGGCGCCTGTTGAGGTTAAGTGTTGTTGGAGGTTTGTTGCCATGGGGAGGCCCATTGAGCCGAGGCCTGCTTGTCATTATTCTGATGTAGCTGGCGGGCGGTAAATGTACCTACCAATCCAGCCAATTTGAGAAGATGCCATACTGAATTTCGATTGAACTTGAGGTGCCTGAGTATACAGATCCACTGGGACGGTAAAGTTTCATATCAACCACAGTATTTATATGTGTGGAATAGGTTCATGATGACTCAAGCTGGGTTTCTTCGGACCCGAAACCCCGCAGCCTCGGATCTGGCCCCGAGCCCCTACGGCCTCTCTCGATCTCTGACGTTTCAATTATGGTCTATCTATAAGATCTAGTATAATTCTTCAGAAAAAAACTCTTTTTCCTACTAGTCTTACCATTATCAAACTATCGGTGCTGATGTCACACTATCGCTCTCTCCCTAATACAGTTATTGTTGCTGAATTACTTACCCTATTGCAAGTCAATTTCCGACTAATGAACTCGCTCAACTCGGAGGTATCCCGCAAGTAGCTTTCGTAGCCTTGCCTACTTGATATGACTGACAGATCTGAGCTGGAAGTCGTGGCATAAAAGGAAGTGATGCAAACGATGAAGTACCAAATTTATTACACATATATATACCAACACCCTCTTTTAGCTTCAACCAATCATAAAGCAATTCCGGGCGAATGGTTTAGTGGTATAATACTCCCTTAGCATGTTCTTTCTTCTGGAAGATGCGCCTCTGGGAGTGGTCCAGGGTTCGATTCCCTGTTCGTCCAATGCCAGTGGTTAGATTCCACTATTATCACTCTTTTTTGCATCTTTCGAGCCCTTTTTGCTACCTGAACCTTGGTAGAATCTATGGGGTGAGACGTAGCTGGAATCACGACTTGGGAAAGAAAATATATGAGTTGTCGGTGGTTTGCCGCCCTGGGTCTGAGGCCTGAAATCTGACATAAGATCATGGAATCCTTCAGTTCTGAGTCTTACCATCAATTGAACTGTTGTTTTACCCCTCACAGACATGGATGTAGGATAACCCCGAGCCGAGGGCCTCATAAGGATTTTTTGAGCATCATCAGACTTCTTGCCGTCTCGAATTCTAATTCGGATATGGCTGTCGTTCGTGCAGCTGCAAGGCCTGCGCTGGTAATCGTACCTGGCAACTTCAGCTTACCTCGCTTCTGGAGCGCCATCCAACGGTCAGTTGAAGACAAGGGTTATTCCGTCGAAGTTGTTCCTCTTCAGTCTTCACGTGAAGAAAGGATAGATCCTGCGCCAGGTCTGGCTGATGACGTGAAGGAGGCTCGATCTGTTCTGAACAAACACATCAACCAAGGAAAGGATGTTGTCCTGCTTATGCACTCATATGGCGGAATGGCCGGAACTGAAGCAACCTGTGGCTTGAGCCGTCTTGAGCGGGAGAAGGCAGGCCTAAAAGGCGGGATAACCCGTTTGGTATTTCAGGCTGCGATCTTTGCGCCTCCTGGCAAAAGTAGTCAGGGGCTATACGAAGCCAACCCAGGCCGCTATCCCCGCCGCGAGGTACGTGAGACTTACATATGGGGTTGAATGTGAACTAATAGGGACTTCGAAGGGCGACTACCTTGTATGCGATGAAGAAACAGCCATGTGCTTCTACAGCGATCTGACGAAGGAGCAAGGCCAAGAACTAGCTCAGGCAGCCTCTAAGATTTCACAGGCCGTCAGGGTTTTTGGCGATGAGCAGACATACGATGGTTTCCATAAACTCATTCCGTCTAGCTATATTCTGACTAAGAAGGATATCCTTGTCCCTGAACCAGCTCAGCGGCAGTTCATCTCACGACTCGAGGAGAACGGGGGCCGACCTGTCCCTGTTTTTGAGCTTGATACGGCTCACTCGCCTCATCAGACGAACCCTCAGCTTTTGATGGAGACTTTGAACAAGATACTTGAGCAGGAGCATGGATCAGAGTGAGAAGCGAAGAAAGTCTGAGGATATGACTGAAGGTTTTGTTTAGTCAGCTAATTTGTCACCTTCACATATCAGATGTTAGCCAACGGCTTGACTTTCAGTAGATCTGCAGTTTGTCCGTAGCAGAGTGAGACAATAAGATGCCATGGCAAGCTGACAGCATTTCAAGAGTTGGCGGAAAGTCCGGCTGCAATGTCGTAGCCGGGATGAACCAACTGAAGAATCTTCAGCTTACCGATTTTCCCGATCAGCTCAAGGATTTTAATGTATTGTCAGCCACATATCTTAAGTAGCCTGAACGAGCATTGGGAGCCATGTTAAACCCTGGCGCAAGGGTCGATCATGTCTCAGCGCCACTCCCTTGCGTCTCCCCTTTTGATCGAGACTCATCACGCTATTCAACACGAAAATCGGCAGTCACCAGGTTTCGGTCACGAGGTAGAATGACGGTAGTGAGAATGAAATCCACAGATATATTTGAACGTCAACTATGTGCTTGTCTCGTGATGCGTTGCTGGTGGTGGATTGAATGAAATGGTTAGGCGGCAAGTTGGTCGCCATCTATCGCGGAATATGCACCAAAATACTGGAAATAAGGCCATTATAACAGCCCAATTGATTCTATGCTAAAATAAACCATAGCATATTGAACTTCGGACTTCCCTATCATTCTGCCAGGTTCAATTGATTCGATCCCTGGACCCATCTGAAAGTGAGACATTGAGCTCGTTTAGCCCCTTACCCATTCCTACCAACCCATCTTGCCTCCCTCAAACACGCTGCCATTCAAATCGATAACGAAAATTCCAGCGCGTAAAGTTTTCTCATTAACTTAGCGAGTTTCAGCACTTTGCGCTGAAGCCTTCCAACCACGCTCGTGAACGAGGCCCTGGCGATGCGGCTCTCCCTGCTTTACTAGTGCTCTTTCGCCACAGCAAGGCGCTGAAAAGCTGAGCGACTGGCATGTATGACTACCGACAAAGCGTTTTAATGGTTATCGAATTGTTGAGTACCGTAGCTCTGGGCTTCCCAGCCACACGGGTTGACGTGTGAATAATGCAGTATCGATACGAAGATGTGCAACCTCTTTGATATAGCGTTCCAGGCAGAATGAGTGGAGTACGACGCCATGTATATCAAGAAGGCCATTTCTCTCGATTGAAGAGACTCATCATCACATCGACCAGACAAGAACAAAGACATCTTTCGTTCATCTCTATAACAAAAGTCTTCTGCATTTCTTTCATCACATAATTCGACTTCAAGATGAGAACATCATTGGCTTTCCTGGCTCTGGCAGCCACAGCCTTTGCCATTCCCCAAGCAGTCACAGAAGATATTGCCCCCAAGGGTAAGGCTCCGAAGGGCTGCACAACCTCATACGATGGCCAATTTGAAGTCACAATCTTCAAGCCTGGAAACGCTAAGCGCGATGTCACTGAGGTAAGCAAGACCACACCCGCAAATGTAACGCTTGACTAACAGACAAAAGCGATCGTGCAGTGGTGAAGGTGTTCTCGTCTTGAGCCTCAAAGATGGCGTTCTCAAGGACGCCCAAGGTCGAACAGGCTATATCTCCGACAGCTACCAATTCCAATTCGACAAGCCCGCTCAAGCTGGCGCAATCTACACATCTGGTTTCTCAGTCTGCTCCAACGGAACTCTCGCCTTCGGACCCTCTGCAATTTTCTGGCAATGCCAATCCGGCGACTTCTACAACTTATACGACCGCAACTGGGCTGAGCAGTGTGAACCTGTTGAATTCGGCGTCATGCCCTGTGGGAAGAATAAGAATGCAAAGTCTGCCCCTAAGAAGAGAATCGTGGGAAGCAGTGTTGTCGCAACTACTGTTGTGACTGTTGTTTCTGACGGTACGACGAGGGAGGTTCCCACGACTATCGCTGTTCCTATGTGCCAGATTGGCGATGGACAGGTTCAGGTTCGCACGACGCCTTGTGATGATATGGAAATCCCTATCATTACTGCCCCTCCTGTTAGTCAAGTTTCGGATGGCAAGCTTCAAGTTCCCACTACGGCTCCTCCTGCACCTCCCGCTGTTCAGAAGCCTGCTAAGCCTGCAGATGGCACGCCTGCAGAGGGCGCTGGCGGCGATGCTGGGGATAAGCCTAAGCCTGCTGGCGACTCGAAGCCTGGTGCTTCTCCTGCTGGGAACGATGCACCTGATAACACAGGTGCTGCCCAGGCTGATAAGCCCGCTGGAGATGAACCTTCTGGCACTGGTGCCCGACGTGCTGGAAAGTCGAAGCCCACCGAAACCGACGATGAAGTGCTGGTCACTGACTCTGGTACTCCCTCCGACACCGAGACTGAGGAGGCTAGTTCATCTCGAAGCACACGCGCCGTCAAGCCTTTCAAGCCTCAGACGACCGAGAGTGACGACTCCGAGGCGACTGGAAGCAGCTCCAGTGCCGGCTCGGATGACGCCGCGTCTACTGGTGCGGCTCAGTCTGATGCCTTCAAGATTGCCGCAAGCTTGGGCATGGTGTTTGTATCAGGTCTGTTTGGATCTCTGCTGATTCTGTAAATGATGATGCGACCAGGATGATTGATTGAGGTTATGATTGTATATGTTTTCTCGCATAAATGTGGTGTTCTGGTTTTCTCATGTTGGATGTATTGGGTTAGTGAATTTAGATATTTCTTTACAAATAGTCAATGGCACAATTAGACATGGAATCATAGAGTTAAAGGTACTCAAGGCTGACGTTCAATTGCCTCTACCTTGTCACTGCAAGCTAAGATCAGTGAAGATGATTCCTCATCATTACCCCACTGTAAAGCATGGATGTGGGTGGGCCTGCTTTGGCACCATGGTTAGTGTCAGTCATCGGCATTCACAGCGCATCTTAGCGTGTGAGGGGTCCTTTACAAACTTCCTTCACTCACAATCCATTGAACTCGGAAAAATCACAGAGAGGTTTGTGTAGAAGAAACAATGGACCAATCATTCATAGGAAATATCACAGGGAGTGTCAATCACTTCACGCCGACATCAATCGCCATCACAATCGCGGTCTTGCTGGGCAGTCTCATCACCATCTGGCTTCAGAATGCACCCTCAACACCCAAAGAACTTCGTCATCTTCGAAGAGAAGGCGTGTCGTCAAGTAACATGAGCGATCAAACCGATTCAAAATACGATCTACCCGAGAACACTGAAACCAATGGCCCAATTCATATCAAGGCAATCTTCGTGCATCCCATCAAATCATGCGCCCCAGTCGAAGTGAACCGAGCGCAACTCATCAAAAGCGGTTTTGTCTGGGACCGATGCTTTGCTCTAGCGACAGAAGTCAATCGGGCGGAATCAGAAGGAGGTCCGATATGGCGATTTATCAGTCAGCGGACTAAACCACTCATGTCGCAAATTAAGACTGAGTTATGGCTCAGACCCGAAGGTGGCAGCGATGCGAGAGAACCTTCTTTCGATTCAATGGGATGCCTCGTCTTCAAGTTCCCAAACCCAGATCCTCCGACTTTGTATCAGCAGCTGAATTCATTTTTGTCTTCGCATCAACGGCAAGTCTCCGCATTCGTGCCACTATCTCCGGATGAAAGTTATCTCAAAGCGCATGGAATCACTATGAAGACCTTTGCCATTCATTCACGGGAAGCAAAGGGCTTGGATATGGGAAATGCACCGACGATTGCCACCGCACTCCCCAAACTCAAACGATTCCTCAACATCCCCCAGCATCAAAATCTCACTCTTTTGCGCTGTACACCAAACACTCTTGTGCCAACTGAGAAGAACCTCGCACCGTTGGAACACATCGGCAAACCGGCTGTTCACGGTTACACAGACCAACAACCCGTCAACGTGAACAATCTCGCCTCCGTCCACGCCGTTTCAGCCCTTCTCCCCAAGGAAAATCAGCCTCTCAACGCGCTTCGTTTTCGCGCAAATATTTGGATCACAGGCGCTTCAGCGTTTGACGAAGAAACATGGAAACGATATTGCATTGTGCCAAAACAACAACATGCAGCCTCCCCTTCACTTTCTGTCGTTTGCCGAACATCGCGCTGCACTTTACCTAACGTGAATCCGCTTACGGGTAAATTTGATACGGACAAACCAGATGGTGACAAAACGAGAGGGAAAGCGCAGCCGAGTTCAACACTTGTTAAGCATCGAACGGTTGAGGATGGAAACCCAAGGGCTCTTGGGTACCTTGGCATGCACTGTGTGCCAGAGAATGCGGGCTTGCAGCAGGCTGCGAACAGTGTTGAAAATCTGTATGTTCAAGTCGGTGATGAGATTGAAGTTCTTGAGCGAGGAGTTCATTTATATGGATCGACTGCCAATGACTACTAGCCCCAGGACACGCCGCATACAATTACTACCAGCTCAGAAATCTTAAAACAAGAAACTCTACGTTACAAGGTCAGTCAGTATCTCTACTAGAGGTATCCTTGACTAGCGCAGCCGATCAATCTTACACAAAGCCACCTTCGATGCCAAGCCAACACCTGTGTCACCATGTAAGCGGTAAAGATGCGTTGATAGGCTATCTCGCTCTAAGGTGATTGGACAAAGGTTGCTGTGTGGCGTTTTGTTTGAGTCTGATTGTTGGGTGACAGTTGAGTTCGCACGCTATGAACCATTATTATTAAAAGCTTGAGTAGAGTTTATTCTGATATTGTCGAATTCATACTTGAATGACTCGATACTGAGAGAGAGTAGTAAGAGATTTTGTGAGCACCTTTACTTCTTGGAAGTTCCTACTGAGACCTGCAGGACAGCTCCTCAGATATATTACCACAGTGTGCACATCTCGTTTCAACATACCTGTCCTGCCTGTGGCTTGCCGTCTCCTCACATTTCTTTTGTTTGTTTGTCCTCCTGCATTTCCCTTTCCCTGTCCTCTTTCCATCTTGTTTCCCAGCCTTTTGTCTCTTGCATTCCAAGTCCCACGGTCATCGTAATCATGAGTGCACCAGAGCCTGCGGCGATATGGCTTCCTGACGAGGTCCTCTTAAATATCTTTTCCATGCTACAAGATAGTAACGACCCCGATGCAATCTCCAGGAAACAAGCAAACATAACCCTCTACAACGCGTGCTTGGCATCAAAGCGACTCGAAAGCCTTGCTCAAAGGGTCCTGTATCGCTGCATCGATGCACGATCATCAAAGTGCCTTTTAACGCTTGGCCAAATTCCTCGCCTGTGTCGGCTGGTTCGAGAGCTGTATTGCCCTTACGATGAGGAAGTAGTCAATGCCTTCCTACACCCATGTTTTCGAAAGTATATATGGCTCCCGTCTTCATGGAATGACAACTATCCGAATTGGCTCGAAAGCGAACATGGTCGACAAGAATACTACAACCTGGCAACAGCATTCTGGGTGAAGAGGCTACCCAACCTAAACAGACTCACTATGAGTCTGAACTGCGACATGAATGCCTTGACAAGCCTGGTACGAAAGAGTTTGAACGGGCAGCCAAAGCGATTCCCTCAGTTGACGAGAATTGACTTCAACGCTTGTCCAAGCGGTATACCACCGTGCATTCAGCCGAGCTTGGTTCTTTTTCAGCTTCCGTTTCTCAAAACAGTGACCATCCACGACATGCCCATCTTTGCGAAAACGAGCAGCGGAGACCTGGAAATGCCAAAGAATGCCTGCAGGCGACTTGAAAGGCTTGATGCTGACTTTTCATGGATCACACCCGGCAGCTTGCAAAATCTGCTATCAGTCTGCGAGAGCCTTCGCTTCCTGGACATCAAGATCGTAACAATGTCAGCCACAACGTGCGATCCATTCAGCTACCGCTTCGGCGACTGGATTCAGCACTGTCACGCCTTGGAGAGTCTTGACATTCAAATCAAGGCATGTAGGCGGTGGACGGACGGATTGAGTGGTGGAAGGCAGGTTCAGGAGCAGACGTGGGTTGCAAACAACATCGGGTCACTCCAGAACCTGACCCACCTCAAGAGATTCTCCTTGAGTGTAGAGTTTCGTCACTTGACGATTCCAGGACCTTCCATTCCTCCCCCCGGACCGTCAAAACTTGACCTTGAGCTCATGCTTCCAACCTCGATCGAGCAGTTTGAGATCAGGAAGCTCGGTATTCCAGACTACAAGTCTTTTGTCAGGAACATACGCGAACTCCTCCAGTCAAAACGGCTTACGAATTTGTTTCAAGTATCCGTGGCAGCTAAATTGAAGCCACATCATATCACACAACTGTGCTGGGAGGTACAATTGTGTGGATCCGGTCAGTTTGATAAAGTCATTCACTTGGTGCACAGAGATCGCAAGAGGAGAATTCAATTGTCGCGCTATGAGCAGGGGTCATGAGTCTTGGAAAGAACATCCTCATTGTCTCGTGGTTCACATCGAAGTGCCAGCCTAGTGACTAGATACACGAAGATTTATGTAGAAAATAATTAGCCTGTCTCATTCTGGTTAAGCTGGCCAAAAACTATTTCTATGCCCTTAAATCCCTCCAGATTTCAGTGAAAGCTAGACCAAAGCTGCCCCAATACCCAAAGTCTTCAGTCAGACTCATGTCCCTGTTCGTCTGCCCATCTCGCCTTGCTCTGAATTCACTGCCTAGCCTTATCATCCGACTTCATCGAAAGCAATTCCGGACTACCTGCCGCGCCACTTAACGCCGTGAACAGGATGCACGCCCACTGAATGTCTATGACTTCCTTGAAGCGTTTCGTTTCGTCTGTTGGCATGTGAATATGGATAAGGTGTCCTGACAGCACAGGCTCGCCCGACTTGGTGAGGTGTCGAAGTGCTCCTTCACAAGGTGCCGGCGGTGGACTACCTTGATCGTGGAATACATTGAGCTCTGCGATCAACTGTTGCCAGTCGCTCCCGGAACCGGTGTCATGGATGTCCATTTCTTGACCAAAACGCTTCTTGGTTTGAGGCATCCATCGGAACTGCAACGTCACCTCTGATTCGTTCCCATTGGAGGTCTTGGTGTATATATAATTGAATGCGCAGTAGCCCTTTGACCACAGCTCATGCACCTCAGGATGGAGGCAAATCATGTTCCATATTTTATCAGTGCCTCCGAGTTCATGTGGGTTGCAGACATAACAATTCGCTCCTAGAAGATTCACACTGAGCAAGCCAGGACCGCGGAACTTAATATCTCCAGTCGTGTTGTTATGCTCTTTGGTGTCATTCTATGTGTACGGAATGATGTGGCTAGCCATGGGGTTTGCTGTACCTAGCACAACACAAGCATTGCCGTCACGTTCCAGGCATTTAGCCTCTTCAGCTAAGTCACGGACATGATCATTGAGCTTGAGATCAGTCCCGAACATGGGCATGTCCCAGGAACAAGGCATATCAGTATCTGATTCGCCCTCAGACGCTGGACTCCCAGACCTTACTGGAAGGTGGTCTTCCAGCTCATCCAGGCACAGAAGATGATCTGGTGCAGTGAAACGGCTATGGGGTAGTACCTGCAAAGTTGAAGTAGCAAGGTTTCCTATGGTGAACCAGAAAACAAGGAATCGTGGATAACAGAAGAAGAAAGAGCATGAAGCAACGAAGACGCCAATCAGCCTAGTCTAAAAGCCGAATGCGAAAGTTGTTTGGTGGGTCAACTCATGAGTAGGTAGCTCAATCTACCATATTTCAACACGGCCTCCTCAATCCTTTGATTGGTTCGTTTTCAAGTGTTCCAAACAATTGTAATATTGCCAAAGCAGATTGTGGATGACCTGCTAACTTGAGTGACCAATCACTGGCCAGATTGGCTGTTGATGAGTTAATATTCAAACGCGGGGCAGTAAGCATCTATGGATTCTCCAGATCCAACCCTGCACTCAAAACGTACTGAGTTGTCGCAAAAGCACACAAGCTTCCCCAAGACCCAAACATGGAACAGCACGCTAAAATTGTCATGGCTCCACGCAAGCCTGATCCGGACGACAAAAGCACATCCATCTTCCTCGCGGGAATAACAACAAGCACCGGCGAGCCTGACTGGCGAGAAACTCTGACAAAAGCCTTGATGAATCACCCAGTGACAATTCTCAACCCAAACAGGCCGGACTGGGATAGCACGTGGAAGGAGGATTTCTCAGACAAGCGGTGGGAGGAGCAGGTTTGGTGGGAGCTTGATATGCAAGACGCCGCCGACATGATTGTTTTCTTTTTTCACCCTTCAACTGAGGCCCCAATCAGTCTTATGGAGCTTGGTTTGGCTGTCAAGGCAAAATCAAAAAGGGTAATCGTCTGTGTCCAGGATGGCTACAGAAAGAAAGGGAATGTTGAAGCGGTTTGCAAAAGATTTGGGGTAACATTGGTGAGCACAGGAAACGAACTTAGAGATGCTATCATTGTGACACTGGAAGGTGGCCAGGAATGATTTCTCTATGATGTTGTGATGCTTGTTGAGCTTGTTGAGCTTGTTGAGCTTGTTGAATTATATTAACTCTTTCGTGTCTTGCAAGCTGACTTTGCCTGATCAATGAGAACGGCAAGCAACTTTGTACTGATTTGTTTTATATTACCTAGCCAAACACATAGTCTAGTCTGAAGCTTGACTAGTTTATCTAATATGAACCCAAATTTTGTTTATATCTACTAAGTTTATGTAAATTGCGTGACAAGTTTACCTACATAGAATCTAAGTCTTATTTATATTTGGTAGAAACATCCGGTGAAGGCGCTCACACGATCTCGTCATAATTGTTTTTCGTTTAGTTTGCTTCAGGACAAATTTATAAGGGGCAGATCATGTCTCCCCTTCCAAGTCACTGATTCACCCTTCTTCAACTTTACATCCTCCACCCTACCTCAGACATTAGATTTTCATAGATTCATGATGACCTTACCTAAGTTTAGGCGTCCAAGCTTCGTGGAGAGTCGCATTACTGTGAATCCTTATACTCAATTTGGTCTGAGCAAAGACGAATTATATTCCTACGTTATCCTCATCCTTGATGCCTTCGAGCGGCATCCGAGAATCACGGAGAAGGCTTAGAAGGATGTTGGTGCAAGGCCCACCTCGTGGAAGACTCCTGATCCATGGAAAGAAAGTATTTTGGTATAGGGACGAACATCCTCATCTCGGTGTCTGATCCTTTGTTATTCTTGGTACCATGTCGCTTTGTTCTCACAATAGCCATTTAAAGCGCTTGTTCTGTTTTTACGAAATGAGCCATCCTCAGCCTGACTTAATTCAAGTGTATGTTCAGCGATTGAACAATGGGACATTAACTAAATGAGTATCAGCCACTTGTTCTCCGGTCTGAACAAGAGAACACCAATTTCATTGACTTAGGCATTTAACTCACATGGACCTCTTCTCTTCACAGCCTTTTACTTGTTTCTTTTCTCTTATTTCTATATGTCGAGGAATTCACCTGAAACAGAATATCGGCATCCTAAAGTCCCATATTCAAGAATCATGACTGAGAGTAGCGAGAATACTCCCGACTGTTTTCGACCTTGGCAGAGGCGAGCTCTTGAGAATGGACGTACGCCATTGCCTGAGAACCCAGGAGAAAGGCCATGGTTAAACACTTCATCAGATACTGAAACAGCCACCTCTTCTGTCACGGTCCCACCTGCGTCATTTACCTTCATTTCCCAAAGAAATGCAAGTACCCTTGAAGTACAAGCCTCTCCCGATACTGTGGTAAGTGTCACCAAGTCCATGTCAAACCTCAACATCAACTAACATATTTATCAGGGTGTCGCACAGAACTACCGCTGGTGGACAGAAGGTGAGAAGAGACGTCTCATTCATCTGAGAAACAGCGGGCAAACTTGGGCCGCTATCAGTGTAAGTATTTGACATAAATTATCTAGAACGTAACTAACTGCATTTATAGTCAGCTTTCCCAGACAGGACTCTCCAGGCCCTCAAGCAGACATACCACAAGCGTCGATTTGCAATTGAGCGTCAAATGGAGAAAGAGGCGGCCGCAGCGACTTCTGCTGACACTTGTCTCATTAATGAAGACGGTAAGAAGAGTAATTCTTGATGCGAGAAATTACAACCCAGGGGTAATGGAGGTGGCCATTGCCGGTGTCTACATCTCTCCTTTTACTATTAAATTAATTTATCATTTGACTACCATAGGCCCCTACCAAATCACCCTTTCATCGATTTCTTTTTCCATAAATATTGTCTTTGGATCATTGAACTTACATAACTACCTATAAGCATTCCTATACTCAGACTGACTGATATTTACGGCCGATGATATCTTGACGAGATATATCAACCCAACACGTTGAAAAGTCTCAACTATCTCAACCTTCCATATAATCGACTGGATAGAAGTTATTCTTTCTCTCTCCCACCGGTCCGATCACTCGACAATGGACATCTGGTACGACCAAAAAGATCAAGTTCTGAAAACCCAGAACTCTAAACTTTACACAAAATGAAGGGACTCTCCCAGGTATTGAGCGGGCTTCCTGTTCATCCACTCGAAAGGGTATCGATCTTTTGTTCCATAGAGCTTACGCCACCTTCAGATCTCAAAATCAGCTATTTTCTCTAACAGCACTATAATTAAAACAACATTTCTTTGTTACACACATGCACAATGGCTCTATTATAGTATTCAGAGCTCAGAAGCTCAAATCTAGTCCTTTCCTTCAATTGGTGATCTATTGGCACTGCAGAACAATGCCAGCAGATGCACAGCTGGCTGCCACTGACTGGTGATTCCATCATTTCTCTCTTATTTCTCCTACCTCTACCTTCTGCTCCAATTCCTTCTCACAGCTCTTTTCATTCATAACTCACAAACACCCAAAAAACCCAGAGAACAGAGAGAATCAGAAAGCATAGTCAAGATGAGGCCCTGGCAAGAAAGGGCACTGAAGCGGGGGCGAACGCCCCTGCCAGAAAGCCCTGGCCAGAGGCCATGGCTCCTCCAAGAAGTCTCTGAGCGTTACTCTGTAGATCGTGAGATTTCAGGTGCTGCTCAACAACCCGATCAGGCCGACGTTCCTGTATCAAACCCGGCCCCAGCAAATGTCAGTTCCAGATCCCTACAAGCCATCGTTAACTTACTAAACCAATTATCAGGAGAGTAGAGACTTGTCATACCGATTCTGGGAGGAGTCTGAATTGCGTCGCTTGATAGAAATGAGATCTGGCGGGGCACAATGGAGCGCCATTGCGGTCAGTCTTACCTCTAATTCCCCATATATGATTCATTCCCAAGTACTAACAATTCTATAGCAAGCTTTTCCTCAGCGCACTTTAGAGGCGCTCAAACAAACCTACCATAAGCGTCGACATGCGATGGAACAAAAGATCGAGGATGAGAAAGTCGGTGACAAAGCGGCAGAGAAGTAGTTTGCAGAGCGTAAGGTTGTTTCTGATACCGTACAAGACGGGCTCGGCAGACAGCCATTAATATAAAACACATAAAGCTTTCCACAGGGTTCCTGAGGCGGTCCAGGACTGCTTCAACTATAACGCACTGGTCGTCAAGCGACTTGACACTGATAACCTCGTCAAAGTACCATATCCTAAGGTCCTGCAAAGCATCACATTAGGAGACAAGTACTAACCTTCTGCAGCAACAAATCCCAGACCGAAACCTTGAAGGGCTGAGACAGACTTACCACAAACGACGCCATACAATGGAACAACAACTAGGTGAAGAGGGAGACAATGCCGCTGCCATCAGTATAGAATAAATGGATATAACTTAGTTGACTCTACTATCTGCCTCAGCTTCAGGGATATTGCCACGCGCACAAAATAAAGCACTCGAAATCGCACAGCCTCAGACTCCTCATCCCCTAAAACACCGAAAAGACTTCTTGAATTCAAGCACGACTTGTCTTCTTCCACCTGTACTGTTCTGGGTTTCTTGTTCTTTCTGAACCCAGTCTGTATTGTCCGCCTAATGGATATGCAGGCTGGAATCTCTACTATATCAGTCAATCCAGACAATTAATTCATACGTCACCTTCATCACCTTTCTTTGAGTCGTTAACGGACACAGCAAGCACAGGCGAGGTTGCGAAAGATTACAAGACTTGAAAGAAATAGCTATCGCTACATACATAATCTGGAGTCTCAAACTACCGACAGGTAACGTATAACAGCAGAGGTATCACGATTATAGCCGCTACAGCATCTTCTACCTAACTTTCTTTACGGTTTCTACAGTAGTTTTCGCAGCAAGGATCGGGTAACTAGGTTCATCAAGTGGCATGCGATTCGTCAGAACCATATTTGCTCGGGGCTGTGATTTCTCCCGAACTATAGCACAGAAATAAATTTTTAAATTGCTTTACACATCTGCTAGCCTCAAACATCATAGGGTTTACCACAAACCAAAAGCTTAACTCGCTTAAGCAAATCAACATAAAGCGCAACTCACATTTTTATGGCCAAACGCGCAGTTAGCGAGCGAATTCAATAACGCCTTATAGACAAGAGTCAGAGTGTCGAATCGAAACAGCCGATAGGGGACACAAGTTCGTCTCAAGTTGCAATCAAAACCAGATCTGATATAGTTTGTCAAGTAGCTTAACGAGATACAAACGTTTCACTTTAACAAACCCCCCCCTTGGCTTTTCTATCGCCAAACTTAATCTTTTAACTCTGACTCAAAGTTTTCTAAGAATGAATATAAATAGCTGTATTGCTCCTTCTAACCATTCCCCCGCTTTTAACTCACGTCAATTCTCACAATGTCTGACCGTATCAAACCATGGCAACGAAAAGCCATTGGACGGGGCCGAACTCCCCTTCCGGACGCACCGGGCCATCGTCCATGGCTGAAGAAGGATATCAATATCGATACTTCGGAGGCTGGTGCGTCTAACAAGGAGTCCAGCAGTGGGTCTCAGACAGGATCAGAAGTAAGCTTCAAGGTCGAGTCGGTGGTTCCCTCAAATCCTCTTATCAGAAGCCTAACTAACTAAACCAGAGAAAGCCCAAGAAAGACGCTTAAAGACGTTTAAAGACACACAGCCAAGTCCATCACAAGCACTGATTGATGGCTAAGGGCCGGAAATTGAAGTTTCACATTGAAGACAGTGTTGCTCGGAATAGGGGACAATATTCAATACACATACAATAGGCTCCAATTCATCACAATCTCTTGATTTATAAATCATTCATTCACTTCTCTTTGGAACAATAGTCTTCGGCTTATATAGACAGACGCAGTGACGTTAGCAGATGTTATCTTGGCAGTTCCAGGTCACTGCCTGACAATAGCACAATCGAGCTCCTTCAGCCATTGTCCTTTACTAATGCCCACAACATTCACTGATGAATGCATCAAGAAATCAACATAAATATAGTTCTTCTCTCCCTTAGTATAGCAACTTCTTTAACTACCAGACCTTCAGCTTGTCTTCTACAGGAACACCAATATCACCGTCCTGATCATTACCTTCATATAAATCATGTCTGGGATCAACAACGAAACACCTCCCAATGCTCTTAAGCCCTGGCAAGTACGGGCCTTGGCGAAAGGCAGAACACCCTTGCCGGAAAGCCCCGGCTGTCGGCCATGGCTGGAAGACAGCCCAGCACAAGAGGCATCTGAACCTGGACAGGTAGTTGTAGATACTACAGCGTCATCCCTCACTTCACTCCCCTCAAGTCCTAGGATAGCCCTCTCCAGTTCGCAAGCTGAAATGGTAAGTACCCATACATTTTTGACTCTACACACCCGGTGCTGACAAGGCGATTCTTGTTCAGAATAGCCACCAAGGCTACAAGTTCTGGAACCAAGACGAAGTGAGGCGCCTCATCGAGCTGAAAAGAGAGGGCAAGTCCTGGAGAGATATCAGCGTAAGTTATTGTTCTGATTTACTTGCCCGCATCAGATTATTGACTATTCCGTTCCACAGGAACACTTTCCTGAACGAACGATCGAAGCGATCAAGCAGACATATCACAAGCGAAGATCAACTGCGGAAGAACAGATGCGCCCAGTCATCAAGAAAGGAGAAGATCAGCCGATGGAATAAAGAAGGATGTTTGCTTCAGATAGAAGGACACAGAATCACTTCCATTACCAATTCCCCGTTTGCCCTTAAACAATGCTTACCTTTCGCTGTTATACCTTTTTATTTTCTATCAATCAGTACTTTTATCTTTATCCAGTGAAGGCTTATATAAAACACATGAGTTCGAAACAATCCTTTCCTCTGCTATATATGATGTATCTATTACAAAGAAACGCTTGCGACCCTTTTTCTTCTTCTTTTTTTTTTTTCTTTTACATCACAAGCACCTCGCGTACTTCAAACGGAACCTTCTCCTACGTTGATATAGTTTGCTATTCTCTCCAAGTTCAACCAAGTTCAAGCTCTAGACAGTGCTAGGTCGCTGCCTTATTTCTAGACAATGAACGGCACAATGGCCAACCGTCTGCATCGCGTGAGCAATTAATCCGCAGGGATCTGCTGCACATGCTGTCAGTGGATCGAATTAACAAGAGAACAAAGCGAGCGACGACAACACGACCTTGAACCAGAACACCAGCTACCTGGGTCCTTTCACCATTCTTTCATCCCGTTTATCAGCCACACTAACAACGATCTAACCCTTATACTATAAAGCTTGATATTCAGTGATATCATGAAGGCATCGGTCAACGCAAAGAAACCCAAGACCTACGCCTTCGACGAGGCTGCTCGAGCCAAGGCACTGGAGCTCGCCCTCCTTGCCTAGAAGGACACCAAGTAGACTAAGTAGTCTCTATTTCTGTGGCCAAGTTAGTAAATCATTGGACTTTGGTTTTCTTATTTTGTAGCTTGGTCTGGATGCTCTATGGAAGCAAGGACGGTGGATGAATCTGACTCTCTGTTTTGCTAGCAGTGGATTACCCTATGCCATCATGTTGGCGGAATGAGATATGTACCTGCTACCACTAAGTTGGAATAGACGTTCTCATCGATACTGGGCTCAGTATTTAATTTATCAAGGCCATCATAGGCTCAATAAACTTTATGATAACCTCAAGTTCAAGCATGTCATCTGTAGTCCAAACTTAGAGCACCGAAGCCGGAGCAACAATTAACCGCGTGTGTCTTCCGCCGGCTCCACTCAGCACCCACCGAACCTCCCCCACATTGCAATGACCCTCTGAATTCCGCGCTCCAGTGGCGGGGTATTGGTATATCGCGAACTTCATCATCACCCTTGAACTCTACAGGCCTCGTTTTCCCTCTTGGACAATTGTGCGGCCAATCTTCTACGTGGTCAATTGTATTATTTTTGGATATCATTTTCTTTCTTGGTTGAACTTCTGTACAAGCCCCAACACCTGCCCACCATGGATGACCAATTTGGAGGACGCACCGACGATGATCTCTTCTACGATGACTTCGAACCCGTGGAGAGCGAGACTGTCGTCACCGCTGAAGCAGCGCCGGAACCTCAGCCTGCACCTGTAGCACCAGTTCAGGAACCACCCGCTCCTCAAGAGAAGCCGGCGCCAGCGCCAGCTCCCGCACCCCCCTCCAAACCCGCTGGCCTCTCCTCGTCACGATATGCCGATAAACCAGCTCCTCCCAAACCCGCGAAGCCAGCCCCTCAACCGACATCAAACGCGCCCCCTAACGCTCCAACGGCTCCTCGCGAGAAGAACACCCATGGTTCGCAAAATACCGCCGCCAATGCTGCAGCTCGTCTTCAATCTGGCGCAAACCCGCGACAGAAGCTCACGGATGAAGAACTCGCTGCCAAGATGGAAAAGATGAAGCTCCTCAATGCAGAGAAGGCGCGCAAGTTTGAGAAAGCCGAAAAGGATGAGAAGGATCACGCTGCGGCGTATGCTCGCGGCATGGAGGAGGCTAAGAAGCGCCGCGCCGAGGAAGCTGAGCGACGTAAACGTGGCGAAGAGGATAAGCGCAGGCTTGATGATGAGCGCGCTAAGAACAGAGAGCGAAAGCTCAAGGCCATGGGAATGAAGGAGGGTGGGTGGGATGAGGGCAAGGATGCTCTTGAAGAGGAGGAAAACAGACGTTTCCGCGGCGCAAATGGTGGTATTCGAGGATCGAGAAGCTCCGGTCTTGGTGGAAGTCGGTACGCTTCAAAGGACAACGAAGAACATGACGTGGACCGCTTCCTGGATGAGCGGCATCGTGGTGGAAGGGGTAGAGGTCGTGGCCGCGGAGGACGGGGAGGCCGAGGCGGACGCGGTGGGCATGAAGGCGCACCACCAGCACCAGCGAAACAAGCTGTCCCAGCAGCCGAGGACTTCCCAGCTCTACCTGGTGAGGCCAAGAAGAGCGCACCCGCACCAGCGATCGATAAGCCGGCTTTTGCAGCTGCAGCAGCTGGACCTCCACCACCGCTGCCGCCACCAACTGGTGGAAAGTGGGATGAAGAGATGGATGAGTATGATGAGCTGAACAAGAAGTCATGAACAAATTGAAAGAGATGGAAGACTAGGGATGGCTTGACAGCGGAGTTGGAAAATACCATAGGCAGCATTGTTAGACAGCATCGATAGTCAAAGCGAGATTGAAAGAATTCTCCTCATTTCTATTTGCCTTTTGGCGTTGAGCTGCTTTTCTAGAAAGGGTATTTATTATCCTGCTCTCCGCCAACTCTTTCATTCTTATTTCCGTCCATTTTATACACAGCGCCGAACGCCTGAACAACCCAATTAATAGTTAGACAATGATTACCATCCTCCACGATATCCCCTTCCACCACGACCGCTCCTATATCCTGAACCTCGAGGTCCTCTGGGTCCACCAGGTCCATCGTCATCCATAGGGGCTCTCGATCGACCCTTCATCTCCTTAGGGAAAGCATCGTATGTCTTCCTCATCTGCGCATATCCTAGATGCATCTTTCCATAGAAGTGATCGGCAAGACGTCTGTCGTTGTCCAGTCGACTGAGGTAGGCACCGCAAACATCGCAGACTTGCAGCTTCTGGTGGCCTGAGGGACCAGATGTGTCGGAGAGAGATTTGAGTTCCTTTTCGCGGTCGGATTTGGATTGTGATGCTTGACGGACGCGGAAGAGCTCGTCTTGGGCACGTGAGACTTCGCCCATTGAGCCTAGGATTTCGACTTCGAGGAGACCGTTGTTAATGGAGGCTGAGAGGTCAGAGATAGATTTTAGCTGGGAAAGTTAGCGTTGCGCAACAAAATAACAGGTCCAGGGACGTACTAAAACATTGGTCTGGCGAATCTCATCAGGTGTCTTCTCCAATCGTCTCTGCGCAGCATCGATTCGGCGATTACAATCATCGATATACTTTTGCAGATCGCGCATATAATCGTACTCAAATCCATATTTCTGCTTCTCCCGATCCGATAGACCATCGTACTCCGCCTTCAACCCTTCATTGTGCACCTTCGGACACGGTCCTATGTCCTGCTTTGTGTTTGTGAAGAGATCGTGCGGACAGGTGCCTGCGAGGTATGATCGACAGACTTTGGGGTCGGTGAGTGATAGTTGAGCGGCGCGCGATGTTGAAGATGCGCCCATAAGCTGCTCGAGCAGCTTTCTCTGTTCAGCAGCCATTGCAAATACGTCGTTTGAAGATGTTGAAAGTTGGCGGGGCCTCAAGATTCAAGATGCGACGGCATGTGGAGGAACGCGCCGGGAAGCTAACTTTCTGCCAATTTCCACCGCTTACTAAATCGAATCCTCCACGTCGCAATAGCTCTCCAAGCTACGACACCAAATCGATCTCTCAAGGGCAAAGGTGCCATGTGAAGTCTTGATCGACTTCCACACTCTTTCACCTTTTGCTTTCAAGATGCGCCACTTTCTGGCCTATCTCTTACTTGCCATCACAAATGGCTTTGCACTCACTTCGGCAGCCGCATCCGGTTATCACGAGCAATTGACGCTTCGACCTTTACCCCTGTCCCAACTCCTGGCGAGCTTCAACTTCCGAGCCAATACATCGATTGCCGATTTTGAAGCGCATAACTTTCGACTGTTTCCTCGATCTTTGGCGCAGATTCTTCAATATGCTGGAACACGAGAGTTACATCTACGATTTACGCTAGGACGATGGGATGCTCAGTCGTGGGGTGCTAGACCGTGGGATGGAACGCGCGAGGGAGGCACTGGTGTTGAACTCTGGGCGTGGTTGGACGCTGAGACTGATGAAGAGGCTGATGAGAAGTGGTTGACGTTGACCAACGCTCTTTCAGGATTGTTCTGCGCCAGTTTGAACTTTATCGATGAGACGAGAACGATTCGACCTGTTATGTCTTTCCAGCCCGATGGCGACCATTCAAACTCGTCGCTTGCGAACACAAGACTTCTTCATGGTGTTTTGCCGCATGAAGTTGTCTGTACCGAGAACTTGACACCTTTCTTGAAATTGTTACCGTGCAAGGGCAAGGCTGGTATTGCTACGCTTCTGGATGGTCATAAGCTATTCGATGCATCGTATCAGAGCATGGCAATTGATGTTCGACCCAAGTGCAATGCTGATGGAGAGTGCTTTTTGGAGATGGAGGAGACTGTGGATATGGTTCTTGATGTCAATCGATCCAAGAGACCTCAAAGTATGTCCCTTGATGCTCTTGGATGACCCCTCTAACAATTGTAGACAACCCGATTCCGCGACCCCCTCCTGCTCACGAGCTGCTCTGCGATACCTCCAAATCCTACCACTCTGACCATGCATGCTACCCCGCCGACAGTCTTGACGGTCAAGATTGGACTCTATCCCAAGTCTTCGGTCGTCCCATGAAAGGTACATGCCCTCTCACCGACCCCGACGTCCCTCCAGTCTGTGTTCAGATCCCCCAGTCCCGCGACATCTACACCACCGAAGGCGCTCGCGAGATCCGATCCCAAGATGGAAACTCTCGCTGCTACAGTCTCGACACCAACGCTGAACTCACCCTCATGCTCGTCAAGCCCGAGTCACAGGACGAGGACAAGATCCTTAATAAGCCCGAGACACCTCTTCTCTACGCTGATCGCAGTTTCAACGGCCACGGCCAGGAACACGGTGGTGTACAGGCCATTCTGAGCAACCCTAGTGACACCGATGTTGAGTTTGTCTACATGGAGTCGCTACCATGGTTCATGCGTATCTATCTTCACACCCTCTCGGCCCGTATTGCCGATTCGCCTTCGTCGAACTCGAGCGATCTAATCAAGGAGATCTACTACCGCCCCGCACTCGACCGCGCAAGGGGTACACAGCTTGAACTTCTTATGCGCATTCCGCCACACTGTACCGTTTTCCTGACATACGATTTCGAAAAGGCCATTTTGCGATACACCGAGTATCCTCCTGATGCCAACAGAGGTTTCGATGTCGCCGCCGCCGTTATTACGACATTAGAGCCCAAGGTTCTCAATATCCGCACTACGACACTGCTGCTATACCTACCCACGCCTGATTTTAGTATGCCATACAATGTTATTATCTTTACATCAACGGCGATCGCACTAGCATTTGGAGGATTGTACAATATTTTGGTCAGGAGATTTGTGGGTGCTGATGAGGCGCAGAGTACGGCCTTGAAGGCGAAGCTGTTGGCACTTGTTAATAGAATAAAGGGCAAGGCTGGGAAGCAATAGACATGATGTATGAGTTATTTTTCTTGGTTACAATACAAGCTGTTACTGTTACCGTCTGTGATCGTTTTCAGCTGGCATGGTCTTGCGATCCGAGTACATGGCCTTGGGGAAGAGATCACGAATGATGGTCAACGCGATCAAATGTGTCCTCGGTCTTACCGTCTTTGCCACGTCGACCCTGCATTGTCCTTGTTGAATAATCATCGGGCCGCGTCATTAGATCTGGGGAACGTGGACACGAACTTATCGCATCTCTGTTGAGGTTCCAGATGACGAGTTGAGGTGTACATGTGTTCAGGGTCCTCGAGGGATTCTCAAGGGCAGTCCGAGCCGTATTTGATGTTTTCAGGGAGGATGTGGACGCTATCGCAGTGGCCTTGAACCGAAGAAGAGCTCAGATCTGCACGTGGAGTAGAAGACGAAGACTCGAACCTGGTTTAACAATGGACTAACACTCTGGAGTTCTACAATACAACAACAGATTTTAAATGATAAGAACTATGTATGGCATATACTGATCATCTCTTCTTCGAGGCATCTCCGCGAGATGTAACCGAGATAAGAAGGCATCAAGTAGAAAAGGTTCGGGCCTTCCTCCCTTTCTCAATTACCTTTATCTCGTCCAATCTATCAGCATTTGCCAAAACCTCCCATGCCCAACATCGTCATCTTATAGCACTCCGACTGCCAGCTTCTCGCATTCCATGTCAAAACGTAGTGCGCCTTGCGCAGTTCGCAACCATGAGACTCCTCGCTCTACTCCGCTTGACCATCGTCGCGGTGAATGCATACTACACTCTCTCTGTCTACGCACCGTCGCTTCCCCAGATCCACGCGCGCATCATCAACGCGAGGAATAAAGCCTTCATTATCGGCGCCACAAAGCCCAGTACGTTCTGTGGTCTTGACAACGCTACTGAATGCCCTGATGGAACATCTACACAAGTAGATGGGAATATGACCGGTCTCGCAGTAAGAATCATGTCACCTCAATCGACGTTGTTACTTACAGGTACAGGCTGCAGTCCCAGGTGGTCAATTCATCTTCGTCGCCCCAGACGGAATCATATCCTACCCACCCGCACACTCCGCCCTCCGACCTCCAGGCTCACAAATGGGCGGCTTCCATCCCGCGCATGTCATCTCAGAATGTAAGATGCCTGTCACGATACTCATGTGGTCCCCGGAGAATGCAAGTCCCGGACTTTGGGCTTGTCCAACGGCGAGGAATGTACCGGTCATGAAGGAGGCGGTTCTCAAGGCGACGACGGACACTTTTACAGGAAGGGGCTGTCTGACTGTTGAGGGAGTCGAGATTCAGACTGCGGGGGACAAGTTTGCTGCCTGGGCTTACACGTAGGAGGGGTTCGGAGGATGTGACATGTGATTATCAGGATGATGTGGACGACAGTTGATGGAGAAGATCTTTCTGGGGTGTTTCCGGTGATTATTCCCAGTCATCAGCGTCAGTTGATGCTTTGTATCTTTGTCTAAATTTAGATCCTGAGTCTATCATTGTCCTTCGTCATGTCAAGCAGTGATATGCTGTACATCAGTCTCTATTTCCAATGTGAGGCCTTCCAGCCCCAACTAAGCAGTTGCTTCTTTCAGCACACTCGGTCAATATTACCCTTCCTTTGCCTTCAAAGATAGAACTCCCGTAAAGATGTCAATCTTACCCGTGTTTGATGAAGTTTATGATGGCATTCCCCCACTAGCCCTGCACCCCGCAACTTTGTGGCTGCATACCATGTCCAGCTGCCCCTGATAGAGTGTCCGACTGGGTAATATCTCGCCGAAATCTTACTATATGTGGCAAGTAACTAAGATCACTTGTCGGAGACATTTTCCCACTTGTGTAAGTGGCTCCCAATCATGAACCTGTGCCGTCGTCGTATAAGTGATAAAATGACGACCTCCCACGAACGTCTGACCACTTCATGTCAATTCAATTTCTGCCAGACTGATGTCCTGCACCATGGCTCAGATTGCGACACAGACTGCTCAGCATGCTTTCAAGGAAGCCTATCTCGTCAATGATGGACTTCTTGGATCTGACATGATTGGGAAGCTCAAACAATCGTACCCATCCGAACCGATCGAAGACCTGAGAGCCCGCTATGAGAAGGATGGGTATCTATTTATGAAAGGTCTTCTTCCTCGCTCTGATGTGCTTGGCTGCCGAGAAGCATACTTCAATTTTCTGAGCCCAAGCGGTGTTCTGCAGCCCAACTCGGCTCCCGTTGATGGTATCTTCGATCCGGATAACAAAGGCGTCAATTATCCCAGTATCGGCGCCGGTCCTTTTGGCAAAGAACAAATCAACCCAGGTTCCTTCGCTAGTCTTGCGGAGAAGGCTCACACGGAGGACTTTTACCTTGAGTTTTCGAGACATCCAGCCTTGAGAGATTTTGTTTCCAAGTTGAAAGACTGGGGCGATGATACCAAGTTACTCCCGAGGTCTTTGTTGAGGAACAATACGCCGCATAACAATGCTATTGGAGTGCATTATGATCAGTCGTTTCTGCGATATGGAGAACCTACTTCGGTGACAGCTTGGGTACCGATTGGGGATATCAGTCTACAGGGCGGTGGGCTGATATACCTCGAAAGCAGTGAGTCTCTATTACAGCTGTGAAGAAACCTAAGAGCTGATCGATGAAGGTGACACTCTTGGTCGAATACTGGAAGATGCCTTCAACAAAAAGGCAAGGGAAGGTGGTATGACTGAAGAGGAACGCATCAACGCATTCAATACAAACATGATGTCCAATGGATTCTTAGAACTCGGCCCCATCAAATTTCTAGAAGACAACGGAGGTGGAAGATGGCTTTTAACAGAGTATGAAGCCGGCGATGTTGTCTTTCATAAGCCACATATGGTGCGTATCTGCAATACTTAGATGATGCTCTGCTGATGTTGTGCAGATTCACGCTTCAACTATCAATAAGGATCCTGAGAACCGGATTCGACTTGGAACGGATTTGAGGTTCGTGGATTCTTCGAGACCTCACGATACGGTATGTGATTCTTATGCATAAAGGGTTCGGCTAATCGTGATGTAGAGATGGTCTGCACCTTTTCGGCTTGATGATGGGCTTTGAAGAAGTGAATCAAGTCTGGGGTCGTCGTGGTTTGTTCGCCTTCCAATACTCCTTAAGAGTTTCACATACGCCAGCTGTGAATCAAGGCTTCGGATTTCGGTTTGCATACACGTTTTTTAATGGTGTAAATAAGAGTAGGCTATGTCTCTTGGTATTTGCGTTCATATGCTATGGGACTTGGAAACATATCAAGACTGTTCTGAAGAAGCGTTCGTTTCAAGTCAGCTACATTCAAATTGGGACATGTCACATGAACAGAGAGCAGAAAGATAACAGTCGTTCTCCATTTTTGTTTTTGGATATCTAAATCGCTACTAAAGTCAAAGGCATAACTGTTGTCGATTGATATAACTAAAATACAAACATGCTGCTGCGCTCGATGCTCGTTAAACCTAAGTCTTTGTCAACCACATTCATAATTCGTCAAGTCTACAAGTCAAGACGTACCTCCTGCACCGGCTTCACAGTAACGACTTTTGTTTTGGTCATCTTTCCTCCTCTGTAACTGTACTGGAAATTCCACCCACTGCATGCAGCACCATGGTTTCCGTACCGATCCACGACGACGATGCCGCTCTTGAGATCGCCGTACTTGCGAACCATGCGAAGAACTGCATCCTCGGCTGCTTCTTTTGGTGAAAGGCCGTTGCGCATACCTTCGATGGCTTGGTAGCATGGGAGGAAGCGAAGCATGACGTCGCCATCGCCTGTGGCTCCGCAGCCGCCAATGTCGCTGTCGACGTAGGAGCCGCTTCCAACAATGGGGCCGTCGCCAACGCGTCCGGGGATTTTGTGCGAGGCGCCGTTTGTTGTTGTTCCTGCTGCCATGGAGCCGTCTTTGTGGATTGTGATGAGAGAGAGGGTATCGTGGCCGGTTTGTTTATTGGTTTTCATGGTGCTTGTTGTGAGGGTGGCAAGGGGCTTGTAGGGACCGCATGATGATGCTGGGTTTGGGCTGACGTTGATGCGATAGTTGGGCTGGCACTTCTTGGCCTTCCAGTCCTTGCACTGTTTATCGGAGTTTTTGGTAGACAGGCTCGTAGTCTTGAAGCCGTTTTGAATAGCAAACTCTGTGGCTTGGTCTCCGACGATGAGAGAATGGGTAGTATGATCAAGGACATGTCGAGCAACAGAAATCGCACTCTTAACGCGACGCAGAGCAGCAACCGCACCAGAATTCATACTCCCACCATCCATGATCATCGCATCGAGTGTAGTTTCACAGTTCTCATCAGGACTTCCTCCAAAGCCTACACTCCCATCGCACTGCTTGTTCTCACACGTCGTACCTCCAATTTCAACCGCGTCAAGAGCAGAAGCCTTCTTCCCCAGCGCGGTGAAGGCCGCATCCGTAGCAGCAGTGAAATCGTCACCCCAAGTATTAATAACAAGAGGAAGACCAGGTGTGTTACCCGCCGCGAGTGTAAATGTTGATAGGGAGAGAACTCCCACGAAGATAGAAAGGGAAGACATTTTTGTTGTTCGATAACGATGGTGAAAATTGGCAGGGAGAGTGGCGTTTCTTATACGACGTTTCGAAACAGACGCTTTTGATAAGCGTGGCACGGGCTGTGAACCTTGTAGGACGCTATAACCAATTGTTTCACAGACCGGCACTCGATAGCTAATTCAGCCTGTTTCAATGCAATGTGATAGTAAAGCAGCTGCAGGGATGATTGCTTACGCGTGACCAACATGAGACCGTATTTAAACCCCTCATTCCAATCTCACATTCCATTCCAACCTCTCTTTTATTTTTAAACTTCCATCTTTGTGAAATTCACATGCCAAGAGGAAAAGATTAAAGGGCTTTTGCATAATAGTTAAATAAATTAAACCGCTAGCTACACCATTACAAGCTTATAAAATGGCTGTGCTTGCTGACATTGACGCTAACGTTGACACTGTATCTGAATTCCTCGCTTGGGCTGTTGATGTGTGTCATGCTGTGCGAGGGATACACAGTCTGGGATATACAGATCGCTGTGATACTGACTTTGCTCGCTTGCTCGAGGGATTGACGCATTCGGTGAAGCGTGTTGAAGAGGGAGAATACGAGAAAAGTCTGATCAAGTTTTCTTGTGTTCAGATTGGTAATGACCTCGTCGTCCACGTCAACCGTGTCTTGAACGCGTTCAGTGATTCAATTGATGTCGCTGGGTTCTGCAAGCTTTGGCCCCTGGACGATGTTACGGCGCTGAGTGTACGGCTCCGTGAAGTGTTGCATCAATGCCAAGACATCTTTCCGTCTTCACAGTGAGTTCAGTTGACTTTACTGGTTACTCTCGAGAAGCTAACGGTGCGCTAACGTCGTCTTGCTAGTGAACTCTGTCTACCCTTGCTCGCTGATTTACAGCTCACGAACAGTGAGCTTGAACCTGAAGAGACTGAGACGAAGAGTTTAATTGAGAGCACGGAATCAATTGTTCACGATGATGTTGGTAAATCGCCCGGGCAGATGCCGATTGTCCCGAGGCCTCCGAGGCTAGCTCCCGTGGGCCTCATCAATGACTTCATTCTCGAGAGTCTGTCATACAAGAGTATGCATGATCGCGAAAGTCAAGTCACTGAAGCCCACGCCAAGACTCTTGATTGGATCTTTGACAACTCGCCCATCGACCAATCTCTGCGTCAGAATTTCAGAGACAGCTTCGTCTCATGGCTAAGTGGCACAGACTTGGGCGCTATCTACTGGATCACTGGAAAACCCGGGTCTGGTAAATCTACGCTCGTGAGATACCTCTCGCAGCATCCTGTCGCCCTGTATCATCTTCGCAGATGGGGCGGCAAGAAGAGAGTCAATACAGCGGGTTTCTTCTTTTGGACCAGTGGTTCTCGACAGCAGAGGTCGCAAACTGGTTTGTTGCGATATCTCCTGCATCAGCTGTTGTCTTCAGATCCAGAGCTCGTCGAAAAGGCGTTTCCTGATCTCTGGAGTCGTTTGCGACAGATGACAACCAAGGAACGAGTCAACTTTGCCCTAGAATGGACTGTTCGAGATTTACAGGCTGCCTTTCACTCTCTGCTGGACGCAGCCTTGCCTGGTGTGAATATATGTCTCTTCATCGATGGTCTTGATGAGTTTGATGGCGACCATGTTCAAATCATCAACTTCTTCAAAGACTTGACATCCAGATATGATGGCAAGTCACTCAAGCTATGTCTTTCTTCTCGACCCTGGGACGTCTTTGAAAAGGCATTTGGAACTTCTGTTCCCAACACGAAGCTTCAGGATCTGAGCTACGATGACATGTACCGCTATGCAACAGATACACTCAAGGCGAATGACCAGATTCGAAGGCTTATGAAGCAGAGTCAGGACTCGACTCGTCGCTTTATCACTACGCTTGTTGAACAAGCCAATGGCGTTTTCTTATGGGTTAGACTTGCAGTTGAGCGTATGCTTGTGACATTTCAAAAGAACGACAGGTTCGAAGTCTTGGAAACAACTCTGAAAGAACTTCCCACTGAGCTTAATGATCTCTTCGAAAAGCTTCTTTTCAAGGATCAGACATCCCCAGAGATCATGCAAACTGCCACTCTGTTCCAGCTCATGCATGCCAGGGAAATAGTCGCGGACTTTATCAAAGATGAGTCTTCCAACTCACTCACTGTCTGGGAAGTTGCTTTTGCACTGTTCAAAGAGGACGATACTCTCGCTCTCCAGCGCGAAGTGATAGAAGCCACGGATGAAGAGATTCAAAGACGCTGCGGAACTACAGTACAATACATTCAGGCCCGTTTCTCAAGGCTTTTGAACATCCACGTTGCGAAACCCATGGGCAACATGCGCGTTCCCAAGTTCGAAGACAGAAATGCCAGCGTTGCAAGTCTTATCACGACAAGCAAGGTTATTTACATACACCGCACAGTCCGAGACTGGCTCATGGACGGTGGGGCAGGAAAACGTCTCGAAGCACTCCAGTCTCCAGACTTTGACTCTCATCTGCGACTTCTAAGATCATATGTTCTGCGATTGAAGCATCCTCTCGAAGAAATTGAGCATCACCGGCGTTTGGATGAGTGGTATCCTGATATTGCACTCGCCATGACACATGCTCGATATATCAGCAACGATTCGCATGGTCTTCAGAGAAGGTTTTTGAACGAGATGGATAAAACTCTATCTTGGCTCTGGCTAGAGAAACCCTCGGATCGGTATGATCATTGGGCGAAGAGTACGTTTGGGGCTTACGAGATTCGGATGAAAGCACCTCCCATTTACAGGCCTTTCTTGTGTCTCGCTACCAAGTTTGGCCTAACGGAGTATGTTTGTCAAGAGATCGCAGACCCGGGTCACGAAGCAGAGGCCCTTGAGGACGACGAAGAGGACGGATCGACACCATTGCTTTCATACGCGACAGAATTCCTTTGCTCTCGCAACAAAACCATCTTCCCCATGTCATCACCCAAGCTCGTCCACTGGCTTCTCAATAATCCCTCACGCATCAACCCCGGTCCCAATCACAACTACAAGCACTTTGTCACACATCAGCCGATTACTCCATGGCTAGCTGTTCTTCGCCATCTTCGTGATGCGAAGCGAAGGGGATGGATTGAGTACTACGATATCAACCCCGAGGGAACTGCGCGTTGGGCTGAGATTGTAAGAGACTTTGTGCAGTTTGCGGATGTCAATGCTGTGATTTTGAAGGATATGTGGGATCCGGAGATTACGGCCTTGGGAGTCATGGAGATGCTGGAGGAGACGTATGGTTCTACTGAGGTACAGAGGATCAGGGTCCTGATGGAGAAGAAGATGGCTCAGTAGACGTGTGGCTTGATATCGTTCATACATCCTCTAACAAAATCATGCGGGAGATTTATTTCCTGTGTGTATTTCTATTCCGTATTGAAGATAGGCAACCAAAATATATTCAATGGTCTTTTACATCTTCGTTCTAAAAGTTCTAGTAACCTTCCTTCCGGTTGACTTTGTTGATAAAATCGTTTCGTCCCTGACTCAACCTCTCAAGGTTCAATCTAAAAATATCCAACAACCTCGTATAATAAAATGAGGAAGCAGCACTGATATGTGGCGTAATAGTCACATTCTTCGCACTCCACAGTGGATGCTGATCCGGCAAAGGCTCAGGGTCGGTGACATCAAGCGCCGCACCCTTGATAGTCTCCGAATTCAGCGCCTCGATAAGATCATCCGTATTGACGATAGGGCCTCTTGCAATGTTAATCAAGAAAGTTCCCTTCTTGCCAAGGATTTCAAACTCAGGCTTTGAGATCAACCCCTTGGTCTTGTCGGTCAATGGCACTGAGATGACGAGGATATCTAGTCCTGAATCGAGAAATTCGTGGATTTCTTCTTTAGAACCGCCGGAAAACCACTTGCTGGGAAACTCGCCCTCAGGATCACCAAGGCCTGGGGGCGTGTAGGAGTCATCGCGGCGAGACTCCTTGGTGTTGCGAGGGTGAAGAGTATAGGCATGGACATCTAGGCCTAGTGCTTTTGATAGACGGGCTGTTTGACGGCCGATACTGCCGTAGCCTAGGATACCACTGTAATGTGTTAGTTGAGATTCTCTTGTAAGAGCTTGGGGTTCTGACATTCGCTTGCCAGCTGTGTCTTCAGTATCTTCGGCACCCTGATGAAGACGTTTCCATTTTCCTTCATCTTGAAGCTTTGCATATTCCTTCACTATCAAATTGTAAGCCAGAGTTTTGAAAAAGAGCTACTGAATGTCCTACAGTGAAGTCGATGAGATAGATAAGTAGTAATGATCCACTCCGCAATTTGAGGTCTGTCGATTAGCTATAGTCTTCCATCTTGCAAGTCCAACTCACCCATGAACTCCATTGGCGGTCGAAAATGGAATCTTTGTATCCGTAAAGAGGGGATCCTTGATTAGATGATTGGCACCAGCACTGGTAAGCTGAACATATTGCAAATGCGGCGCCTGGTCTGGTTTCGGCAACAAGGTAGCAGTCAACAATACAGTAGTATCCTGCCACTCTTCTTCCTTGAAACTAGGATCCAGAGGTGCACCCCATGGTTGAATGAAAGTCTTGATGGTTAGATCAGGGAACTGTTTCTGAATAGCGTCGATCTGAGCCTGGGGCGGTTCAACGGTTGAGAAGATTACAGCCTTATGGCCTTTGAGGGTTTTGTTGTTGGCGATCCTGACGAGCGTCATGGTGAAGTTGCTGATAGTGAAGATATCAATTGAAAGGATGAGTGGGAGGATTTGAGGGGATCATGAGTGAATATTGAGTCTAGAGGATGACAAATAGACACCCATGGTGATGTTGTCGTCAAGGTGGGGCTGATTGACGCCTTGAGATAAGGATGGATGTGAGTGGATTGATATTGGGATGGAGAGGTTGCATAGTGCCGATGTTGCCATTATAGTCTCGGAAACGAATTACAGCTCAACTGTATATGGACTTTGAACATATAGGTTTCGGGTTTCGCAACGTTGATTGATTGAGTTGTTGAGGCTGACCTGTCTTAAAATTGACTACCCTATACCGCCTCGGACACAACGCCGAACTTGCTATCAATGCAGCGCTCCACGGTCTGTACGGTTGTGCTGGGCCATTATGTTTATACGGGGAATTGGCAATGTTGATGCCGTGTCAACGTCCTTACTCATACTGTAGACATTAGTGTTCAGTTGCTTCTGATTCGGATGAGAGCACCCCCCTCCAGATTCACGACTACTGGGACTCTAGAACAGTGGCTGAGCCATAACTCTCATTGACCCGACAAACTGTAAGAAACTAAACAAAACAAAACAGAAATACTTTTTTCTATGTTCCAATGAATAGAGTTATTTGATAGTTCCATTCTTTCAGCCCACCCAAACCCCGTGGCTGTACCCACCAAACAGCTCAGCCCTACAGGCAGCCTACGCTAAATGTCACCCACTAGCCCCTGCAGAACCGTTGGCGGTGGCAGAGACCAGCAGCTGAAAACGCCCCTAATTTCCAGAACCTCGGGATGATTTCACACAGCCCAACGCCATGAAGGCAACAAAGAGCAGCTGATTCTGCCTTCATGACAGCCACGAAACCTTGAGATGTCTTCAAATACCTACCCCTCCCCCCACCTGAGGTTGAGTCGATCATCACTCAACACTTCACAAAATGCCTCGGGTCGTGCTACCAGATGTTGCTGCGTTGAATGAAAGCCTTCTCAATCCTCTTCCGTCGTACTCAGCTACCGACAATGACGACCTTCTAAACCGCATCGAAGCCGCTGAAAGCGTCGAATTTCCTATCCTCCACTCCCCCGCCAGTCGTGCGACGAACCTCCAACGCCTTACCGCTGATGCAGATTGGGCATCTTACCATGAAGCATACCGACTCGAATCCGACATCGTGAATGCCTTCTTCTCTGCCATCGAGAACGGACACGATGATATCGTCGCCAATTTTATAGCCCGTGGATGGGTGTCGCCCGATACTACAAGTCGATGGGGCGAAACACCATTGAACGCAGCCGTGCGCGCTGGCAAGGTTCCCATGGTGAGCCGCCTCGTTGCTCTTGGTGCTAGCGTCAATGAGTTTGGTCGTGCAAGAAATGATGAAAGCACTGTCAAGGCTGAGGACTTGCCTGAGCGTACGCCGTTGATGGTCGCTGCTGAGCGCGGGCACCTGGCATTAGTCAAAGTCCTAATCGAAGACTACGGCGCGAAACACGACCTCATTGCGCCCGATGGAGCGATCGCTCTTCGTCTAGCTGCTGCCAATCGCCATCGTGAAATCGTGCATTATCTGCCTTCCATTCGCGGCGGCGCGTGGAAGCGATGGGCGGTTGTACACAAAAAGCAAATGGACCGAGCGCGACGAGCTGTCGATAGAATCGTCAAGTTCATCAGAATCCTCATTTGGGATCTCCCCAAGCTTTTGGTCTGGGATGCGCCGAAGGAGATATTTCGCGCTGCGTGGAAGGTTCGCCATCGAGTGAAGACCTTCTTCAAGGAGTTGCCCGGAAAGCTCAAAGACGCGATTATCGAGATACCCGGAACCCTAAAACGCGCTGGAAAGGAGGTTTGGAAGGGCATTAAGGAGCTTCCGTCGCTTCTGAAGAGCTTGGTCAAGGCAATTTTCAAGGTATTTTGGAAGGTCCTAACAGGGATACCCGGTGCTGTAATGTTTGTTCTCAGATGGATCGGCAGTGGATTGAAGGGCATCGGTGAAGCCATCCTCAACATCTTCGTCAAGCTGTTCTCACTTCTACATACAGCAGTCATGGCAGTCGTGACTTTCCTACGCAGGATTACTCTGCGGGATGTCTGGAATGGCTTCTGCCATCTTGTACGTGCCATCTTTGTGGATGCACCCAAGGCAGTTGTCGCGTTTGTGGTGGCCTTTGGCAGGACGAGTTACGATGTGCTCGAAGCAACCTGTGGTACTCTGGGTTCGTGTCTTTGGTGCATTGGTGTGGGTATTCTCTGGTTGATCCAGTATATTCCGCATCGGATATGGACCATGATTGAAGCATTGGGGGCATCTTTGGTCAAGGCCTGGGAGGAGATTCTGGTGTTTGTTGATCCTAAGCGAATGTGATCCGGTAGTTATACGGTCAAGATTGCAATTGAAGAATACCCATGGAACACTACTGAACTAAGCGATGATCAACTGCCAACGTTTTGGAGATAAATGATGCAATGAACTCCCCTTGGCGCCATGATGATGATCCCAAGACTGATGACCCTGGATTTGGGCGGCGCCACAAGTCCCTCCAGGGCAAAGACACCACTAAACCGTCGAGCTGGCCCGATACCTCCAGCTTCAACGTTAGCGCCAGGTGCATTGAACGAAGAAAGTAATATGGAAGATTTTCGTGTTCGGTCTTTTCTCACTAATTGCCCGTCCTTTTGTTAGCCTATTTAGAGGGCCGTGTCATCCCGGGACTTCCTGCGTGTTTGAGGATTACGGCGCTGATAGTTCTCGTAAAGCCATCTGAGATTCACAGAGCCGATAACACGTTGAACAAGATGGTTCAATAAGATATCACCCCCGACATCACGAATTCGACATTAATTCTACAGCCACCAAAATCAATATCCAGCGACACCATTATCATAGACAGGACTCTATTAAGAAGCGGTATGTGAGATATTATGAAGACGTTCATCTCAGTATCTACAGCTACACGGTTAAAACTATCGAAGCCACCCTACACTCTGGAAGATGGCAATTGAGCGCTGGGGTAGCATTCGAAGCTATGGATGCGTTATTACTTCTATTATTAGTCTATGTAATATACTATCATTCTTTCGTAAAGCTTCGGCATTAAGCATGCCCACTCAGCGTTCCATGCCCATATTTCTATCCTGACCCTGCTCCGGCATAATTAGTGGTGTATTATAATTCCGTGTCGTTAATCCATCAAGCAATCGTCGCCACGTTCATCGCGAATGCATGTCTATACTTCCGCCATATATCGGCTCTGCCTCGAACTCCTCGCATTCAACCTCTCAGCCTCAGCATACTGACTCCGTCTTGAGTCTCTCGCCTCAGCTCGTTCATCATTACCCTCCCAACCCGCCTTGATCAACCAAAACAAAGCCATCAAAGGGGTCGTAAGCAAACCTAGAACGCCGCCAAGAATTGCCTTGAAAGCCTGTGGCGTCCACCGATCTTGATATCTCCAATCCCCGCCATCGCGTTCTCCAACTGTCGTTAAAACCCCCACGCTCAGTGGCCAGAGGATAAAGAAACCAACGACAGCGAGAATAAAACCTCTTAGTGCCCCTTGCACGATTGTCATAAGCACAGGAGGAACATTGGATTTTCTTTGAGCCTCCTTCTCTTCAACTTCTGAGTCGCTTGTATCAGATGCTGGTGGAAGAAAAAATAGCCATCGAAGCCACTGATGCGAGGGCTCAGGAATAAAGCCAATCGGCTGAACAGAGCGTTTCGAAAGGTCGTAACTGACAAGTCCCATCTCAACGAACCACGTGAGAATGCATTGGACGATGATCGTTACAGCTGCATCACCTGATAGTGTATTTGGTAGTTGAAACAACCGAATTGGGTTCTTGACGGTGTCCTGCGTGGTGTACATGACTATCCATTCCCATTAGCTTTCATCTCAGACTTCAACTGTAAACTCACCATAAGCCAATGCGAAATTCACGCCCCCGGACAAAGCCATCGCGCCTATTCCATCAAGCCCAAAGACATAGAATAGCTGATGCCCTGTAAATTGCAGACTCGGCTTCAGGCGCCCCTCACTGTCACTGTCATCTCCTCTCTGTTCTTGTTCCTCCTCGCCAAGGTTGTCAGGTTTCAGAATCCCGCTGGACCCCTGCACATTCGGCCCCTGTGTCTCAAGTTGCGCCGTCGTAATCATATCTTTTCCCTTATCAGAGACGAACTCGTGGAAACTTGTTTGGTTTTGTTCTTATTTTTCCTATGTTCGTGTTTTTTGATGCATGGAAGTGGGAAATTTTAATTAAACGTCGCCAAGCTGTTGAAAGGGGGAATTTGGGAAATTACGCGGGAAAAATGGGAAAGCTTGGACTTTTAGATGGGCGAAAAAAAGTTAGTTAGCGAAAAAGAGAGAATGCGAATACTAATCCGAGATTCTACACTACGACTTTGTTGAGAAAATGGTTTACATAGCACCATTTTACACCGCTATCTCATGGGAGTCATGCGATTCTATGGCACTTGTTGAGATTCGGTAGTTGAAGAGATACAGGAACAGCATAAAAACACACTGTTTCCCGAAAAGTTTATCACTGTAAGGTGTTTTGAAGGGTTGTCGTGAAGCTCTTACGGTTTCACCACCGATTACCACCACGATCGGTTCAATCGGCCCAAGAAGACGGCTTACAACGCACAGCCCGACCTGTCAAGACTGAATGGATTGACGCCACCTGAGAATCTGGGCCCTCTCGTCTCCTTCGGTTAATTCATCCGTTCATCTAATCTATTCAGCGGTTAACAGATCCATCTTCATTCGTCTGGACTCAAGAACATCTTGGAAGCAACGTCAGGAGAAGCAACTCCATCGTCTCAGGATGACTGACCCAAAGCTTGGGCCTGCAAGGGTCTTGCGATGGGGACTTGCGGAAAAATAAACACCGTTGACATGACCCCTGCGGCGCTAAAGCAGGAACAAAAGAACGCTTGTGTTTTTCCATCTTGTCTTCTGCCCCAGTTTCAGGTACAGCGGTTCTTCGGCCGAGATGGACTGCTCGCTTGGAAGAAGGGCATGTCACTTCGCTTGGGACGGTGTTGGCAGTATTCAACTGAATGACCGTTATGCCAATTCTTGGCAATAATCAATCTTACTTTGATCATCTACAGACTATCGTGAAGATCCAGATACTAGCTTCGAATATACCGTCGGTAAAATGCGACTCTAAACTTAAATGCTATGAACATCACTGCAATACTTGTATGATCTACTCATATTTCGATCAATCATACCCATAAAACCGCAGGGGCTGAAACTGCCTTGGTCAACACCATGCAGCCCTCCACCACGCTTATCCCTGATGGCATATCGACCCGAGCAAGACACCCCTGCATGAATCTATCCCAGGCGGGAAACTGATCCGTTTAGCCATGAGGCTCTTTACCCGCCAGCTCAAGTCTCCAAACATTCATATAAACCGCCCTCTTCCTCTCTCGAAATACTCTCTTTCTTCACTCAGGCTCATTCAGCAGTTCATTCCATTCACTTTTTGCTCCTTGCACATTCTTTCACGCTTCTTTGACAGAAGTCGTTTCATTCATTCATTCACTTAAACCGCCAGTCGGATATTGCCACTCTTTACAAACAAACACAACAACCACCTTTCTTACCCAACAACCTTTTTCAAGATGCCTTCTTTCACCTCCAAGACTCTTCTCGCCGCCGTTGCCGGTGCCATGGGCGTTGCTGCCCACGGTCACGTTTCCTCCATCAACGTCGCTGGCACCGTCTACGACGGCTACGATGCTAGCTCTGCTCCCTACGACCAGACCCCCAAGACCCTCATCGCCTGGTCCACCACCGCTTCCGACAACGGTTTCGTCGCCCCTGATGCCTTCAGCTCTGGCGACATCATCTGCCACCGCGATGCTAAGAACGCCAAGGGCCACGCCAAGGTCAAGGCTGGTGAGCAGATCTACATCAAGTGGGACACCTGGCCCGAGAGCCACAAGGGACCTGTCATTGACATGTTGGCCTCTTGTGGTTCTGCCGGTTGTGAGTCCGTCGACAAGGAGACCCTCAAGTTCTTCAAGATCGACGAGGCTGGTCTTGTCAAGGCCGGTAACCCCGGTACTTATGCCTCTGACGAGCTCATTGCCAACGACAACGGCTGGCTCGTCGAGATCCCCGAGAACATCAAGCCCGGTTCTTACGTTCTCCGTCACGAGATCATTGCTCTCCACGCCGGTGGCCAGGAGAACGGTGCCCAGAACTACCCCCAGTGCTTCAACCTCGAGATCTCCGGTTCCGGCTCTGAGCTCCCTGAGGGTACCCTCGGAACTGAGCTGTACAAGGCCGACGACAAGGGCATCAAGTTCGACATCTACAACAACCCTACCAGCTACCCCATCCCAGGCCCTGCTATGACATTGAAGGCCCCCAAGGTTACCCAGGGCAAGCTCGCTGAGAAGGCCAAGGGTACCCCCACCACTGGCTCTGGCTCTGGTTCCGACTCTGGCTCTGGCTCTGCCACCCCCGAGACTCCCGCTCAGACTGAGGCTCCCGCCGCTGGTACTTCCGCTGCCGCTCCCGCTGCAACTTCCGCTGCCGCTGAGGAGCCTGCTGCTCCCGTCGAGACTTCCCCTGCCGCTGAGGAGCCTGCCACTCCTGTCCAGACTGAGGCTCCTGCTGCTCCCAAGCCCACCAAGACTGGCTGCAAGGCCAAGCGCAGCATGAAGGCTCGCCGTCACGCTCGTGACCTCATGAACTAAGCAATCCACTAAGCGTGGTTGTGTATGAAAGGTTTTTACAAGGACAAAAGCCTGTCTATCCTGAATGGGATGAATCTTTGAGTATTCTGCTGTATATATGTGACCTCGAGTCCAAGATATAATTCAATTACATTGGTTATCATTTACTATATCGCCTCCGATGCTTATGTGACTGTCTTTGGATGCTTCTTTGATCGAAATCCTACCGTCTTGGCCCTATAATTCTGCCTGCTCCGAACTCCAACACGAGAAACTCTCCTCTGTGGCGTTGCCTTGGCTCTATCTTAGTGACTTTGAAAGGGAATAGAGCTACTGCCTACATAGCAGTACCTTGTGCAGTGACACTCGTCCTGAAGTGTCCTTATCAAGTTTCGCATAGGATACAAGAAGACAGGTCGAAACTTGTTGAAGCTTGTAGACATGTCCGTTCTGTGGCTGGAAGCCAACCTGAACCCCTCCTACAAGTGGTCATAATGAAGATTCTACAAAAGCTGAAAACCATGAAAGATCTTTGCGTGTTACATTGTCTCACAAAAGCTGCTCATAGAGAGTATTGACAGGAGTGATGCCAGGACATGAGAGGTCATCATCTGAGAACTGTATTGCTAGAACTAAGTTGAAGTTGTAACCGTAAGCCTGATTTTAACTATATACAGAGAATATCAAGGTATGCGAATCTCAAAGGTCATTCGCACGCTTCCCCTTCTCCTTCTCGTACTCCTCCAGCCAAGCCTTAGTGAAATCAACAATATCCTGCTGAGCCTTGGCAACAGCGGGAGGAGGGAGTCCGATCTCAGTGGCATTAGGGTCAAGACCATTCTCATCCCAATGGTGAACACCGTATGGGATAAGGATGAATGGTTCACTGGCGGTTGATTTTCTGGGAGCAAGACCAATCTTGTGAGGTGTAGCGGCTCTCCAAGGATCGTATTCACCGTCGATGAAGGCCACGCGTGGGTAGCTAAAGTTCCAGCCACCGAGCTTGTTGATGGATTCAACGTCAGGCTCGGCTGTGATGTTGAATTCTTCTCGGCAGGGAATCGTGCTGAATTCAACATCGACGAGGCGAGAGACCAGAGGGAGCTGATTCTTAGGCACTCCGGAGCCGGTCTGCCAGTATCCCCATTGTGTGCATGTCTGATAGGTCCACTGACGTCCAGATCCTTGGTCAAGACCAGTGTCGCTATACATTCCGCGAATAGAGTAGCATTCATCCACAGTCTTGCCTTGACAGCTTCCCTGCTTATCAGACTCAACGTTTGACCTCATATAACCGATATAGTTGAGGAAACGGTTCGTCAGATACTTGACATCGTTTTTGTTTGCATGAGCTGAGAGCCACTTCTTAACATAAGGTGCGAGAGATCTGGTGCTTGCGTAGAGAAGAGCATCAGAAGAAACACTGCCGCAGTAAATACCGAAGTCAGGTGAGTCTTGTGCAGGATCCCAGTTGTTGCCTTGTAATCCTTGGATACCGCGAGAAATGGTGGATGCGAAGTCATCGTCACGTAGACCAAGGAGACCGAACGCAGTCTTGAGCTGTTTCTTCTCCTCCTTGTCGCTGCCCGTGAGGATCTTGTCGACGACCTGAGTGAGCTTTTGTGTGACCTTGGCGCAGTCGCCAGGTGCGAAGAGACGCGCTGCCTCGAAGTACTCCCAGTAGTCGATGATAGCCTCGGTGACACCAGAAGAGGAGATACCGCCCCAAAAGACATCGGGGTAAATCTTTCTGGCGAAAGCAGCAAAGGCACCAGCGTAAGATCCTCCGTAGATAATGTAAGGTGTGTTGGAAGCAGTCAAATTGTGCTTCTCTAGACCCGGAAACTTGACATGCTCTGCAAAGTACGCTGTATCAGCGAGAGCTTGCTCAGTCGATAAGAAACGCAAATTCTTGGTCTTGAGATCCGGAACAGGAAAACTAGTGCCATAGTATCGATGCTCGAGAATGACTCCAACACCACCAGTTGCATTGGCCAGCATCTTCAGGATACCATGTTCGAGGAATGGAATTCTGTCCTCTCCCGATGTCTCACCAGACGCGAGGATAATGACCGGTCCGCCCTCGCGATAGTGCTGCGCATCGAACCAATATCTCAAGGGAAACTTCTTATCCGAGTGAGGTTCATACTTGGTCTCATTATGGAAATGATCGACGGGAACCGAGATGTTGTGAACTTTTATGGATCCAGAGTCCGAGGAGGCTCGAGCGGACAGGGCGGGGATACTGTACGCGCTTCCTCGGGCGGTGAGCGCCAAGAGGGCAGCAGAAGCGCAACCAACAAACCACATAATTTCTGGTGATGGTGATATTTTGTTGTTTTGGTAGAGTTATAAATCTGGGGTGGGCTTTAAGCTTCTCATATAGTTTTGCGATATGGCCAGCCACCTTCCTGTTTCAGATTAATAAGAGCATTATGGTCACACTGAAAAACATAAGTTCCGTTGCATTTGGAGCAAGGATCTCCATTTATATCCATTGAAAGGAACCTTTGTAGATTGATGAATCACGGCATTTTCGAGCCGACTGTCACTCTTATCTGCGGTTGCCTGTTAATTGATAACATACACCCCCGCCTCGTCACTGTGGTGATGTGGATAAACTCTCGCGTGATTCACGGAAAGGTTATCGGCATTGACGGATAGATACTGCTTGTTATTCATTGACAACATAAAGCCAACTGTCGGTCCATCAAGTAACGTATCATCACTGGCTACTTTGATGATTTATTGTATCAGATGCACCAGAATGTCATCAGACGATCGAGCCATCACTAAATGTTGGTAGCAGATCTAAGGGCTGTCCCGTCTATTCAGAGTTTATTGGGCTTGCATAATCACCAAACCTTCTGAAATTACATGTACCAGTTAGACAACATCGCTCGATATATGATCTTTTCCTCATCAAAGAAAAGAACGTGCATAGCAAGCAAGCAAAAAGTTTCAAGGATTTTTAAAAGAATGATACTCGTCGAACAGGTAACACAGGCGAGCATACCAGACCTAGACCACCGCATCATACATCTACTCTTGTCAGACATCCGTGATAAAAATAAGAAGTATATCAAGCTGTTCATATTCGGAACATGTCGTCTTTAGTAGGAACATCCATACTTCTCACCCAGTTCACGGAAAACCTCCAACATGTCAACCTTGCCAGTCACAGTGTTTTCATCGACCTCATACTCCTTCGCAATCAATCCACCCGGCAGTGACGATTCTATCATTTCCATGAAGTCCGGAATACAATATTCGGGCAGTATCTGTCTGAAGAAAGACTTCAAATCTTCACCTTGCGCAAGCCCGAGCTCAACCTTATTGCCAGTGATTTCCTCAAACATATCTCTCAGGTCGCTTGAACTGTAGGGACGAGGACCAAAGATCTTGAGGACTTGCGGACTGGGACTTTCGAGCTTGCTAAGTAGGTGATTTGCGCAGATTTCGCCAACGTCTCTAAGACTGACGATTGGGATCTTGAACTCCCTTGGGGCAATCCATGAGGAAATTATTGGCGGATCTCCCAGCGGCATTTGAAACATGTACTCGAACTCTTCCTGAAAGTGAGTAGACTGTATAATAGTCACTTCAGGGACACATCCCTTAAGAATCTTGTCGGTGTGATAATTCAAGCGTACAAAGCCCTGCATCATTAGTATCTTCACGGATGGCGACTTGGCTACTATTACTTACGATACCATGGTCATTGTGAGAACCCAAACCAGACAGAACAACAAGTCTTTTGACGCCTGATTTTTGCAAGGCGCTTTTGACATTATTCGCGGTTTGTTTGGCCCAGTCGCTTTGGTCGATGTTCTCATAAGTTGGGGGCGGGACATAGAGAACGGCATCTGAGTTGCTGAAATCGAGGCTCTCCTCAGATGCAACATCGCCCTTGACTGCACTGAAGTTTGGGTGGCTTATGTATTCATCTGGGGCCTTGGAAGTATCGCGATAGATGCCACGGATAGTAGGCTTGGCTGGGGAGGCCAAGAGTAAGCGAACGGTCTCTCTCCCAAGCTTTGTTGAGGCAGGTACAACAGTTATCTGAGTCGACATCTTGAGGGCCTGGTGGGGTGCTGTAGCTGGCTCTCACTCCCTACGCTTGTCGAGCTGATTCACGGATCTTTATACGATTTGAGTCCCGTGCCAATACGGATACCAAGACGCCTACAGAGGAGAACGGGAGGATTTTTGCTAAATTTATCTATTCAGCTGAATGCTGAGACATCTCAAAAGACTTGGCACTCTTTGGATTGGGTAGTGACACTTGACAAGTACACCCGCTCCGCCAGTTTACGGAGGTCATACGGAGGACGATCACGACGGTAACAATTACTCAACGTTGCTCTATATCCTTTCTTGAGAGGGACCCCCGTGGAGGTTAGCCACTTTGGTAGAGCTGTACTTGACGAAAAATCATAAGTGCGTGAACTGGCGCATGCTAAAAGTCAGCCACGAAAATCAGGCTTGTTACCCCTCATCAACTTGTCCCGGCCGTCAAGATATGAAACAGATGGTGAGATTAATTAATTATAGGAGATCCGAGAGATTGTCCTGTATCTAAGACTCATTCTGCATTCCTCTCTCACCCCCGCTAGCAACGAGCCATTTGCCTCAGCTCCTGCAAAGATGGCCGAAGTCGTTGGCCTTGTTGCCGCAGCAGGCCAATTCGTTGAAGAGAGCATCAAGATCTACCAACTCTGCAAAAAAGTCGACGACAAATTTAACGACGCACCCCAAGAGCTAAAAGTTTGGCGTAATGAGATCCTTAGCCTCAAACATGTTATTGACAGGATTCACGACACACCTGTTCTCCAGGTCGAGGATTTGAAATTCACTATAGCGCAGTGTACATCTGTCAGCAACTCGCTTTTGGAGATTTTCAAGAATATCGAGTTCAGTGAAACAGAAAAGTTCGGCCACAAGTCTTGGAGGGTTGTTGTGGCGCTCTCGAAGGAAGAAGAAATCCGGAGCTTATTTGGGCAGCTTGAACAGCTGAAATCGACGCTGGATATCCAGTTGGGGGTCATACACCTGTGAGTTCTTACCATTCTTCAAGAAGTGGTTCTCATATGAATACAGAAACCAAACAAACAATGGCCTTGCTCATGTAACCTCGCTGCTGGAAGGAATGAAACTATATTTCCAGCCTGGCACGGACGAAGATCGTTGTATACAGGCCTTATTCATCACAGACCCTGTCAGCAACCGAGAAGGCCTAGTTACTACCAAAGGGATCAGAACACCGGGGACATTCGAATGGATACCAAAGACAGAAGAATTTCGAGAATGGAACGCAGCTCACCACGGACTTCTTTGGATATCCGGACCTCCTGGGAAAGGGAAGACTATGATCTCAATCTTTCTTTCAAAACTGCTCGAAACAACAAAAATCGATGGCACTGTCATATGGTTCTTTTGCGATGACAAGAACCAGTCGCGCAATAGTGCTGTCAACATCCTCCGTGGATTGATGAGCCAGTTGATCCAGAAATCCCCACGTTTATTGTCATACCTGCTTCCTACATGGAAGACGCAGGGCAACACTCTTTTCGGCCCTGAATCATTCGAAACACTCTGGAGGATATTGATTAGTATGATCGACTCACTGGGAAACACAGAGGTGTACTGTGTGCTTGATGCTCTTGATGAATGTGACGAGACATCCTTAAAACCCCTTCTCTTCAAATTGAAAACCGTTTCGGAATACCAATCGAGCAACAAAATAAATACTCAACTAAAAGTTCTCATCACAAGTCGCGAGCAGCCACAATATTTACCTCAATATCTCTCAACATTTCCTCGGATCGCCCTCGATGATTTGGAGGATGATATTGGCCTCTACATCTCGGAGAAGGTTGCCCACCTAGCAAGAGCGAAGAGCATACAGGGATCCCCTCTCCAAGACCACATTGAGAGATCATTTCGATCCGGCGCGGAAGGAACTTTTCTCTGGGTGAGTTTCATGATCAAGGATATGGGGCCCAAGACACTGCATGAGATCGAAAGGTCTCTGGATCAACTTGCTCGCGGTCTCTACGCCATCTACGAGAGGATTATCGCCCAGATAACACCAGAAGGCCGAGTAATCGTCACCGATATCCTAACTTGGATATTGTTCGCTAATCGTCCCCTGTCGATTCCTGAGCTTTGTGATGCAGTCCCTATCGAGCCTACAAAGACACTGACCCGGGAGCAAGTTTGCTTGAGTTACATACAGTCATGCGGACATCTTCTTCAGCTCAAGCATTGGGTGTTCAATCCACATGGAAAAGAAGATATCATAAAGTGGATTGTCTATGCTCCGTCAGCCATCCAACTTGTGCATGGCGCCGAGAATTTCACCGTTGAGGGCCACGAAGGCTTGTTAAGCTCACTCATTGTCACGTTCGTCCACCAAAGCGCAAAAGACTTTCTCCTTGTCGGATCTGTGGATAGCCACGCAGCATTTCCGGCTTTCGATAGCTATAAAGGACATACACTCATTCTAAACCGGCTCATGTCGCTCTTGAACGAACATCTTTCCAAAGAGGACAGTGACAAGATAGCTACTTTCGGCAAAAGCCCTCTTGTCTCGTACGCTGTTCATACTTGGAGTTATCACATCCGTGAGCTAGGCGATAATATTGAAACAATACTGGATAATCACGAGTCTTTCTTTGCTAAAAAGTCAAAACTTCGAGATAACTGGTGGTGGCATTCCTGGTGGCAAAGTGCCTTTAGTGGAGTTGACAAACGCAAGTTATGCAAAGATATATCAGTTCTCCATGTTGCCTGTGAACAAGATCTTTACTTTTTGGCAAAGGCCTGGCTTCTGCCGAGAAATGCACTGTTAAGACTGAGACGGAAAAGAGAGATTAATTCACGATGGGCACTTACAGGCGAGACACCGCTTCATGCAGCGGTTTTGAAGCAATCGTATCGCATCGTGGAACTCTTATTGAACTGCGGTGCCGAAGTTGATATTGAAAACGGTTATATGAAAACACCTCTCCATGTCTCAATTCATTTTTCTCCTGAAGCGGACTGGAAGATATTCCACTTGCTGTCAACATCTAAGGCGGGGATTCAGACGATCAAGAATGAAGCAAAGTACGAGAGTACGCGAGCTCTAAGACCAGAGTTACTTATTCACCTGGCAGCTGCACAAGGCAGTGCGGACATATGCAAAGAGCTCGTCGAGAAGTATAAGTACGACATCGAATGGAAGACCTACGATGGACTTACACCGTTACAAGTAGCTCTGATGGGTAGACACTTGGGTCTTGCCAAAATCATGGTAACACGTTGGAGTGCAGCTTTACCTTCTGAGATTGGCTCATTCAGGGCTGTCATACATGCTTTACCAGCAAATGGAGATTCACTGGTAGAAGGGTTCAAGTTGCTCACCGAAGCCTGGGGGTTCGACATAAACGCATCCGACCACCTCGGTAATACCATCTTCCACGACCCAAACTACGACTTGATTCCCGTGCTTCGGGCAATAGAAATTTGCGATCTCAAAATCGACTGGGATAAGAAGAACTCTTTGGGCCAGACCTTTCTGCATTGCAATTTCAATTGGCTAACGGATCCTGTCCTATTGTCAACTTTCCTCCAACATTCACAATCGGGTGTCAACACCTGCGATCTTCAAGGTCGTTCACCTATCTCTATGTACTTTATCACAAATCTTGGTCTCATTATCTCTGAGAAAAGAGGAGCCGTGGATGTGCGAACACCTCTGGACTTTGGGGCGGATCGTTACTTGGCGGATAATGAAGGAAGAACGGCGCTTGGGGTCACTTCGAGTTATCTGGAGTCGATTCGGGAACAAAACCATCCCGCCGAATCTCTAATTCATATTGAGGAGTCGATTGAACTTTGGACGAATTATACAACCGTCGCGATTGATGTTTGCCAAGTCGATTTACGGCTGAACCAGAAGAGCAATGTTGGCAGCAAGGCAGAGTTTTAACTCCATACAGACCTGTAAGAATGATAAAATAAGGTCATTGAGTAATTTTCAATTCAGTGGACTTCACTGCCCTGAAAACTTTCGGTCTTGCAATTGAAATATTCTGACGTCTAGTTGATCAAGGAAGTCTTCCAAGACCATCACATCACTTCACCAAGATATCGCAAGCCGATTGAACCGAGATCTTGGCGGACCGACAGATCAGGGACTAAAAAAGTCAAGTTCAGTGGTGTTATTGGCAAAAGATGACGACGCTGCCGAGACCCCATTTTCTTGGGTCTGACGAGCATGGGGCTTGGCACGACAAGGTTTGCATCTAACGGAGTAGCCACAACTCTATATGGGCCCAGCCATGACATCTGCCAACGCTCTGCGCCTTGCGGGCTACGGCTTGGAGCTGAAGTGGCGTCATGACGGAAACTATCGATGAACCAAGTTTATCAACCATAGAGTGAGGGTTGCAATGCCGAGATGTAGATGTCATAGGTTGCATTGAAGAGTATATATACTGCCTATGATTCCTTTCATCTCAGTTCTTCATTATCATCAATAACCAAACCAATAAACACTACAAGTCAAACTAATCATCTACACTCTATCGCATACCTTACCAAGAAACTCTAAAAACTGTCAAACTCAAAGACAATTTTCAACGAGTTATCTCCACTTGAACTCAGCAAACTACTCAATCAACAACTCAAATCACCTCAAAAATACAAATACAATCAAAATGTGTCTTCCCTTCCGAAGAAGTCAGCCCCGCTACAGCTCTGGCGGTGGCGGAATGATGGGTGCTCGCCCAGTCAAGGAAGTTCACCACCATCATCACGGTGGAGGTCGCATGGGCATGGGAGGTGGCCGCATGGGCGGCGGCGGCGGTATGATGGGAGGTATGGGAGGTGGACGACGCATGGGTGGAGGTATGGGCGGCATGATGGGCGGTGGTAGAAGAATGGGAGGACGACGATGCTAAGGGCGGCAACGGGTTATGAGACGGCCTGGATGTCTAAATGTTAGGAGATGCATTCTTGTATTATTATGAAGCGATGGTTCGGATAAATGATTAAGAAACACCTTTTGAGCGAAACGAGTGTATCCCTTGGCCCTGCTGTTAAAACCTTCCACGTCATCCTTGTCATTCTCGAAAAGAATTAAGTTATGAACTTGAGTTGAGTATAAATTTAAGGAAAGCCAATACTATCCGAAGTTGGCCCTCAGATGGCCGTTATCACTGCTTACCATTCTCTCTTTAAGTGCGTAAGTCGCAACATTAGAACCTCAATTCCCCTCTTCGTATTCTCCTCCCCATCGAATCCTCCATCGGCACTTGCTGCGTGGCACAGTGAATTCCTCCACCAAGCTTGGGAAGGGTATTCAGATCAACCTGAACAATCTCCCGATCTGGAAAGCGCTGGCGAAACAATTCGTAGGCATCATCATCAAGCTTTCCAACTCCGAAGCGCGGCATGATGAGACCTCCGTTGGGGAGGTAGTAGTTGACGTATGAAGCAACAGTCACATCCAAATGATCCCAATGTTCACCTGGGAGATCATTGGGATAGGGCTCTTCAACTTCAAAGACTTCCAATTGTCTTCCACGACGATCTGTTGCGTTTCTCAAAGTTTCTTTGGCCTCTTTGTAGGCTTGAATGACCCGCGGATCAGCACGTTCAGAAGGTCTGCTGAGAAGAACCTGGCCCTTTTTGATGAATCTTGCGAAGGCATCGATATGGAAGTCAGTAATATCATAGCCCTTGACCCCAACAAGCCAGATCACCTTATCGATTCCGAAGTATTTCGAGAATACTTTTTCCAGCTCTTCCTTCGATTTCCCGGGATTACGGTTCGCGTTGACGATGGAGCTCTCAGTCGCCAGAAGGGTTCCATCTCCATCGACTTCAATCGCGCCGCCCTCACTGGTGAAGCCAGCGTCAATAATAGGTATGGCATTTCCTTCGGGCACACTTCTGTCTTCTTCATCCTTACGCTCTATGACTGAACCTTCTGGAATCTCGACATTCGCAGCAACCGCTTCATCACCAGTAGATGGTATCTTCGCTCCCCAGTAATTGAAATTCAGCTTGAGCCCAGTAGAACAACCATTTTGCGTTCCATGCACAAAGATCGGCCCTGTATCGCGGACCCAAAGCTCGCTTACGCTCAGTGGTCGCACAGTGACGTTATCAGACACTGTTTTCGATGCTTCATCGACGTCTTCTGGGAGGGCAAACAACGTGACTGGCTCGAAGCGGGAAATAGCATCGGAAAGAGCCGAGACTTCCGCGCGCGCTTTTCGAAGTATTTCCGTGTCTACAATAGAGGCGTGATTTGGCCATGCAGTTAACGTTTGCGAGTGCTTGTGCCATTCCGGTGGCATGCGATACCTCGCAGCAATTCTCTGCACCAAGTTTGGATCTATGACCATCTTGGACGGAGCTTTGATGGATCTTTGCAAGGTCCTAAGCATTTGTCGATAGTATGGTCATATAATGATGTTGTACTCCCTTAGGGTGGTTTTGTGTGTGTGCTTGGGGTGCTTTGTTGCTTATTGAGAAGTTAGGTTAGATCGTCTCGACAGAAGAGCAGTAGGGGTTCTGAGGCATCATAATAACTAACCTTTTAGCCAGAAAGTTTCATCTTAGGCATCAGTAAGGGAAAATATTATATTGCCTATATGTATTAATATATATTCTTTACCTTTGTGTTGGCCTTAAGCTTCTTTTAACCCCTCAACCTTTATGACCTTATCACAGTACTTCCTTAGGCCTTTAGGACTTCTGTACACTGTGAGCATTATCACGTGATATCCCTCAGGATCCGGTAACACGTCGCGTAACCTTAGCCTGGGCTTATACTCCTTTAATCTCCTTCTCAGCTTTTCAGGCTTCAACTATTGCAATCGAGTACCTTTGGCGATATGTCATAATGCCCACCCGAAGAAGCGCCAGACTCCAAGTTTTGCAGAACCAGGGGCCTATAAGTGCCGAAAATGACTCACTTCCTGGCATGCCGAACAAGACAGCCAAGGACAAAGAAACAGTGAGCGAATTACATGAGAAACCTATCATCATTCGTGATGCGAAAAGACAAGTCGCCAAAGATGATAGCAGGCCAATTGCAAAGAAAGCCAGGTCAGAAGCTAGAGGGCAGAAGACGGAAGGCGTATCCGCGAAGTCAGCAACGAGTACAGCAACTGATCTTCTGTGGTCCTGTCCGCGAGAGATTCTGAATCAGATTTTAGACAATGTGAGATGATTACCATACATTATTCAGCTAGTGCACTGCTGAACGCGATCAGATCAAGGATACGAGAACGCTTGGAAGACTAAGTTGCACAAGCAAGAGTTACTTTGCCATGGTTACACCTCGACTCTACCAGCGCATCAATGTCTCTGTATCATATCACGCTCATATTTCCAAGCTCATCCGAACCCTTGAGCCACTTCTATCTATCAATCAAAGAAAACAACTCAGGAAGGAGGGCCAGTATCGAGGCCAACAAGAAAGCTTTTCAAACTTGTTTGATCCTCAGGAGAAGCCTCGTTTAGGGGAGTACATTCGGCAAGCCACTCTTTTTATCGGCGACCCAGGGAAAAACCACAAGTTCATTGTAAATCGATATGTAGAAGAAGCCCTGAAAAACATGACTAGTCTTGAGATCGTCGAAACTTCCAGTATTACAGAGTATGCGAAATTTCCTCTCCTAGACTTTCCCAGGCTAACATGTTTTCAGATCGATCTCCAAGAGTCTAGCAAGCCAAAAGAATCTCAGGGCAATAAATGTATCGGCTGGTAATTTGGGAGAAAGCGAAGCCAGACCGCTAGCAAAAATCAAAGATCTCAAGCACTTGGGCATCCATCTGCTCGGGTTTGCTAACCCCAACTTCCGAAAAGATAACACTCCTTTATCCTTGATTCTCAATTCACGGTCAACCCTTCGAAGTTTGGTCATAGAAACCGGCTCATTCAGTTCTGTGTTCCTGGATGACTGGCCGAAAAGTCAGAGCCTGACATCCCTCAAATCATTCTCTCTTACTGGAGCCTCTATTGACGAGGACTTTCTGGGCGCCCTAGCAAGTGCTGTTAACTTTGTTGCGCTAGAAGAATTGAAGTTTGGCTATCTTTCCCATGACCTCAAAATATTGTTTGAGTACCTCAGCGATATCTTTTCAACGGCCGGAGATAATGAAAAGACCAAGATCAAACTACGCAATTTGGCGATTGAAATGGGACAAGAAACTTCTTTTGCGGCACCAGAAGAGCAAGAAGCGCATGTTGACGCTAGAATCGACTTTATATCGTCTTTCGACACTTTGACTTGTCTAGAAATGCATGACTACGGCCAATACCGCCAAGAAATCACAGTCAACCCCGGCCTGAAAGGCTCACTCGTCAGAGCTATTCTTAAACATGAGAAAATTACGAAGCTGAAGATATCCTACAGGGGTGTGACGAGTGGCTACAAAATTACGTGCTTGGAGCCTGACACGGTCTTGACTCTAGTCGATAATCTTCCAGAGTTGAAGGAGTTCGAGTTCATTCCAGAGCCGACCAAACTCGTAAGTGCCACGATCGGTGGACGAAGGAAAGATTGCTAATACAGAGGACAGACAGAAATCGCTAAAATGGTTTGCCGCGGTCGCAACTTGGCAACTGTCACTCTTATCACGGGCGGCTCTTGGTCGAGCCTCGCCGAAAATCAGGAGAAGGGCATTGAGTTCCTGCACTCAATATTTGAGCAGGTTCTGAAGCGCGATGCGGACAGCGACGCGGGAGTCTTTAAATGGGAAGACCATAGCAAGATCACACGCGTAGCCGTGGACTGGATGATCTGGGAAGTTGGATCAAAACTTGGAAAGGCCAAGAAGGGAATGAAAAAGACAAAGAAGATGACTGTAACAGTTGGCAAGCAGAAGCGTGAGGTTTTGTATCGAGAAATCGCCGATTTTGTCCGCGTTCCTCTTCTAAATGGACTTGGCAGCAGATGGGTAGACAAGGTCAAGAACGATATCAAATAATTTGAATAGTATAGTAGAATACTAGGTACCAATAATTTAGAAAGGGCTTTGAATATTTGGATTTGTCAACAATCTGATGCATTTCGGTAGTCCGAAGTTCATCTGCGGCTGCGTCGGCGTTGATTTGAAGACGCGAAACGCTATGGTGATGCAGCATTATTTATAAGCAGATGACGTAACGAAGCGGAATGATTATGCCACTTTGAACATTGATTTTTCTATTTAATTCTCACGATCTTGCAAAAATTAGATGTCCCTCCTATGGTTTATCTATCAAGTCAACAATCACCCAATAATCGCAATGTCATCTAAGTCCTTCTACGCTCTCATCGCTGGCGTCGGACCAGGCACTGGTAAGGTTATCCCTCCTCTTGACAACCCTGCTTACTCATCTTCAACCAGGTCGCTCCGTCGCTCTGCGATTCGCTCAGAAATACCCAGTTGTCTTACTTGCTCGTCGACCTGAGAGTTATGAGAGTACTCTTGCAGATGTTCAAAAGGCAGGTGGTAAGGCGATCGGAGTTTCAGCCGACGTTGCAGATGCTGCGTCCTTGAAGAAGGCCTTCGAGACTATTAACAAGGAATTGCCTGATAGTCAACTCGCTGCCGCTATTTACAACGTTGGAAGTGGTGGTTTTGTTAAGAAGCCCTTCTTGGAGCTCACAGAGAATGATCTCAATGCCAGCATCGATGGATCCATGTATGTTGTCCCATCAAACTACAGATGCACTCAACTAATAGCACAAGCCGAGCCTTCTTCCACTTCGCGCAAGCTACAATCCCTCATCTTCTTGAAGCAGTACCAAACTCTCACTACCCTCCAACAATAATTCTCACAGGCGCCACAGCTTCAATCAAGGGTTCCGCGCAGTTCGGCACCTTCGCGGCTGGAAAATGGGGCCAACGCGCAATGCACCAATCTCTTGCGCGTGAATTTGGACCAAAGGGTGTTCATGTAGCACATGCTGTGATTGATGGAGTCATTGATATTCCTCGTACCAAGCAATGGGCTGCTAATGACGGTGCCGAGGATGGAAAGATTAGCCCTGATGCGGTAAGTTGATAAGCCCATATCTGTTAATATTACTGATGAGATTCGTAGATTGCTGAGGCTTATTGGAATCTCCATACTCAACATCGATCTGCATTTACCCAGGAGATCGATATTCGACCATACGCTGAGAAGTGGTAGAAGCTGCGTCCTTATTCTCATTAATATTTGAGATTATTGTTGGACATGAAAAACTTGCATATGATCGAGAAACATGGCTTTATTAGGACTTTGAAGATTCAAATGAATTACCAGTTGTAATTAACTACATGGTGTTCTCTTATCCGGGAGCCAAGGCATTAAGTCAATGAGCTGCACATAACCAATGATATGAATGGCCGCTTCGTACGCTCACTCTCAGTCAGCGCAGCAGTTATCTTGAGTTCTACCTCTATCTTGCATTAATTGGACGCTTATTCTGAAGGATATTCCGATTTCCACGGCTATATAACGTTTTTGGCCGTCGTCTACGGATGAACAAGCCGACCCCGCTTTTGTGATCAGTATAAGTTGACATCACCTTCGTTTAAGTACTTCCGTACGCACGAGAACTTGATCTGATCATTCATAAGCTCCTTTAAACAAAGTCTTACCTATCGGTCAAATTATGCCTTTCTACGAAGTCCACTACTCTTGTCCTCTTACACAGGACCAACGTCAAGGCCTAGCAACCGCAATCACGAGGCTTCACTGTGAAGCTTTCAAGACACCTGCGTTCCTGGTCCACGTACGCTTCTTCGCAGAAGATAATGCGGATAACACTTACTTCGTCGCTGGGAAATCTCATCCCCTAACATCAAATCGCATCTCTGGAAACGTTCGCACGTCCGCAACTCGTTCGAAAGCAGATTTCGATGAGCTTGGTGCCAAGATTGAAGCAGCATGGTACGAAACACTTCAAGTCATTCCGCCACCTGAGAAGCCAACTTGGAGCGACGAAGACGAGAAGACGAGGCTGATTATGGTGAAATTCGTACCGCTAGTCACAATTCGTGAGGGAGGGATGGCTGCGCCTCAGGCTGGTGAGGAAGAAACCTGGCTTAACGAGCAACTCCCTCACATTGAGACTATGGCTAATAAAGGCGTTGGGGACTTCACTGACTTCTTGAACGAACTCAAAGGGAACAAGGGTTAACAGGCGATTCCTTGGTCAGGATAAGTGGGTGTTTGAAGAGCCGTATATTTTGGAATCCACGGTATATTAATGCGATTCAAACCTGTATACCAGAGCTCTGTTGGTACATCATGGAAAGTAAGAATTGACATCGATAGGTTTCTATAGAATCGCTTGGAGACGTTTGTGAGGGATATTCCAACATTAAACCCGTGCTGGTATTTGGGTTGCTTTGAAATGCTAGTCTTAAAAAGCTTCGAGTAGTTAATGTGGCTGGCTGAAGCCGGGAGACTAGTACAGAGAGGCTAAACTCGTTAGCCACCATCTAGGGAATGTTTTAACTGGGAAGTATCGCCAGACGTAGCCGAGAAGTTGTGATACGAGACTTCCACGAAGTTAAGCTTGAAGGCTGAAGTTAATATGAGTTGGTGGCGGCGTCACCAAAGCCTCTCAGGTTAATTTAGTGTAAGATGAATTCCCTATCGCCCCATGTTTTACTGCCGCTTTCCCGGCTTGGTATCCATCATAGGTAGTTTTAGTTCATTAGCAGGCGAATATACTGGTAATTTCCTGATCAAATCAGCTCTTGTAAAGGAGGCTTTCTTAAGTGTTGAATATAAGAATGGGCTGGCTCTCTCGTCTTCGTTGAACTTACTTCCTACGATAATAAATATTTCATCAATCCCAGCAAATCACTCTACAAACGATGTCTCGTCTGGAATTGCGATGGCAAGGGGATTCACATTGGTGGCTAGATGGACCTTGTGGCTCGGTCTAATTCCATTCTGAACGAGCCGTTGACTTATTCGCTCAAGCGATGACCAGAGTTCCTAATGATTTGAAAGATCATCTCCTCTCTGGCCCTGTACTCTCAGGTATCAAGTCCGGGTATGTTGAGGCAGCAGACTTGTTTTTCGCCTTATGGTTCGAATCAATAAACGGGCTTACTGTTTCTGGCGCCAGTGCAGCTTTTCTAACGCAGGATGAAGGCGCGAAAGATATCAACAGCTGACTTGCTCAAGCAGGACGTTGGTTGGTTGAACTGGCTCGACCTGAAAGTGAGAAACCAACATCTGCATTGAGACAAACACCAATTAGTCAAAGGCGTCGTCTCCTATGTCAAAGCAAATGCACCTCGCGCGGCCAGGCCGGCAGACAAAACCGATCCACCTCCGCCTGAGCGTAAGCGATCAAAACACGACACACTCAAATCGATCGCAGATGGTAAGGATCTTTCTGTATCTATCACAACTCCCAAGGTGGTAAAATAACAGTAAAGGCAGATCCGAAACTATTTGAAGCAGCCATCCAAGGATTGAAGCAGTACAGAGCCAGCCCGATGAATGCCCAATCAGCCGGCGTGAAACCTCAGGATTCTCGTGATGTTGACGCCCCATGCACCCTTACCTGGTGGAATCAAACAGGCGGTCATCTTCTCACTCTCCACGAGGCTCAAGTCCACCCTTCTAATATCTTGGCTATCAAGTCCATACCAGTTAAACACTTTCGTACTGGCTCAACATCCCTAGCGTGGTTTTTCAGCAATGGGGCCTGGGCACAGGGCGAGATGGACGGATACTGCATCTGGTACGCTCCTAATGGCTCCTGGTTTGTGGTCAACATCCATTGTCCCGTGCAGGTTATTGGCATAGGGACTGCACCGTATTATGAGGTCTCTTGGTCTGAGTGGGGTAAGGAGACGTTTTTCAAACCTGTTGATGAGCCCCACATGTCTTTTGACTTTCCACGGTCTCTTGGATATGATATTCAAATTAAGCCTCGGAGTGGGCATTCCACTATTCTTGTTGATGTAATCATTAGCAAGAGTCCCTAAAAACTCCAATGAAACGGCTTTCGGGTTTCCGAAGGCTAGCACGCTATATTCAGTCATATTTGTCAATTAATGTTCTTCTCTTCTCCCATAGCTATCACATGAGAGCTTGCATTTCGCTCCAAATAAAATCGAAGCTATTGATAATTATACAGTACCAACACAATTCTATCAGCTTGTGATCTCACACAAAATTATATCCCAAGCTACTTCGTTGGGCAGACCCCCGAGTACTTATGAGTTCGTCGAGATCTCTGTACCCTTCACGGAAATAAGACGAAAATGATAGCGAGGTTCAAAACCCCACGGCAACGTCAACAGGGATCAGGACGCATAAAAAGGGGCGCCTTACCAAGAATGACAGGCGGGGAACGACGGCAAAGTTTCCATTGTTACCAAAACTTAACAAATTTCTGGGTTACAGTATGACGGAATCCCCTATCACATCTGTACAGTATTCTTAATTAACCTTTCTTGTCGCTCGTTGAACCGATGTAATTGTTTTACTTTCTGGTCGTCTTTTCTTTACTATTCCTCTCTTTCAGCTATACCTCTCAATGGTCGCTCAATTGCACTCAACGCTGAGCTTCAATTGAGCACGTCGCCAACTTGGTGAGCATTGAGAATATGTCTCATCACTTCCACGTTGGCGCTGCTACTGGGCAGCATCTTCTCGATCCAATGTCACAGGGAATCGGTATCATGAGAGATGTTGTCTCACGCTGGTCAGAACTCGATATCACACAGATCGGATCGCTCATCGCTATCGCCGGAACAGTACCTACAGCCTGGAGATTTCTACATCGTATATGGCATGAAGTCTACGGTACAATACGACGTTTCTTTCTAGCATCAGTGACAATTCCCGGTGGCGATCCTCTCAACAGAAGTGTTGTTAAATGGATTCTGGCTAATCGGGAACGACACTATCGCTCATTCCATGGACGCACCGATATCGGACAGAACGGAGATCGCGCCGCAGCTCTTAAAAAGACACGGCATTCTATCCAGTATTCACCCCATTGGAACACGAGATGGTTATTCTACGAGGGAAATTTGTTTCTTGTGACACGCAGAATCGACGACTTCAGCTCTTCATTATCGGATCCTAGTTATGACGGTATTGGAGGAGAAGAAATCACCGTGAGCTGCTTTGGCTGGTCAGCTGAGCCCATCAAGGCCTTTGTCGAATCATGTCGGGAGTATTCAGATCGGCAAACACAGTTTTTCGTCATCATTTACGCCCGTGATCGATATGGGCTTTCGTGGAAACCTAAGGCACGCAAACCGATTCGACATCTGGAGACCGTTCACTTCGACAATGAAACGAAGCAAGAGCTTCTTGGCGACATTCGGAATTATCTTGATCCAAAAACCCAAAAGAGATATCAGAGTCGGAGTATGCCTTACAGACGAGGTTATCTATTTTACGGACCCCCTGGAACTGGAAAGTCATCTCTGTCGGTTGCAATCGCTGGCGAATTCGGACTGGACCTATATGAAGTCAAGATTCCTAGCGTTGCCACGGATGCAGACCTCGAGCAGATGTTTCAAGAAATTCCTCCACGCTGTGTTGTCCTGCTCGAAGACATTGATGCGGTTTGGACGGATCGTTCAAATTCAGATAATGGACAGGAGGGAAGTTCTGCGCCGAATTGCACCCTTTCTGGACTTCTGAATGTCTTGGATGGCGTTGGATCAGTTGAGGGACGAATCATTATAATGACCACCAATCATCCCGAGCAGCTGGACAGTGCATTGGTTCGACCAGGTCGTGTCGACATGAAGGTTCTGCTAGGCAACATCAGTCGAAAGTCTGCAGAAGAGATGTTTATCCGCATGTTTTCTCCTGATCTGGGCTGCACTTCACATCTTGACATGGACGAGATCAAGAAACTTGCTGTGGAATTTGGGAAAGAAATTCCTGACGATACGTTTACACCGTCTTTATTGCAGGGCTTCTTCCAGTTGCATTTGGAGAGCCCTCAAGAGGCTGCTTCAAGTATAGGAGCTTGGGTTAAAAAGGAGCTCGAGAAGAGTTCGGAAAAGGAGTTTGAGCTTATTACGGGCAGGAGAAAGCCATTACGTTAACTTAATTTGTGTATTATGTAATGTTAGGTCTTGGGCTTGTACTATATGGTTATGCGTTTGCAATTTATCAATCCCAGTTTCGGGATTCAATAGAGGTTACTCCATTTTTCAGCATCGCCCTTCTAATCCTGATGGTCAAGCAGATTGAGAGTGACTCGCCCAAATGACTTGGACGCGCTGCATCAAGACACAGTGCAATGAGGACTTTCAAATAGGGTTGAAGATCGCGGTCGCTGTAACATGGCGCAGCACCAGCAGCTGACGATGATCTTGTTGCGCAGCACTAGCGTGAGAGGGCGGGTCGATTGCATCGCTCCATTGATACCCTTTTGGGATAAGATCGATACTAGGGGACAGGGCTGAAAATTGGAGCGGCGAAACTGCAGGGAATGATGAGGCCATCTAAGACCAATTTGGGCAGATTCACGCGACCAACTGTACAATAAAATACCCTGGTGGCTGTGCAGCAAGAAGACTGATCAATCAAGTGCTGTCTGATGACATATTCACCCTAGAAATGTTCTCGAAGGATACTTTAACGGGTGCCTGTGGCTCAGACCTGATTTCCGAGCGAGGAAGCTGACCCGGACGTCACTCTGGGCTGTATGAAGCCAGAGATCCCATGTATATAACTGCGCGTCATTCCCTGGTTGAAATCCATCAAGTATCTCATCATCACAAACCATCCTCCAAAGAAACAGTTTTTTACTACAAACCGTCTGTCTATAAACTATAACTGCAATTTGCATGCTCACATTACCAAGCAAAACCAACTTCTTATATCTACTTCAACATCAGCAGCCAAATCATTCATCGACATAAAACACAAACGCAAACACACACATAACGAAAATGTGTCTACCACTATTCAGAAAGAAAAAGCATGATCGGGTCTACGATTACCATCCACAACCAGCCATGGGCTACTCAAAAAAATACGGCTATAACAGCTACGGATATTACAACGGCGGCAAGAAGTCACGCAAACATGGCCGTCACTATGCCTCAGCTGCTGGTGACTTAGTGGGCGCTTGGGCCGATTATAGCGGAGGAGGTCACCATGGAGGAGGTCATTGTGATGGCGGCGGTGGAGGAGGTGGCGGCGCAGATGGTGGTGGAGGAGGAGGAGGATGTTCATAAACTAATGTGACATTGAGATATGGAGTTTGACAGATTTGTGTTTCCTCAAGATATAGGATTGGCCAGGGACATTCGATTTGTACAGTATTGCATTTTATTAGACCAGCACAACAATCTGAGAAGCGTTTGCAACTTGATCATATACCTTACTTTAGCAGACTCCGCCAGTCAGCTGCAAAACATGCCATTTGGTGGCTATGTATTGCAGGGGCTGTCCAACCATATGCACAAGGTACATATTACGCTCGAAACGTTCTAGGCATGTAGCTGAGATGATAACTTGGCCGACTGAGCCTTGCTATTCAGTGGAATAAGCTGACCACTGTGACCTCAAATTGAAGGTTGTGGACTTGCAAGGTCATCGAAATCTCTTGGCACAACAAGAATGTTGCTATTTAAGAGTGACCTGAAGGACTAACGCTTAGAATTCGAGACTGTCATATTAATCCTTTCGCTGCTTTTCAAACGCAAGTGACGAACTCATCATCGCCGGGACAACAACCTCATCCTAACAGTACATGTTGAATTTCCACTTCCTTAATCAAACGCACATATCTTTCATATAAATACACATACGAGCACAGTTTCACATTGGCCCTTCGCAACAATGTGCCTACCATTCTTTAAACGAAAACGAGATCAGGAGGATGATTATTACGCAAATAACTACAATACTACTAACAACGTTAACCAGGGCGCTGCGTACATTCGACTTTTAGGCGCTGGTCATCACTTTATTGAAGACTGGGATCAGGGCGGGAGTGGTGTTGAGGGCGAAGGCGGAGGGGGAGATGACGGTGCAGGATGTGAGGGTAATGGCTGTGACAGTGGGGGCGGAGGAGATAGTGGTGGAGGAGGAGGTGACGGGGGAGGCGGAGGATGCTGAGCAGAATATGCGTTCATGCTTAACTGTGAATAGGGGTTTGAGCTGGAGTTGTTGAACTCAGTCAAGACCTTTGGCATCAGAGCCGGCTTTGACGATGTAATTCGCAAATGCTTCAAGATACAGGCTCTCTCGGCTTACCTTTCTGTTAATACCTAAAGACTCCAGAGAAGTTCAAGAGGTCGATAAATCAGAGTCTTTTTGAAAGACCTTGTTTAAGTCTGATCTGTATGTAAAAGTACTTTATTTGTAAGTGCATATTGCCGGAAATTGTAGGCTTTCTAACTGTTGACCCATTTAACTTATAGCAGCCAACTATTGCAACAATAGCAGCAAAGAAATTTATTAGGCTTTAAGATAAGGCTGTTTATCATTTGTTGGGGGCCGGTCGATCAATGCTCCATCGCTTCACGTTCTGGTCAAGATCTTCAAAACTGCATGTAGGCTGACAGCATCAGACGCAAACTTGATTCAGAAAAGCAATGACCGATAATTATTCTTGCTGTCGCATGATCTGTCACCACGTACGGTCGCGTAGCCTTTTTAATTGACCAACCGCCAATCGCTCATCGCCAAGAATCAGCCCAGAAGCCTGGACGTTTTCAGAAATTGTGATGCCTAGAGCTGAGCCTTTATTTCGAGCAGGGATCCATGGCCACTGTCACGTCATTGCGAAGACTGATCGTATGCTATTGTCAGATATCAGAAGATTGATATAAAGGTGAATAAGCATCCATTATATTGAGTAACTTACAAACAACGAAAACACACATTCATCGATTGCAGGCTCTCAATAACACACAAAGCCTCATCAATCACTTTCATCTCCGTCGCATCATTCAGGCAATAGCCTCTATCATTGAGTACAAACAAAGAGTTCTGTATTTCGCATGAACCTTCAACGATGTGTATGGCATTCTCCACCAGTCTCCAAGATCCTGTTGAGCCACCTCCACGTTATTACAAGAACTATCGCAACGAGTACCCAGTGTCTGGCAGCAGTGCATATTTCCGTCAAAGAGACCAAACTCGCACAGACGAAATCAACGAAATGAACGCCGCCAGCAAAGAGGCCCGTGCCAGAAATAAGAGACAGGAGCGTTCCTTCGTGTTTCATAACCCCGGTGGACGAAGGAGTGGTCATCATGGGGGTTTTATGGGAGCGATTGCTGGCGATGCCGGAGGAGGAGTTGGTGCTGGTGGTTTCTGATGGCATTTGCCTATTAATGCATATATGGGACTATTCCCATGGTCACTGCAAGGGCTAGCACATGTTAGATGAGTTGTTGAAGTATTGGACCTTTCAGGAGACTAGATTGGAATGGAGTAGTTGGGCAGGGTGCTGCATGACATTTGACTTAGTTTCCTCGCTTCGGGATTGGTTCTGGACGATACCACTCCGGCTTTGCATATTTCTCATGTATATATTCTTGAACTTCTGATACCACTAAACATGTTACTTCTATCGTTTTACTAGAGCTTTCAACTTTCCGTGAAGACACTCTTAGCTCCGCCGTCAATGGCAGCCCATGCCTTAGTAAGAAACTCTTCAGGCTGAGTAAACTCATAGTCTGGCAGAAGTTTATTCCACTCATCAGAGACTTGCAGAGCCCCATGCTTAATCCCAAGAAGGAAGCATTTGATCATGTCGGCAGCAATCTTTTCGCGCATCTCAACTGGAATTGATGGGTGTTCAGGAATTGGAAGCCACGAAGCTTTGACAACACCAGCCTCGAGATCATCACTCTTCAAGTACTCGACTTGGAACTTTTGACCTGGAAGCCTGATTAGCATCTTATCCAAGCTGTTCTCCCTTTTGGACCATTCCTACCTCTGATCTTCTCGCCAAGAGCAACAAGTTCATTCATCGTAATGTCTGTACCTTTCACACCACTGACAATCGGCCACTCTCCTTCGTATTCAATAGCTAGAGCAGTTACTTTGGCTGCGTCTTGGGCAGTTGTAAGTGTTATTACTGCTTTTCCGTCGTCAACAAGAAGGGCTCGGCAGCCATTGAAGTTGACCGGCGTTTCGAAAAGGTTGACGTGCTTGGATGATTTATATGGGTAGGTCATGTAGTTGGTGAAGAGTCCAAACTGGAAGAGTGTGTATTCAATGACCTAAAATTGACCGTTAGTGAGTGATGGGGCTTGCCAGGAGATGTACTACCTTTTTGTCCTTGTTAATCTCCGCGAGGTACTCACGCGCTGACCTCTTGAAGTCATACCAGTGAAAATAATCCAGTTTAGACCTATTCTTTGTTAGCTATACACCAAACCATAGCGTTACTTGACTCACGAAGCCCATTCACTGGGCGCAAAGCGCTTCACACCTGCGCGGACTGCGGCATCGATCAACTTCTCCTGTGGCCCAGCAGCTGTATCACCAGGCGCGACAGACATGAAAGATAGAACTGTATGTACGCCATTTAGGATCTTAGTAAGTTCTTCAACATTGTCGTATTTCGTCTTGAACCACTTCACTCCAGGGGCGATTTCTGTTTCTGGCGCATCCTGAGATGTTAGTTGAGAAGTGTTGGTTAAGGAGCGTGGCAAACCTTTCGTGACAGAATAATTATCACATGCTTGTTTCTAGCAATGAGAGCATCTAGTACCTCTTGGCCGACGTCTGGAATTCGGTGTCAGACCTGTATCGCAATCCAATGATAAGACTTACTGCCGGCTCCTCCTGCAATTGCGATTTTAACCATAATGAAATCGATGTATCCGGTACTTCAACCCTAGATTAAACTCTCACTTTGAAACCATTCTTTGAGCTTCATCTATTTGGTCTCTTATATATCTTCTTGTTCCCTTGGATTCCGCCAATTTGCAGGGCTGCCGGGTTCGTCCGCCGACACTACCAACACCGTGATGTTTATTCCCGCAGTTTATTCCCGTCTTACCAGTTCAACCGCATGACAAATCCACCTCGAAAGCTCCGGGAAATCGGCGGACGAATGCCCAGCAGAATCCTTCGACTGTCAGCTTTTGTCTCTCACTTCATACATGACCGTACTTTACCATTTTCCTCATTCTATCATACAGTTCAACCATGGGAGAACACATATCATTGGACGAGCAGTACCCGTTGGCTGACTCCGCTTCGGCGGACAATTCCGCGCCAGCCCCAAAACGCCGGAAGCTACGCAAGGGAACAGCCTCGTGCTGGGAGTGTAAGCGGCGGAAAGCGAAATGTATCTTCTCCGATGATCTCGGTATTTGCGATTCTTGCAAGAGACGTGGTACAGACTGTGTGAGTCAGGAATCTGAGAAGCCGCCTGAAGTTGGAAGCAATAAGCATATCGTAGATCGGCTTGGAGAAGTTGAAGCCTTGGTGCAGCATCTTCTAAAGAATGTTCAATCCGACAGGCGCTCCCTGGACGGATTGGTTTCGCCGTCGAGCTCGGTATCGAGAAGAGGAAATGAAGATGGAGATAGACGTTCAAAGTCACCCGCTGTCGTTAACTCCAATGCCACTTCACAAGATGATGCTTCCGTCTCGGTAAGTTAAGTATGAAGGCATCACTTCAAGTATGATACTCACAAATGGTAGATCCACCCCATAGACCTTACACCGCAATCCGAGATATCACCATCGTCTCAGATTCACGATGACCCAGGACCCCACGACGCTGTATACCGAGCACTGATATCTGCTTGGCCAAGCCCAGAAGACATGAAAATCATCATGAGCGTCCCGGTCGAATCCTCGCAAATCATCAGGGCAATGACATGCGCACCGCCGAAAGAACGCGGCTCGAGACTTCCATCTCCATCTAGCTTGCTTCGCTTACCACCACGAGGATCTCATCCTGTTCTCGTCGCTCGAAAAATGCTCGTACTCGCCACCTTTCTGCAAGGCACTCTCATTTCATCAGAGAAGCACCTTGAAAAGCTCAGTACGAGCTATGAGAACATCATGGCTTGTATAGTCAAAGTCGCACATGATCACGTCACCTGTAACGATGATCTCGTTTCCTCGCTTGAAGGCATAGAATGCGTCATGCTTGAGGGTCTTTATGAGAATTATGCAGGCAATCTTCGTCGATCATGGCTTGCAGCTCGTCGTGCCGTCATGATAGCACAAATTTTGGGCCTCAACAAAGGCATTGTTCCATCATCGATAAGAGGTGCTGCCGTTGAACCAGACGATCTATGGTTCCGCGTGATCAACCTCGATCGATATCTTTGTCTGATGCTAGGTCTGCCACAAAGTGCTCCTGACGAACCGATTGGTAACCTTGATGCACTTGACTCTTATTCAGCAAACCGGAAGATGCAACATCTCTGCTCAATTGCCTGCGCTCGGTTATTGAGTAGACGAACAACCAATATTTTTGATCAATCACTCACGAGAGAAATCGACAAGCTACTTCGAGATGCATGTACATCTATGCCGGCCCAGTGGTGGATCATGCCCAATCTCTCCTCCCACTACGACCTCGCCGATAAAATCAGCGAGACTCTCCGTTTCAACGACCATTTCATGCAGTATCACCTTCTCTTACAACTTCATATGCCATATCTACTGAAGGTCGATGGTGGAGAAGAGTGGAAGTACAACAAGTTGACGGCTGTAACAGCAAGTCGAGAGATCCTGACGCGTTTCGTATCCATCCGCACAATTCCTCAGTCACGATATCACTGCCGTGGGACAGATTTAATCGCCTTCATGTCATGCACGGCTTTAACGATCGCCCATATCCTTTGTGATGAGCGTCACAAAAGGATTGAGGAACAGGGTTTTCACTTCCTTACACAACAGCGATTGAGTGATCGTGGGCTCATCGAACAAGTGCTGAAAATAGCACAAGACGGTTTGCACAGAATGGATGATGATATTTCGAAGAGATTAATAACTCTACTGCACTATCTTCTAGCCATTGAGGATAATGTGACAGCTGGGGTGCGCTATAGTGTTTGTTTTGCCAAAGAATCGATCAAGGATGGGAATTTGGGTCATCATGTCAAAGCCAGTGACGATGGAACGGTTCTCGACATTCATCTTCCTAATCTTCCTATGATCAAGATTGTGCGGCGGGATCCCTATGGAACGGAAAGGCCACCTGTCACAATGGAACTTCCTTGGGGCAATATACCATTGGACCAGCCAGGGCCAGGGAATGCCTTCGGAAATGATCATTCGATTGATCCTATCCCTTCATCATTACATAGAACAAGAGAAGGAGAAAGTGCGAGAACAGATCTGGATGAGCCCTCTGCTCTGCAGGATAACCCAGGGGCAGATTCGTGGACGTTGGAGGGTTTGGATATGAGCTTTCTTGACAACTGGGTAGAAGGGCCAGTTTTCGTCTAAAGAGCCAACGATGTGTAGAATATCGGGTTCTATTGGAGAAATACATATTTATGTATTCCACCAACGTATACGAGTCGATTTTGGTCTATCAAATGGGCTTCATCTAGCTTTCTAAGACCACGAACTTGATTTCCCGTTCATGTATCATTCGTGTCGATTGACTTCCGCCTATCCTCACTTTCCTGCATGCTTTACCAAGAAGGTGCTGTATCTCTCATAAAACTGAACGCTTTGCGAGGTTTGGGGAAGAATAGCAGCAAACCAATGTGGCAGCCCAGCATAGCAGTAAATCTCGACGTCAACACCATCCTCTTTGAGAGCTTCAGCGTAGGCGAATGAATCATCTCGAAGGGGGTCAGCTCCACCGCATTGAATCACTAGAGCTTATTAGTTGAGTCTTGTAAATTAATGAATTCGCTTACGCGTTGGGGGAAGGCCCTTGAATGATTTCGCAAGGAGAGGCGAGTGCCTGTGGTCCGGCTTTGCATCAGGAGCATGAGCATCGAAGACAGTCTCCATGCTTATTGTGTTCAAGACAGCGTCGTCGTAGTTCTGGATGTAGCTGCCGTATTCGTATTTATCCTGGGGAAAGAATTTGGGATGGCATGTTGATGGGAAGTGCAGCACTTGAGCGATGAGACCGGTTACACCGTCTTTGAGGCAGTCTAGAGCTAGAGAAGCGGCCTGTAGATTTATCAGGTTTTTATTCACTCAATCAAGTGGGAAGACTCACCAGTTGACCGCCGGCGGAACCTCCGCTGAGTATAATCCTCTCAGGATCGATGCCTAGCCCGCCTGCGTTCTTTTTACACTGGGAATGGTTAGCTTACGGCCTAAAACATATTTATGCAGCAAACTCACCCAGATGAGCCCGTCATAGCAATCATTAATTGGTGTTGGGAAGGGATGCTCTGGTGCCCTAGATCAGTTAGTAAAGCTTATCGATACCTTCGGGAATGTAGTACTCACTTCCTGTAATCGACACTAACAACAACAATACTGGGGTTTGAGGCAGCGTAGACGTTATCGATGCCATCGACCTCATGTCGCCCAACACACCATCCTAACAATCGTCAGTTAGGCTCATTGATCGGCTTGGTTCATACACATACCGCCACCATGCATTCGATACATCAAAACAGCGTTTGCCTTAGCATTAGGCGACTTGTACACCTTAAGCTCAACCATGGTACCATCACGAGTAGGAATGTCGATCAGTTCTGTGATAACATCTTTGTAGCGATCAGGTCCGCCCGGCGGTATCACTGCATCTGCATCACCAGCGGCTGCGCGGACACTGGGAAAGTCGGGAAGGGATTGAAGAGCCCCATATGCCTCTCGGATGAAAGGTTCTGCTTGTTCATACTCGGGGGTCTTTTTGGTAAGATGACCATATTTCGGGAGGGGGGTGAAAGGTGCATTGAGATCGAAATAGTCGTAAGTAGTTTTCAGATAGCCCATCCTGACTTATTGAGGATAATATTGGTCAGTGGTGCAAGTAGGAATGGTTAAGGCGTTGAGAAAGATTGAGTTTGTAAATTTTGGGAGCAAATACTGAAACATGAGTTGTATCATCTGCGATAAATTCTCTCCGCTTCTTCGAGGGAATTTTCGAGTTTATATCTGTATCCGGCTGAGAATTTGTGTACCGTTCCCTTCTCATCACGGTCCGCGGACCCGAGAGCCCGTAGGATCGACAGGGGATGATTCATCGTGAGTATGGCTTATTACGGTTTGGTGTAGACTCATTCGGGTCCAGCATGTGAGCCAATCACGCAAGATTGAGTCGACCAAGTTAGGAAAGAACATTATTGTAGGCGTTATTTGGCGGGATATTCATGTACCTCTTGACTAAGAACGACCCTCGCACAAGGGTCATGAAAGTGAAGAATTGAATGAATCATTCTGACAATCTGGTTGGGGCCGGTCTCCTACTTAGTTATTTCGCTCGGCTGTTCTTCTAGACCAAGCCCGCAAATTAAAGTTATGACGTTAACTAGAACTCTAGAAGAAACGCTGTCTGTCTCCGCCGTGGCCCTGTACTCTAGCTACCCTAGGTCACTGGTAACCACTTCAAACCTTTTCTAGAAAAATAATTAATAATGCAGCAAGGCTAGCCAGGCTCCTCAGATTAATCGTTAATAATATGGGTTAATGGGAATTGGATTGATCTGTTCTATCTCTTGACGAACTTGCGCTGTCTCCCGGGATTGGTTTTGAATAATAAGTTTGGATTACAGCTCCATGGGCATTACAAATTAACGCAAGGCACTTTTACCATAATCCTCAGATAATATTCCCTGGCACCCTCAATATCCACGTCTCAGTCACCATTTTGCATTTCGTAGTTATATCAGTAAATTCTAGAAAGAGGTGATATCAGGATGTTAATGCCGTTCCTCGAGCTTCGTCCATTCACGTTTAAGAGGGCAGGTCGCCCTCTTTTCTACCTGAAAATTGGACTTCCATCTTTATTGGGTCAACTACACGATCCTGACATGCTATTGGACCAGAATTTCTTTCCTGCTGCCTCTCTCCAGTGTCCAGTGTCCAGTGTCCAGTGTCCAGGCTACCAGGGCAGGTCTCTAGGAATTGGCCTGAGGTCCATGGCGCTTACTGGTATTACTTCCCCAGACCTGCTCTACAACGAGATGTCTTGACGTTTCCTGTAGAGCTGCGCAACCCATTTCATTGTGGGTGTTGTCTTCCACTGTACCGAATTGAACCGCCCGTCCCAACCGACCCGAGTCGCGACGGTGTACTTCTGGTTCTGACGATTGGACGCGATGCAATACGATGTGACGTGACGCGACGCGACGCCGAGAACGAACCCATCCCGAAGCCTTCAGCGATGTAGAATAGCTTCCAATAATTTATCAACATCAATCGCCTCAATTCTTGGCCGTGCCATGCTTCCCCGCCTTACTCCTCAAGACCGCCACCCGGCTTTCTAATCGCCATAACTTGTAGAAGCTATCCCTCAATGCGTGTTCATGCTCCCAAACATATTGAAGCCACGATCCGACGAACAAGCCTCGATGACCTCGCCACCGATCTTGCGCCAGGCGCCCTCGATACCCCTTGACTCGCATCAACAGTGATTATGAACTCCTCGATCAAACCATGGCCGTATTCGCATCCCATTCCGAAGTCGCGCGACTCCTCGACGCCACGTTCTGTTTCTTTCGACCATGGATATGAGTGTTTAGCACGGCACTAATACAATAAATTCACACTTTTGAATACTTCCTTGATGTCTTCCAAATTCATTGTCTTGCTCAATTTAGGCATGGATGGATAAACCATCCAATGCTGTCTGGGCCAATCATTAGCGTCACCGATCAGGAACGCACGATTGCTGCCTGCTCCGTCTGACATGCGTCGTGCTATAAATTCACGGTCATCTCTCTCATACATAGGTAATTCTACCACAGGCTTGATACTCTGAATTCTGTGCCACAATGCCCAAATCTGCGAATACCGCAGATGAATACGATTTCGTTGATCATGAAGACACTGCGCTGAGCCCAGAAACTGTTGCTGAGCTGAGAGAATGGCTCCAGCCTACGGACTACCTCGCCGAAAGCTCAGAGTATCGTCGCCATTTACTGTCGCAGGCCCCAGGGACTGGACTCTGGATATGCGAAACAGAAGAGTATCGCAAATGGCATGATTCTCCTGATCATGGTAGTCTCTGGATCAAAGGCGTGCCTGGCGCCGGCAAGTCGGTCATGGCAGCTAGTTTGATCCAGCATCTGCGAACAACTGAGAATTGTCCCGTTCTATTCTTCTTCTTCCGAAACATCGTGGCCGCAAATTTCTCACCGCGCGCCCTGATCCAAGATTGGCTTGCTCAATTGCTACCTCATTCTCCCAAGCTGCAGTTTGCTCTTCAATCGCGACTCAAGGACAGCTTGGAAGAGACATCAGACAATGAGCTCATTCAACTCTTCCTTGATGGCGTATCCTGCGTCCCCAAGCTGTACTGTGTTGGTGATGCGCTCGATGAGATGTCGACTGATAGCACGCCAATCTTGGAGAGGCTCAACGGTCTCGCTACTCATCGGCCCAGAACATTAAAGTTGCTCATGACCAGCAGACCGTCTCGGAGCTTGCAGAGCACGCTACGAGATTCATCCATCGTTCACATCAGCCTGCAGCAGCGTCTTGTGGATGTTGACATCCATTCATATCTCAATCATCGATTTGACATGGCGCCAACATCTGAGCATCAGCGCGAGGCGAAAGAAGATCTCGTCAACATGGTCGCGCAGAAATCCGAAGGCTTATTTCTCTACGCCAAGCTGACCATGGACCAAGTTGAAGATTCCCTTCAATCCGATACAGCTCTCAACATCAAAGATCTCGAGGCATCACTTCCCGTTGGTCTGGAGCAGACGTACACGAGCATGCTAGCAAAGCAACGGGGAGAGCCTGGAATTACTATAGATGTCCAAGTCTTGATCCTTGAAGCAGTTACCCATGCATCGCGTCCCCTCCGATTGAATGAACTGGGGAGCCTCTTGAAGTGCGTCCGCCCTGACATTACCCAGCCCAGCGCCTTCAAAAGTTTGATCGCAACTAGCTGTGGACCACTGATCGAAATCCTCGAGGACGAGACTTTGCAGGTAATCCATCATTCATTCACAGAATTCCTACGTGGAGATACTCGTAGCGTGTCCACTGTTGGTGCATCCGACTTCCCAATTCTCGACTCACTTCAGGCACACAAGCATATTGCCACGAATTGCCTTTTTTATCTGCAGTCCGGATCACTCCTACTGGAGAGCGAACAATCCGACACCTCAGCTGTAGACCCGTCGGTGACATTCGAAACACCCAGGCACAAGTTCGATCATGATGCGTGGCATTACAGGCATGAGCATCTTGGTCTCCCCGACGAACATGATGCTTTCGAGTACAGGTCAGCTCGCCTACGACATCCATTCCTCAGCTATGCAGTTGAGAATTGGCCGTACCATGCTTCAAACTACGACGCGGATGACGACGACTTCTTTATGACCATCTTGGACTTTGTCAACTCCAAGAGCCTTTCGTTTCTCCGATGGCTTGTCCTGCAATGGGGATCAACATCAAGTAACAAAGGCTCACTGAAAGGGATCCCGACTGCTCTTCATCTTGCAGCCTTTGCAGGACTAACTCAGTTCTCTTCCAAGCTACTCAGGCAAGGCGCGACGGTTTCGGCAGTTGATGCTCAAGAGCGGGTTCCGCTACACTGGGCAGCAGCAAATGGTCACGATAAAGTCGCATCGCTCCTCATTCAGTACGGGGCCGATGCCGATGCCGAAGACGGAAGAGGGCTGAAGCCCATCCATCTCGCAACCTTGAAGAACCACGCCAAGGTAGTAACAGTCTTACTGGAAGCAGGTGTTAAGCCAAACACAATAAAAACAAAGGAGAACCGCACAGGACGTCTCCTCGGTGGCGAAAGAATCACCAGAGGTCAATGTTCCATATACTATGCCAGTCGAGGAGGACACACAGAGACAATTACTGTCATGATACCCTTCTGCGAGCCACGCATGCTAGAGCAACTTCTGTGCCAATGCTGCCAGTTCGGTCGTGCAGATGCAGTTCTAGCAATCCTAAAGAACTCACCTGTCTCGCCCAATGCAACCTTTGAAGGGGCAACAGCGTTGTATTTTGCTTGTGCTATACCCAATGCTAAGTGTGTCGAAGCGCTCATTCACGCAGGTGCAGATGTGAACAAGACATCCCAGTGGCAACCGAGACGACAGAGGAATGGGGCACCTCCGCGGAAACGGGAACATGCAACACCGTTACATCACCTTGCAGAGGTTTGGGAAGATGAGAATGATTCCGAGAGCCAAGAGGTCCTAAGGATGTTGCTGAAAGCTGATGCTGACCTTGAAAGGTTTGATGGCCAAGGAATGACTCCTTTGATCATTTCAGCAAAAGACCCACGGTATGTCAATGGATCGCGAAATCATTTATTGGCCCTGAAGGCCTTGGTAAGAGCGGGCGCCAACGTCAAGGTCCTTGGCCCGCCTCCGAATCAAGACACGATGCTGCACCGAGTTCTTGACCACAGCAGTGACCTAGAAGCCATCAAGCTTCTTGTGGAATATGGGTGCGATCTGATGCAGGAAAATCAGGATGGAGATACCGCTCTGAAAAGAGCTGTATCCGGGACGAATTCTTACAAGCCGGATTCCGACTCCAGAAAGATGGATATTGTGAAATATCTTCTCGACCAAGGTGCTGATCCCTGTTGCAAGGATAAGTACGGAAGAACACCTGTCAGCGTTGCGATGTCACGAGGACCTGATCTATTCAAAGTCCTGTTCGAGAGGTCCACCGACACGTCCGTGAGGCATCACTGTTGGTTCAATCTTTCGGAGATAAGCGATGCAGACAGGTTTACTCACTATCTTGAACTTCTCCTTGCCGAGGGGATCGATATGGAGATGGTGGACTTAAATGGCAATACTCTCTATTTAAAATGTCTTCGAGGAGGTAAGGAACGACTGCGCATTTTGAAAGATCACGGTGCACGGATAGATGTCAAAGACTTCAACGGCAACAATGCGTTGCATCGTCTCTGCTTTCATGGAACGAGGCGTACAGAGGAAATGACAATGTTCATAGACGAAGGCATCGATCCTCTTGCCACCAATAAAAACGGAGACACGCTTTTGCATCTTGTTGCAGAGGGGTATGACGGTACGAGAGAATCTGCCAGCCTCCTTGGTTGGCTCCTCAGTCTTGGTATACCAATCAACGCTGTCAACAAGCAGGGTGCCACTCCTTTACACGTGTTCCAAACATGCAGGCGTACAGGGAATACCCTGCTCGACAACAAACGCATTCACTTCTTGGATGTCCTCAACAGGAGCGGTGAGGTCGACCTGCAGATCCGCGATAATGATGGACTGTCACCGCTTCACCTAGCAGTCATGAAATCAGAAGTTGAGATGGCCGAGCTCAAAAGACTTGGGCTGGATTTAAACTATTTGACTTCTGACTCGCAAAACATCCTCCATCTGGCATGTCGAACCCGCAAAGCCAACATCATTGCTCAGATCCTGGAAGCAGGTCCTAATATAGACATAAACCAGGAAGACCAATTTGGAAGAACGCCGCTACATTATGCTTGCAGTTCTGGTGACCCTGAGACTGTTGCCTGGCTCTTACACTATGGCGCTTCGACCTACATCAAGGCAAACGATGGCTCTTCCGTCTTGCATGCTTGTGCGGATATCAGAATTGAGCAGAGTTTGTGGAACCTTCAAGCACGAAAGTCTCTATGGCTCCGAGGGCCAAGCGATGATCCACTTCGGCCCTGTACTGGTGACGACTATCCAAGAGAGCCTTGGTATCAGGTCAGATACTCTACTCCTGAAGTCGGTATCCAGAGAAATACGTCGCCAGGAGTTGCCATCATCATCAAAATGCTAGTTGAACATGGTGTTGATCTTGGTTGGTTAGATGATCGTAAACGAACAGCCCTGGATTTGGCTCTCTATACAGGATGCTCTGACTTTGCGGAAGTCTTCTCTGAGGATGAGAAACTTCTTAACCTGGCTACAGTCGAGCTGGAGAAGGAAAACGTCGGTGAAAAAGTGAAAGAAATGCGGAGGGGCATCAAATTACAAATGCTTCTGATGTGCCCGAGATCTTGCTGGGATATCTTGCGCCAAGATGAAGAGGGTTGCAAGAGTCTTATGGACAGGCCTCATACCTTCCTCGGCCTCCTCTCCGTCCGTGACGCTGCTAAACTGATGGATCAATGCGTTGAAACTGCACCATTGGCAATGGGAACCTACGAGTTACTCAAGCAAATGATGAAGCCGAGTAACTGCCAAACTATCAATCACCTCTCTGCTATCGAGCATGCGCCGGGACTCATCAAGTACTACAGCAATTACGAGAACGCCAAGGCAAAGCTCGAGAAAGAGATCCTCGAGGAGAGGTGGCATCCAGAATCCCTTATGACTGCGCTCGGACTGGCTTGCTCCCAAGAAGAGTCAAACATGCTCACATTGAGATCACTTGTCGAGAAATTGAAAGTTGATGTCAACGCCAAGTTTGCAGTATCAACAGGCGATACGTACGATAAACGCAGTGGTGTCACCTCAGGTGGGACGGCACTGCATGTCCTTGTCGAGGCAAATCATTACTGGCAGTTGGAGGGCCTGCGATACCTCATCGACAATGGTGCTGACGTCAATGCCCCGGACAAAGATGGACAAACACCACTTCACATTGCTGCTGGGGGTTTGGTCCATGAGAACCGCGATGTGAAAGGTCTAGCGACGCTACAAGCTGTCAAAATACTCCTTGACAACGGAGCTGACATCAACGCCCTTGACAATGACAACTTGACTCCCCTACATAAGGCGTCAAGTGCACCAGATATCATAAAGGAACTGCTCAGTCGAGGCGCAGACGCAACCATGGGAAAGGAAAGTCCTTTGTTCGCTACAATTTTCGACCAGAACCGGGAAGTATTGAAAGCACTCCTCGACCATGGGTCGAGTCCCGATATACTGAGCGAAACGAAACACAGCCGAAACGTGCATTACAATCTGACCAAGTCACGCCGTGTTTATCCCGTTCTCTGCGCTGCTTTCGCTGAAAAGATCAATACGCAAGTTGCCAACACAGTGCCTTTGCTACGCACTCTCATTGGGCATGGAGCAAATCTTTATCTGCCTCTGAACGATGATGAGACACTAATCCACTTCCTCTTTGTGTACCCAGAGTATGAAGTCATTGATGAGCTTCTAAAGCAGCCATGCGCGTCACAAATTGACTTCAACCATCGCGACCAACGAGGTCATACAGTTCTCATGGCTGCGTGTAATTGGCGGGAGACTTTACCTGGATTCTCTCATAGACATTGGGAAAAGCTCCCGACAGGACCTCCTGTGCGGATGCTGGATCTTGGAGCCGATGCAACTCTCGTTGACAATCTTGGCAAGACAGCGCTCCATCATCTGCTGAGTAACCCTGGCTTACCGGACGATACACTCATTGAGTTCATAAGTCGAACAGAGGTCGCTCCAACCCTCTTTCAGAAAGATCAGGAAGGGTACTCGCCGCTTCACTACGCTCTCCGACTATTGCGCCCTCAAGTCTGTGAAGCACTGCTCGCGAAGGGCGCTGATCTGCTTCAGCCTGATCCACAAGGCCGCACAGCTCTTCACTACATAGCCTCGCAATGCCTTCTCAATACCCGAGAACCTGGGTCCCCGGGTCGACTGAATATCGAGCTCGGTGACGACTACTTCAATCAGTGCCACGTTCTGTGGGGAAAGTTCATTTTCCAAGGAGGTTCCATCAACGTTCCCGACAAAGCTGGAAACACGCCTCTTCACACGTACCTCTCTTCGCCTACAAGTAACGGTTATAAATCTCACCCAGAATCATGTCATACAGACCACTACGCGAGTCTGTTTTCGGAAGATAGCGGTGTTGATATTTTTGCGCTGAACAAAGCAGGAGAGGGAGCGCTGCACATGATTGCAGGGAGAGAGAATACGTACAGTACGGTTGAGGGACACGACAAGAGATTGTTTGTTTTGATGATGAACAAAGGGTTGGATCCGTTGCATGAGGATGAGAAGGGAAGAAGCGCGTTGGATATTGCGAGTGCTTGTGAGAAGGATGATATTGTTGGTTTACTGGGGAGGAAGTGAGGAAAGTAATAAGAATACCAAGAAGTTCCAAGGTCTATATCTGCTGCTCTCCAATTTATTCCTGATACGGCAAAAAGTTGAAGCATCTCTAGCTTGAGACTTATGCAGACTCTAAGACATACGCGATAATCACTTCCTTACGGGGCTAGTTCATAGAGCGTTCCCGAACCTCTCTCACCCCTCTTCCAGCGAACAACCTTCCTAATGGATTGAGATACGCGATTACTTCGGGTGTAAAGCGTTATGCTACCTATCATGAACTTTGCTACATGACACGGGATGAGTAGCCGTGCCCCTCGGTCCGAGGCCTCGGCTTCGTTGAGACTGATAGTCGCACAATTGGTACAATTGGCACTAACAATTAGGGAGTGTGGAGACCAAGCCAAGTACCTTCGGGATCTAAGTATCCGGTGCATGTCTCGTCTTGTACGATGGTAAATATGCACCATGATTCGTTTGGCGCTTTCGTTGACGTTGATCAAAGTGCGGGGGTTAACGAGCTGAATGTAGAGTAACGAATATAAAAAGGTTGAAACAAACCCTATTTTCACTTCTTCTGTCAAGTCTCGTATTGCTCTTAAATATTCACCATGGCTACCAACGGAACCAAGTCTCAGCCTATCAACCTCAAGGACAACTATGTCCAGATCATTGATGGCAAAAGCGCCCCGACCCAAAAGACCCATCAGGGTATAAACCCAGCGACGCTGGAGAAGAAGCCCGAAGTCCCTGTCGCCACCCAAGATGATCTGAACCGAGCTGTCGACGCTGCTAGAAAGGCCTACAAGTCCTGGTCAAAGGTTCCATGGGAGGAACGAAAGCAGAAGCTGTTTGCGTGGGCTGATGCTATTGAGGCTCAGAAGAAGGAATTCGCCGACCTTCTTGTCTCTGAGCAGGGCAAACCTGTAAGACATTTGACCTGAACTGAGAAGAAGGACATTGCTGACAGTTTAGATTGCTCAAGCTTCTGGTGAGGCTGAGGCTGCGATTGCTTGGGTCAGAGGTCAAGCTAGCATTGATCTCCCCGAAGAAGTAGTTGAGGATAGCGAGAGCCGCAAGATCATCACGAGATACACCCCTCTTGGTGTAGCTGCTGCTATTGTCCCGTGGAACTTCCCCCTCATGCTGGCAGCTGCAAAGATTGCTCCCGCTCTCGTCACAGGAAACGTCATCATCGTGAAGCCATCACCCTTCACGCCCTATTGCGGCCTGAAACTGGTTGAGCTGGCGCAGCAGTTCTTCCCTCCTGGTGTTGTGCAGTCGCTCAGTGGTGATGATAATCTTGGACCTTGGATTACAAGCCATGAGGGTATTGATAAGATCAGCTTTACGGGTTCGACTAATACTGGAAAGTTGGTTATGCAGAGTGCTGCCAAGACACTCAAGCGAGTTACGCTTGAGCTGTGAGTCTGTCTATCTGATGAAGGTGATAGTAACTAATATTTGACAGTGGCGGTAATGATGCTGCTGTTATTTTCCCTGATGTGGACATCGAAAGCGTGGCTGAAAAGGTTAGGCTCATTGAATAGCCTAAAGCAGGATCGACTTTGCTAACGACTGATAGGTTTCTACACTTGCATTCATGAACTCAGGCCAAATCTGCCTGAATGTCAAGCGAATCTATGTCCACGAATCTATCTACGAGAAGTTCCGCGACGCTGTAGTCAAGCACGTCAAGAACTACAAGCTCGGCGACGGTTCATCCGAGGGAACCAGCCACGGTCCAGTCCAGAACGAAATGCAGTACAACAGAGTCAAGACATTCTTCGACGACATCGAGAAGCAAGGTTGGAAGGTTGCTACGGGTGGCAAATTTGATCCTGCACCTAAGGATGGTTATTACATCCAGCCTACTGTGATTGATAACCCTCCTGAGAACTCGAGGATTGTGGTTGAGGAGCCTTTTGGTAAGTTTTTTCACGACACATAGTTTTATATCAGCGACTGACATATCAGGCCCTATCCTTCCTATCCTTTCATGGAAGGACGAAGATGAAGTCATCGAACGCGCCAACGATACCAAGCTCGGTCTTGGTGCCTCCGTCTGGTCGTCTAACATTGAGACAGCGGAGAGAGTGGCTAAGCAACTCGAGGCGGGAACTGTCTGGGTCAACAACCATTTTGATATTACTCCCATGGCTCCCTTCGGTGGTCACAAACAGTCTGGAATTGGTGCTGAGTGGGGTATCAATGGACTCAAGGGTTTCTGTAATGTGCAGAGTCTCTTCGTGAGCAAGGTTTAAGTAGTAGCGATTTTGATTCAGTTCAACAGAGACTAAAAAATATCTTGATGAATTTCATCATTTGGTATTGGTGCTAGCTGTTGCTCAGTTCCTTACAGCTTGACCTCTACTACCTGTCCACCAGAGACAGCATCGTTGTTCTGTCCAGAAGTAACAACATACAAAAGCTTTCCGTCGTTGCTGAAGGTTACACTACTAGGACCGGCAAGAAGTCCCTCCACAAGAACAGTTTGTTTCCCTCCTTGAGTGATTTTGACAACCCTGTCCTGCCAATACACGACATACGCGTTTCCATGTCGATCCATGGCAAAGTCATCCGGGGCATAAGAAGAGCCCTTTTCAAGCTTGACAAGAACCTCGAAATCGCCAAGTTTGTTTCCCATATCATCAATCTTGACTCGGTTCAAGGACTGATGAGCGGTGTTGGTGAAGTACAGGTAGTCGTTGAAAATCTTGATTCCGTTTACACCAACGGGGAAGAGTCCGCCAGGAACTGGAGTGAGTGCTTCGTCCTTGATAGCTACTTCAATATGTCCAGTAGTTGTATCAATTCTCAGAATCTCACCCCTTTCGGCATCAGCAGCAAGAATGATGTGTTTATGGCGTGGGAGTGCCAAGATGCCATTAATCGGCCCGTACTTAGACCTTTGAAAGACAGTAGAGATGGAGACTTTATCAACATCAAACTTGAGAAGGGAAAGTTTGTGGTGTTGCTCTGATACATTCCCTCAAAGATGCCTCCGGTGACAGCAAAGACATCTTCGCCTACCTCCACGATACCAGATAATGAGTTCACTCCCTCGATTTTGAAAATAGCATGGGGTTCAGCAGGAGTACCGTTCGGAGTGAAAGAATATACTTTCCCTTCTCCGATTGTAGTCATGAGAAGATCGCCGTTGGAACGAATAGCGACGTTTTCGATCCAAGTGTTTGGAATTTGGACGAGTTCAAGGGCCTTTGGTTGGGGCGAGGAGTAGTAAAAGGCTCCGGCACCGATGAAAGCTATGAGACTTGCTGTGAGTGCATAACGCATGATGGATTCGGTGTTATGCAAAATATGATGACTTGAAATGGTAGATGCAGGGTGAGCTTGATGTTCTTAAGCCTTGAGTTATTAGGCATAGGTATGCGGAGAGGCTACTAGCAAGGGAATATGAATATTTATCTGATCGATATCTTGGCTAACACCTGTTTGTCAGCCCGGACTTAAGCTACTTAATTACGCGATGCGGTATACCAGGTCTTTTAATGGTAAAGAGATCTATTGGAACAACCCCATACAGGGCCTGAAAGTTATGACTATTCGCCATTGGCCAGACTGGCTAACTCCATTGCCTAATTTCGTATTAACAGCTTCTTGATTGGTCAACCATATTCTCCGAAACGAGAGCTGTTCCTTGTGCGGACTGCCAAGAACAAGAAGTTAGACCTAATTCTTGATGAAGAGATAAGAGAAAGTCTACATAATATAGTTCTTGTCGTTTCCTTCTTGGCCGTTTCTTTGTGATGACTGCTGTTATGAGAAGGTTATATTGTGAAAAAGAATATCGTGTTCTCATCACCTGTGTTAGCGGCCTAAAGTTTAACCTTATGGCCAGCAATCATTAAAGTAGCTGCTGTCATGGCTCTAGAGGTGTTGTTACTGCTTTCTTGAACAATGGTTCTACTATATTTAGGTCTCTGAGAAATGTCGTACCGACCAGGCTTCCTAGCTCTCGTTTCCTCTCCAACAAGACAGACAGGAGCCTTATGTCGATAATGCTTGAAGTGAAGTGGTATGGCTTCGTCCCAAACTTGGACTGTGAGTTTGCCATAACCCAATCTAGCCTGACAGGCAGCCGCGGCATCACAGGTTGCAAGTGCAGCCAAAACTATGCACAGTCGCTCAAAGAGTTATAGACAGAATCAAAGCATATCACGATGGTGAAAGAGAGACTTCCTGATAAGCCCATCACCCCAGAAGAGAAGGAAAGCTTTCGACGGAGGCCACCGCCTATCGAAATCATAGATGCCCAGAGGCCGATGGTCGTTTCCAATATTGAGCCTTTGAGGCCACTCGCTTTGCAGGCAAGCTTTTCTCAAATCCACGCACGTCTGCCAAGGCTGTTTGTTCTCCATACCTTAGCCATGTGTGCCAGACAAATGGATTTAGAAACTCTGGTTCCCTTTCTGGCGCTAATACAAGCTTTTTGGCCAACTTGCAGGAGAAGAATATCGCATTTTGCTCTTTTGTCGCGTGGAGCCCTTGCCGAGATTTTTCGCCGACACCAAAGTGTGTTTCTCTCCGATGATTTAATGTCCAGTTATATCAAATAGTGAGCTAGATGTGTTATTTGCAGTTGAGACCTGTGGCTGAGAGCTCATAATCACCATACAGAACTTAGTCCAGATCCTCCTTGAACGGGAGCAAATCAGTTATAATCTAGGTTTTTCTATCCAACTTAAGAGAACCAACATTATCTTGAAGCTTCTATAAAGGAAGAGCAACCTAGCCAGTTACTCCCCCCCTTTTCTTCACCAAAAAATCTCCTCTACTTCTCACATATACACATACACTAATTCATCTTTCAACTCCCTTCTTCAAGTCTACCTCAACTTCCAATCCAACCTTTTCTCAACACTATATCACACCCATTACAATGTGCTGTGGCTCTGAGGAGGACACGTCCAGTGTCTCTATCAGGACGCCCACGCCTATCAGGGACCCCACCGTCCCGGCAGACCCTCGTATGAGGGGACTTTCCACCCTAGAAAAAAGGGCACTGGTACTGAAGGACTTGGAGGAAAATCCTGTCAGGGTGAACAGGCCCTCGCGACCTGTTGTCTACTCGCCATACCAACTTGCCTACGGAATCGCGCGAGGACGCTTGAGCCCGTAGGCAAACACAGAAAGCTAGGGAGACGAAGAAAAGGAACTCACGACCTTGGAGACGGTGGAGTAGGTGGTAGCAGAGTAATAGACCCTATACCGCTTCTCAACACGACCCATCTACTATTGGTGATTCAGAGGTCAACGATGACAGGAAGTGGATGGTATGTACGCTCAGAGGTTTCATACTTGGCTGAGGATACTAATACTCCCAGGCTCAGAGATAACTGAACTTGGTCTACCATCAAGAACCACTGCGGTCACTCCTTGATATAGCTCATAGCTATACAAGCAACGGCATTTGATTGTTCTTTTCTTGATGGTACTTGCAGTTGAGACCTGTGGCTGGTCCATTCTGGCTTTGGGTATTGATTCGATTTGAAACGTTCAAAGGGCTAGGGAGAGGTTGAAAAGGTCGGGTTAGACAAGAGTCCAAGGACTTAAGCTCAACACAACAATGGCTTGAGTTGCTCTAGGGTCTAGGGTCTTGGGCATTCAAATGAATTTAAATTCTCTTCTAGAATCGGTTTGTTTGTGACTGCATAAGAATAAGTCTTATCCAGGGACTAGTAGTGGCTCTGAGGCTAGAGCTACGTCTCTAGGTTCTTGCAAGATGTCGGCTGAGGAAAGCTCTTGACCAACGTCAATTCGGTCAACGATTTCACACATGTCATTCAACATGGCTCCATCGCTGAAGTAAACCACTACGTCTGGTCTTTGGCTTCCCATCCTATTCTTGTATTTTGAAAATGTCTAAAGAATTCTGAGAGCTCCTTGGGGGGCTACAATCCGGCAACTGACGTTCAAACCAAGCACCACTTCTGCATATAACGCTATCCGTGATGGGTCTTCATCATAGTAGACAAGGACCTTTTCCCTGTTGCTGTAGTATATATCCTGCAAAAGAAAAAGGACTCGGCACGCTAACGCAACGCTATAGTGTCAGGTTGTCGATGTCCTGGACATAACAAGGGCAGCCGCATCGACGTCAATAAGGTCAATTTCATGAGGCCTGCCGGATACACATGCTCTTGCCTACCGCCTTAGGCCTGGTTGGAAGACCGCTGATAATGGACATATATGGCCAAGACAAAGAACATAATGAATAGTTTCGTGGCGGGGGCCAATTGAATCCTCCAGCACATACCGCGTTGGCCAACTCATCTTCAGAGAAAAAGAGGTAGGAACTATTGTATCTCGGGTTCCGGTATCAACCTCTAGTGTTTCGGATTTCCGACTTCATTACTTCACGTCCTTATTTTATTTTATTCATATAAATAATATATATTTCGTTTTGTATATATACATTAAAATTTATTTCTATACTCTTAAAGATGTGCAAGTCTATATAATCAAGTTCTATAAAAAGGTATATAGCAACCGTTCAATGAAATACTCAAGCAAACTATTCTCCCATGTAACCTCATTCGTACTTCGACTCCTCTAATAGATAGAATCATATTTATTATATTCATCCCACTTCCTCTGCAAGTCTGGCGGCATCCCACAATACCCAATCGGCTGTTCAACCCCAGGACCTGGTTCCTCAGGCCGGTACATAATATCCTTCAACTTACCAGTGCCGCGCAGCAATTTGATCATTTTCGGGGTCTCAGTATTCTTATTATCAGGATCCAGGAGATTGACGATGTAGTAGCTGAGGGAGTATACGATGCCTTCCCGGTCCGTATAAAGATACCGCTCATTACGTCGCGCATCATGCGCTACATCAAGGCCCTCTAGCATAGCTTGCAGCGCATCCGGTCCTTCATCTATCGCGAAATGCAGCACTGTCTTTCTTCGATTGCGCCAAGACAGATCCGTCTTTCTGGCAAGCAGCTGCATTGTTTTTACCCTCCGCTTCTCAAAAGTACCCTCATCGTTGGCAACCCTACACCACGGCCGTGTCTCAGAGCGACACGCTACCACGAGGGGAATCATCATTCCAAAAGCCTCGTGTTCGAGATCTGCGCTGTGCCATTGTAGAAGCCACCGGACAAATTCTGGTAGCGCGAGCAAAGCAGCTGTGTGTAGTGACCCATTGTTTACATCTTTACCGCCACCTAGGGAAATGTAGGCTTTTAGGTTGCCTAGATAAAGGGCCGCATTGCTTAAAGGCAGGTCTTGAGTCATGAATTTGGCGGGATCGGGTGTTTTGGGCTTCTGGCTTAGGTATGAGAATGAACGTCCTGGAATAACAGACGTTTTTATGTCTTCACCGTGTAGTTTGAGGAGAGATTCGAGAACGGAATTGCGGTTGGGGTCGAGCATGCAGGCGAATGCAGCTGATACCTGGGAACTGGGTGTTGAGTACAACAAAATTGCTTGTCACCATCAGCCATCGAACCGATAAAAACAGCTTAAGGGTTACTTACCATCATCCCCCTTGGCTACCAGAGCTAACAGGATTCTGTTTGATATCTTCAAGTTCGACATGAGTCCCCAAAGCAAAGGTGTAAGCGGCTCACGTTTCCACTGTTTGCATAAAGAAGCCGATTTCATCGTCCCCGCTGACACCCCGTAGTGCAGCAGCTTTTCTACCAAAGCCCCTCCCGCAGGGAACTTGGTCATAGCCTTGTACAGAAGGTTCGAGTCTTTTAGACGAGCTTTGCGTAATTCGGCCATGCAAATCTTCAGCCATGTGAGAACCTCCTTCTCCTTGGCGCAGTGCTCAATCAGAGCTAGAGTCACGGTATCAACATTCGCATATGGACACATGACTCTGAGGGCGGCTTCATTTCCCGCTTTGCAAGCTAGGACAAAACACTTGGCGCCGTCTGCACTCGGGTTAGCTCCTCGCTCAAGGAGCAGTTTCATGGTATCTAGGTCCTGGACATTTTTCAACGTGTCGATGAGAGCTAGTGTGAGTTTGTCCTTGGTGATGTTGTGTTTGAGAAGACTAGTATATACCTTGACTCTGAATGCTGGCCTCAGCACCGTCGAGGTTCGTACCAAGTCGAACGCTGCAGCAGCGGTATTGTCATCCCTGATAGATTGGATGAGCAACTCGGTAATCTCAGTTGATTTGAGTTTGAAAGCCAATTTTAGAGGGAGGAATTCCTTCAGCTTCACATCAGCACCATGTTTGAGCAACAGTTTTACTAGCTCCACGTCGGTAGTCCCCTCGTTGAGTGCTATGACGATTGCTGCTGAGACAGCAGTAGTTGAAAAACTTCCGTTGTTGAGCAAGGCTTCGTAAATCCAGAGACGCCTGTCGACCGTCATAGTGGAAGATACTGCTTGAGCAAAGCACGTATTTAAGGCGCTGGTAGGCTCTACTTCGCGAACTAGTAGTGTGAACAATTCTTTGTTGCTTGTGGTGAGAGTCGCCTGGAGGTGACCCGCCGTGACTTCTACACCACGTTTAATGAGCATCAGCGGAACTAGCGTAGAGTTCCCATGTTGTTCTACCATGGTACGCAGTAGGCTAGCAATTTCATTCTTTGTGAGCCCTGGCTTGGCATCTAGTAATAGCCCTAGGACAGATTCCTTCTGATCGTGATTTAGTTTGGGCGATCTAAATGCAGCAATGCAAGCTGTGCTGATAGATTCCCCGCTTGGCTGTCGTGAAAGCAGCGTCTCCAAAATGGTCGTGGATCTTGAAGAGAACGCAGCAGCAATAGCAAGAGATTTGGTGCTGACCAGTGGCTTGTGGGCAAGGAGGATCTTGAAGCCTCTGTCATCTCCTGACTTCGATAGAGCCTCCAGTGTTTCGTCGTATAGTACTTCAGACTGACCAATTTCCGCGTTGCCAGCCTTATCGAGGAGGAGTCTCATCATATCAAGCCTTGTTTCTCGAGGCTTAGTCTTGTTTGTAGCTGTGAAGCCAGTCTTCAGAGAAGTGGTAGTTGTATTAGCGGAGAGCAAAGTCTTCAACAGGGGGACGTTGCTCTCCTCCACGGCAAACCGTATCATCACGCCCTTTTGAAGGTTTATATCGAGACCATACTTCATGAGACAAGAAATAATGGCCGTCATGTTTAGATGGCCTTCCAGTAAGGTCGGTACCTCTGTAAAGTCTATCGCTGATCCATTTGATGCTGCTGATTGAAGTACTACCTCCAATGTCTGTGTATCGGCACTACTCGTCTCGAGCAGCGAGGGAAGAAGTACCTGAACGACAGCTGCCTTCACCGAACAAGCTTTGCATAGAATTTCGAGCCTAGCGTAGTCATTCAATGCAGCTGCGTAAGCATTGCCCTGGTTATAGTTTGCATCTGCACCATGCTTGACCAACAAACGGATAATATTCAATGCACGAGGGCTCTTGGATCCAGCAGCTATCAGGAGTGTCTTGTCAAGACCCATTCCTCTCGTGCCATTCTTGAGAAGGAATTGTATGATATCGTAGGTGAGATTGCCGCCGTTTTCTGCGATGCGCGAAAAGGCCTTGGGCAGGGCTTCTGATAGGGACGCTGTGTGGGGAAAGGACCTCCAGAGGAGCTCTATCACTGGGAGAGATGCTTTGTGAATGGCGAGGTGAATTATATTCAATCTGCCCTCTTCTCCATGCAGTGGTAACTGGTATTGGAGTATAACCTTGAGGAGCTCCAGGTCGGGGTCGGGGGATTGAATGATAAGACATAGTTGTTCAAGAAGAGCTTCTTTCCATATGCCTTTATCAGCGAGCATTTTGACAGCCATGCATCGAATTGCTGGATCTGTAATTTTCATTGCGTCTGATAGTGCAGGAGAAAGCTCGTCGTCACTGATATCTCCTTGTAGTAGGATCCCCAGCATCTCGACATCAGCAGAGCCGAGAGCCATTTGGGTAGCCTTGTACGTGATGCTTGCACCGATTCTCTGGAATACATCAACAGCACGATGATGCCTTTTGGAAATAGCTTCGATAAACTTTTGATCCAGTGGTTGTCCTCCAAAGCGTAAGTCGTTCGCAGCCAACATACCCAGAAAACGAAGCATGTCGTCCTCTGAAGTGTCATATGGAACAAGTGAAAGCAGGTTTGGAACGTCGTCTCTTTTTCTGCTGGCGGAAAGCATTATCTCGAGGATGGAAAAGTCCATCATAGACACAGCCTGTTCGATGGATGGGCGCACTCCGGCTTTGATCAGGAGGTTGATCATAGAGGTTCTTTTCGCCACGACGCTGTAAGACATCTCTTGCCGAAGGGCCTGCACGTCTCTCAGAAGATTTGTTTCATCGAGGAGGCAATAGAGCGTATATCTTGTCTCGTAATCGGATTTTCCCGAGATGCGCTCGCATGCCTGTATGGCAACATCTTCATGCTCGACTCCATTTCCTGTCGTGCTTAAGAAATATGCAGCACTGAAGTTCTGAACGGAAAACATCGGAGGCATCATGGAGGTTCGAGTAGTCAGGTAGGAAAGAAGCACAGCCACAGCGGCAACATTGTTCGCATCGATGGCTTTGAGAAGATATGCCCCGGTTGCAATGTCTGGCCGGTGATGAATGCATTGAAGCAGAATGCTTGTCTCGTATATGCCACGGGGAGCTCCTTCAATATTTGCTCCCAGGGAGTATTGCCAGTCCTCGACATTCATACCCTTTGAAGCCGGAAGCAAAAGCTTTACAACGTCGACGTCGCTCTTCGCAACAAATAGTCGCACATAATCTTTGCACATGGGCAAGATACACGCTCCAAAGCTTAGGAGAAGCTTCATTGAGACAATGTCGCGTCTGGCGAGCGCAATCACAAAGGCTTGATTCAACAAATTCGGTCCTGCGCCAAACTGGCACAGCAGATGGATATACGGTATGTTTTCCTGATCCGTGACAATGCCCAACCAATTAGATAATCCATTGTTTGAAGACGTTGAGCGACGAAAGATGCTGGATTGCCTCTTTTGTAATTTGCTGTCTTGGAAGTGCTCCCACAGCTCATCCAGCGAGTCAATGTGCACAGAAGCAAGCACTGCATGCGCTACCTGCACATCAGGCAATGGGCCCGCCGAGAGGAGCTCATTCAAAGCTTTTCCGACCTCATGTTTCGTAAAAGTCCATCTTTCTTCATTCAGCTTCAAGTTTCTTCGGCTCGGTACGCGCAAGAGATGTCTCTTTTGTTGGTCTGGCGGACGGTAGCCTGCATCGTTTGTACGTGCTCTCACGAGCAATGCGCGTGCAGCATTACGATGTTCAGCGGTTGTGGAGGCTTCATAGTCGACCGGCGAAGGAGTTTTGAGCGTCTCGAGCGGGGAGGGAGGGGAGAGGCCGGCGTAGCGAGAGAGGATATCGAGATTGGGAGACAAGGTTGAGCCGACAACGAGGCTTGAGAGAAAAACCATTTTGGCTATCCATCCTCCAACTATTCCATATCTGTTAGCACTCGCTGGGTTGGTGAATAGGCAAGTGTACTGTAGATACGCACCGAAGCGAAGGGCATCTCGAAAAGGAGAAAGAAATGATAGAGTAGCAACAATTACAACCAGCCCGGCTGCCAAAGCCAACGCCATCTCTGTCGCCAAGTCCCAATTCGGGGTACTGTACGAGTCTTTCAGCTCGCGAAACGAGCCAATGGCCCTGAAAGCGAGGCGCTGCCGTGCTTCAAAATAGGCATCGTGTAAGTGGCGAACCCCTCTTCAGCCGCACGCAGACAGCCCAGTCTGAATTTCAACTTAGCCGCTGGGCTTTGCAGCCACCAGGTGATAATTCGCCTTAGCTGCAGCAATATGTAGGCTACGTGTCAGTCAGTCACAGAGCGTTCAGTGAAACAAGGCTCTCTTCGGCAATTGTTGTTTCTTTGTAATCGCTCATACAAACCTCGTCTTTTAGGGAATGATTCAAATGCTAAATACTCGAATATAACTACCAGATTCTTCCAATTCCACTGTTACTCATGACAGGTTTTGTGGAGAAATCGGTTAATCTACTAGAATGAGATGCGTATGTCGTTCCGAACGACTGTTTTCATGAAATAAGGCTCCGACCTGCATGGCCGCCTTGGCCCCCAAGTCTGGATGCATGGGGGCTTGCAGATGGCTTGAAATTACAGGCAGTCATCACTTTTTCAGGCTCATTGGCGTCCCCAGTCTGGTTTTACAGCTGTATCTAGGCCTTGGTCGGGTGGCCATCTCGTTCTCATATATCATCATAAACCGATGGCGACTCACTTCAGTTTCGTTCCTCCGCTAGACCATTCATCCATACTTTGCCATCCGCTCAGTAAATACTACAGCAACCTGAATCACTATGGAATCTCCACGCGATCCATCTGCCTCGGTCAAGCGATCCAGCAAGTCCAACACTAGAAGTTCCAAAGACAGTATTGCCAGACTTGCAGATGATCTTCTTCGTCAATCTCTTACACGCAAGCCTGACGTTGCTGCCCAAGAAGCATCAACGTTGAAGTCTAAGACGCCCAGGTCCTCAGCAAGCGTCACTCGCTCAAGCATATCCAAAGCCAGAGGTTCCTCTGCGGCAGATGAATTGCTCCGCGCCTCTTTGGTTCGTGAGGCTTCAGTTTCTGGACCAAGCGTACCACCTTCCTACCGAACCCATAACAATGTTCCTAGCCCATCTTCAGTAAGCAGGGTTAAGGATAGCTCGACTATCTCGGCTGCCTACAGCAAGAGTCGGCTCTCAGCACTCAAATCAGAAGTTGCGCGTGCCAACGCTGCAGCTCCAGCTTACTCCAAGTCTGACTTGTTTAAAAATTCTTGTTCCACTGATATCCTCTTCCTGCTTGACACAACATACTCTATGAGTAGTTACATCGACACAGCAAAGGATCAAATCCGATCCATCGTCAAAGAGATCAAAGAGGTTTTTCTAAACGAGTCAAATGTGCGCGTCGCAGTGGTTGGATACAAAGACCATGGCGATGAGCCCAACATAGAATTCCTCGACTTCACTCAGTCTGTCACGGAGGTATACAACTTCTTGGCCGGCCTTCAGGCATCTGGTGGTGGAGATATCCCCGAGGATGTTCTGGGTGGTATACAAAAGGCTATCAATGCCTCATGGATGCAACAGACCAGATGTCTGATTCACATCGCCGATGCCCCTCCTCATGGACATGCTCTACATGACTACGAGGAGAGTGATGATGACTACTACAGAACAGCCAGTGAACCCCATGGTCTCACACATGCAAATCTTCTCAGTCGCCTTGTCAAACTCAAGGTCAACTATGCTCTTTTGCGAATCAACTCATCTACCGACCGAATGGCCCTTGAATTTGGCAAATCCTACGGTGGTGGTTTCTCAGGGGGGGACGTAAAGCTCCATGAAAAGAATTCGTACAATATGGCGATTGAGGACTCGCTCATCTTGGCCAAGTCACGGGCTAAGAGAACAGCCACGAGTACTGGGCCTCTGTTCGAAGAACTCCAGCTCGGAACTGGATACACAGCCATCAAGCATTTAGTTGTCAGCACAGTCACGTCTTCAGTATCACGTACAGCGAACCGCTTGACTTTGGCAATGAGGAGCTCAAGCCGCGGTGGCTCGCACATGTTCGGGCGCCCAGAGTTGACCGCTATCTTGGAAGATGGCAGTGTTGCGAGAAGTGTGACCAGCAAAAGCGTTCCTCTTGAGACATCGCCACCGCGCTGGGATACTCCTGGCTGGTTAGACAAGAAGCTAGCCACGGAGGGCTTTTGTTTGGACTTGAGCGTCCATGGAGCTGATACTCTGGATGCAATGTTAGACAACGACGAGAACATCAAGCTTGGACTTGTCAAGCTCGATATCAACGCACGTTCGAAGCCTTTCGCTGAAGGGTCTCTGCGTGTCGCGGCGTATGCTCGCCCAGCTGCAACCACAAGCAAATTCGTTCTCAAGTCATTCAAACACCCTGAACATAGACTAACCAATCTAATTGAGGATATGCGAATGCAAGCACTTTGCAAAGCATTTGCGCTAGAGTTCAACGGGCTTGTCAAGTCTTCGAAGCCTATCGACTTTATTACTACGCTTTGTCTTCAGGACATGTCTCGTGGATCTAAAACAGACGACAATTTGTCGCTGGAGCCGTTCATTGAGGGTGAATACATCAAGTACAACAGCAACGGGGCTTATGTTCTGGAAGATGACAGTAATCCATTCAATGAAATTGCGCAAGCATTCTCACATTTCACATTTGAGCGCTCCTGGGGCCATTTCCTCGTCACGGATCTTCAAGGTGTAGGTAACTCCTTCACTGATCCTGCAATTCAGACTAAAGATCCTGAACGCTTCAAACTCGGCGAAACGAACCTCGGTGAAGAAGGATTCAAGTTCTTCTTCGCCTTACATGAATGCAAAAAGACATGTCGTCAGCTGGGGCTTCTGACAAACAAGGAAATGCTTGTATCTGGCAAGTTCACATTCAGATCAAAATGGCCAGCTATGGATCCGACAGTTTGCTGCTCCAACAAACTATGTCGCAAGATTATCCGACTTGCAACAGCCAACAAATCGTCTGATTATCCTGAGCATAACTGGTGTGATGGGTGTTTCCCGCAACTGAAGCCTACTGAGGCAAAGGTGGCATGTGGGGGATCGAAACATAGTTTTCAGGTCTCAAGGTTCTATCATGAAAGTCAGGGTGAGGTGACGCCGACTGTGTGTGAAGAACATAGGGAGAAGGATACCACTGTTACTAGTGTTGTTGGAGGCGGGTTGTGGGAGACTACTAAGTCGACTGAGAAGAAAGAGATATTAGGAAGATTATGGTAGACTTTTAGGTTATTTATCAAATGAGAATAACTACATTAATACTATATTGAGTATTATTAAATTAGAAAGTATTATAATTGATTAAAAAAAGGTTTAAATTCTGTATATTTGATCGAAAAGTTCATAACTACACTTCCGTGTATCCCAAGGAATCCCTTCAACATAAAACAAGCCTTGATAGCATAACACATTGATCCGATCTAGCACCATCCACAGGATGCCACACATAGGGGATCTATTCTTCAATCATGGCGACGGTTGCATCCGCCTCCACAGCCCATACAACCATTACACGTTACCCCCTTAGCCATCTCAGAACAGCGCGGTGCAGTCTTGATGGTAAACATCTCCCCAGTAGAGCCTCTGTAGCAAGAAAGCCGGCGCTCAGAATTGAATGCCCGGACCATTTCGGGCGCACTACGTCGGACGAAGTCAGCTTCAACCCACGAGGCTTTAGATGCGCGGTATCAGGTCCAATGAATCCAATATTCTTCTCGTTCGCCACCGTTCGGAAGGTAGAAAACGCGGTAGCCCAGAACACAAAAGACGTGACGCTTTCCTATGCCAGTGGCATACTCTCTACTCCCAGAGAGCCGCCAGAAATCGATGACAGCCGGCTCGTTGATCTGTTGTACGCTTTCTTCTCTCAGTATGATGGGTTGCATGTCGGGAAACTTGACTTCGAGGTAGACTGTGTCTGGGTCTTCAACGTAGAAGTTTAGAATCTGCAGATCAGAAGCCGCATGTGTCTCCCGAAAGGGGAGAAGAGAAGGTCGTGGGATTGCTTCACGAATGACGTTGAGGGTCTCCTCATCTTTATTGGTAGACATAGGAGACGGCCAATGGGTACCAGACATCAGGAATGAGTTCCCGATGGAGGAATTGAAGCGCGGGAAGTAATCCTCCCCTGGCTCATCAGTCTCCATCGGTTGAGACGAGAACTGTCTCGGATGAGAAGGATTGTTGGAGACGGTGGGAAGGGGTTGATCTAGAGGAGACACAACCGATTCGCGACGGTGAGAACCTGATAGCCTGGTTAAGATTGCTGAAGGCACCAAACATTAGACAAATGACTTACCATGCAAAGCTATAGAGAAGTCCCATTGCGCAAGAGTCGCTTTGATAGCCTCGGATGACATCTTTCCAGCGGTGATGCGTGTCGAGATTGAGGTTAGGAAGGTTTAACAAGGCAATAACTCCAATAGACTGGAATTGTGAGCCAGGGTAACCCACGTAGAAGAAGAGAGCAGTTGAAGAATTTAAGTCAAGAAAAAGGAACTTATCAAGTCTCATAAGGCAAAGGAAGATGCTCCTCGTGAGTCTTTCTCACTCGTCAATCATGGCAACATGTACATGCAACAGACTGCTGCTTATGGTCCGAGCTGCTCGTGCAATCATTCAATCTGCATGCTTAGCAATAAGAATATGAATTCTTTGTTTCTCATTAATGCAGCATTTGCGGTGAGGACAACGCTAAAGGTGAGATGCCAAACATTTGTTGATGTATAGGTAGGCTTCTTATGAGGACGAAGCGGAAAATCCCATGCGACCACACATCAATTCGAGAGTTTATGTCAATATCCAAGCTAAGAGAAGAAAGGCAACTGGAAAGCAAAACACCACTATAGAAGGACCAAGAAAATATTAGGCGGTGATGAGAAGAAAATGCAACAGAGCACGGCAGTAGAGACTTGGTAGCTGGCTGAGCCGTGGGTAAAATGCAGCAAAGTCTATGTATTTAGACCACCAATAAGGCTAGCCCTATCCCATCACTGGTGCTTTAGACGCCCTCGGGGATTCCAGTCTGGCATTCCCTCTGGGCTTGAACCCCTGTTAGACCCCGTCGACTATTCGTTTTTTTGGAAAAGTTGAGAATCTCCTTTTCACAAGACGCAACTTCATCCTTAGCTGCTTCGTACCGAGCACGACCATAGTCAAGACGCTCCCGAATATCCTTGAGACTCCTCTTCATTTCTCTGGTCGTCCGGCCGCGATGATGTGGGTGTCTCTTTCGGGTGGACTCAGACTGTTTGGTTGAGGTAGTTGCCTTAGCGCAAGGGGCTGTACAGGGGCAAGATTGGTTAGTATTTGAAATCTGACTGCTCAGATTGTTGACTTACTGGTGTTTGGTACTGCTTTGTTTGGGTGGCTGTACAGGCTTGTTTGCTCATTATCGGCAGCATTGACAGGGTAAAGACGCTTGGGCAGAGTATCATGCCGCTCCGGGCGAGAGTGACACTTGCCCATGATCGCTGGGTTTTCGTGACCCTTTATCTTATACGCTAGAAACGGAGTATTCAGTAGGTTTCAAAAGCCAAAAGGGAGTTGTCTCTTGACGGTTGAGAGAGGAATATGTGGTAGCGAAGTCGAAGGAGAAGCAATGTCTTCAGGCACGACGGCCAACGCGTCACATAAGCGTCGTAGCAATCTTTAAAATATTAACTTGGGAGCCTGATTATGAGACCCAATCATTTTTGTTGTCGTTGTTTGAAGCGTCCCGAAAGATGCGTCTATCCGCGGCAAGCTACATGTTTCGGCCCACAGCGAAGCGTCATTTTAACAGTTGCCTCAAGCACTGAGGAATTATTTCGGTTTCTATTTTCATGCCATGATCAAGCTCTCACTCTTGAGGATAGGCTCAATGGCTTCTACCAGGTTTTGCTATGTACCGTTGGTGCATGACGAAGGATAATGTGCCTCAGGTCAAATGATTGCAATACAAAGAATTAATACCCTCTGAACCCAAAGCTTTATCTAGAAATTTTGCCCACCAGTAAACTGGTGATAATGAAGTTGGAAATCCCAAACGAATGCATCTGCCGACATTAAAAGCAGGCCTGGCATGAGTAAGGCCCGCAGATCCAATCCGTGGTTTCTTCGCCTCCTAATCGCTCGCCCTACACCAAAAAGAACAACAGGACACTACCTTCAGTGGAGAAAGAGTCGAAAGAGTTGATCTTACTCAGCAAATCTCTTGGGAGTCTTATATGACTGCTACCTCTGCAGACGCGACATTGATCGCAACTCAGGCGTCGACGAAGTTCCCCGCCTCTTTTCAAGAACTCTAAAGTGTAAGACATTCTGCTCAAGAGGGTCAATTACAGATAGACTACTGAAGGAATAAGGGGAAGCCATTGGCAGTGGGAAGTTGGTCTTGAGAGAAAACATCTGATGGTAACTTGGTGGGAAAGTGTTCAACGTCGGATTTATTGGTTGCCTAGGATTGCTTCTGCGTGCATCCAGTGGTTAGGTAGGGAGATGCCACTAAACCCTCAGCATAAGTAAATACATCATCGAATACTGGCGCTGCCATACAAACGGTGGCGTCAGTTTTCCCTATGGGTGTGCCCAATCAACGCCTTCACTTGAGACCTTGTGTAACTCTAACCCGTGTCTGCCCGGTTAAGTACCTTAAATCTGTTTGTGCTACAGGCATAACGCATTCATAGGAGGTTAACCCCAAAGAAACAGAAAGGTCTGTGACGCCCACTGTTATCTTGGGATCGGCCCTCCATGGTTCAATATCATTGACCGCGCCAGGCAGCAAGAGATACAGCACATATAGCACATATGAATCAACTTCAGACCTCTTTCAGGTCAGAAACTCAAATCAAGCCCTATGAGCGCTCTATACAGACCTTCGACAATGTCTACAATTCAAGCCGCCATGGCCCAGCTCTTACCTGCTGAGCGGCAAGCTCGTGAAGGTAGAGCCCTGTTATCGCTTAACGCCTCTATCAGCCGAACGCTTCTCACTATCGAGCAAGAATGTCAACCAGCTCGTCAACTACGCAAGATTCAGACAGAGATCCGCCGTCATATCCTTGCGACTCTCGTTGACGAGGAAACAGCAGATTCAAATCAAAATACCGCTCAAGGACCAAGTGAACGCGAAGCGTCTCGTGAGGACTTTTTGCCTCATCCCGACACCGTTCTTCCAAGCATCGAGCAGGAATTATACTATGCCCCTGTTACAATAGCCTCATCCACGGTTGGTGGTACACCTGGCGAGGCGCCTGAACGAAAAAGACGTCCAGCTACAGCAATCCTGAATGAGTCAGACGATTTGAACGACCAGTCTCCAACAGCAAAGAAGCGAGCCGCTGACGACGAATTTGACTCAGTCGCTAAACGCCCCAAGACGTGGCTCGGTACAATGACGAGAGGGTTCTTCGCTTGAATGCGATGCAGATGCATGGGCTTAGCATTAGCTGAGATGGTGCCAAGGACAGTGTTTTCAGTGCCTCATGGCTTTGTACGATTTCTTGACTTGAGAGGGACATGATGAGCAGGACATTGGCCGAGCCAAAGGACATTGGCAGCTTTGCTAAGCAATGAATAGAGAGCGACCATCAATCAACACTAATATGTACACTAGAATGGAATATTCATTGGGGTGACCGGTAATATAATCCGCTGGTGATTTCCTTCTGCTATTTTCCATATGTACTGATGCTAACGAGACAGATGAAGCATATGCCCTTTCAGCTATGCACAATGTTTGCTTCAGCAGCCGGAAGCATTTGCATCTCCTCATCGGGTGCCTCTCCCTGATGTCTCTCCCGATAAAAGTTCCTAAAAACATCAACGACCGTGAAAGTCAACGTCACAGCACCAACAATCAAAGTCGCCAACTGGTCCCTTTCACTGACTCTGATTGCCAAATCCGGTATTGTGGTACTGCGGTCCCGATAAATCATCAGCATTGCGGGAACAACCAGTAGACCACCGAAAAACATACAGCCTCCCAGTACTTTGAGAGCTTCCACTGTGTCTTTATGGTTTCTTTCGATCAGGGACCATGCCAGCATGATGATACCGGTAAGGAATGCCAGGCCAATGAATGCGGTGAAGAGGTAGATGATAGTCAGCATTACCGGGAGCATTGCTTCGTAAAGGGCGATGCATAAACTGATTGATATGTCACCCAGACTGAAGTGAAATATTGTGAGCATCAGTGTGATGTAGCCATAAGCTATGTTTACCACCCAACGTGCCGATGGCTTTGGTTTCCAGTTCCGCGCATAGTCGGTATCGACTATGAATCCAATGATGAGAATAAGGAGAAACGGTGTTGCAGAATAGCATATAGCAAGCGGCCCAGTGATATCGATGACACGCTGGCCCAGTTTCACCGTGTCAGGCGGAATGTGACTCAGGTCGAGCTGAGTGGTATTAAAAGGACCAAATAGGTCAAGTTTAACCTCTGGATTGCGCAAACAAAAGATAGCCAGTGCGCGTTTGTCCATGCTTAGCATCCGCATCGACTGCACAACTAAATCCGTCGCGGCAAATACAGGGTATGCCAAAGCTCCTAGGAGATCGCTTGAAAGGCCTGGCTTCTTAGGTCCATCCTCGTCCGCTAGACAGAAAGCCCAACTGGCAAGGACAGAAACGAGAAGCATGTACCAGCAATAGATGGTGCCAGGGCCGTATAGGCCTGTGGCGTTGTTGTAAAACTCTGGGTTGTAGGGGAACAGTCGCCCCGTTTCTTGACGGATGAGACCATCTGTAATTTGTAGTTCTGGGTGGGAGTAGTTGCACAAAGAACTCATGATGCGATGGTGTCAATAGAAAGTACCAGGTTGTGCGAATGTGAAGAATGAGAATGGTTTGGTATATTTGAGTTTTCAAGGCGCTGAATGCCTCGTTGGGCTGAGCTGGGGGTTTGAAAATGCCTTGCAACTTCTTAGCGCCGTGGCTATTCAGGTCTCATGCAGCTCAACGCCATCATCGTGTCAAGTATTCTGAGCTTAAGTATTTAGGCCAAGTGCTTCTTCAAGCTTAAAAGATATGCATACTTGATTACTATTACCATTACTGTATGTTAGCTACCTATATAAAAACTCCCCTCATTACCCAACTCCAAAAGCTGCTGTCTCGGCGTACTAGTCTACAACTGCCAGGGATCCTGCTCAACTGGCACAGATGTCTCGCTTCCATAAATCCTTTCATGTCCAGGTTTCTCACCAAAGCCCCCATTACGTTTGATGCTTCCCGCATTGAACTCAACATCGCTCCCATGTCCCTCGAGAACAAACTCTGTAGAATTCTTCTTCCGACCAGTAATTATACCATTAATCATCGAGAGGAGCGGTTTGAATGTTGGGATACACGCACAGACCAGTGCTGAAGTGACCTCTGCCAAAGCCCAGAGCTGCGGTCTGACGATATCCCATGTACTAAACGACCACGTCTCAACCCATTTTATCCTCACAATAGCAAGCGCGATTGAGCTTTCACCACATGTCAGCACATCAGAAATGCTATTTGAAGGTCACTCACAAGGAGCCAAGCCCAAAGACAGTTGAAAGAGCTATTTTCTGGGATAGGCGGAGGTTGAGCTTCCAAACAACGGGTAGCGGCAAAAGAGCTACTACGAGATCGGTCAAGATGTTGATTGCAGCGCAAACATATGCAAGCTCTAGTCGATTCGTAACGCACTTCATTCGAATATCACGGTTCCATACGGCCTCGAGGGGGGCGCATTGGAGAAAGAATATCAGAATTTGACAGATGTTCCAGAGTGCGACCGCTATTATAGCCCCGAGGCATGCGGATCGCCAGTAAGATAGTGTTACGATCTTGTAGTAGAGGAGAAGAAACGTCATTTTGGCCCAGAATAGGCCCTCTTTGTAGAAGAATGCGGCGATGTATGTGCACTTGGGCTGTTAGCTGGAAGACTTTGAAAGATAGAGATGTAGTCGAACCTTGTAAAACGGTGTCGTCTTGTCCTCTGGCAGCGTTCCAGTAGGGCCGTTCAAGCCGAGTGGTACAACTATAAATCTTAAGCTTATGTTTCTCAAGTATTGGCAATTACGGACGTGTAAGTATACAAGATCCCATTCCTATTATACACAACTGCAGTTAGAGAATGTTAGAATCGCGCTATACTAAAGCGTTTGTGTTTGTCTACTTACCAAAGCCATGACAGCAGCAGCATCGTCCCAATACGAAAATCCAATGATACAACGACACCAAAATCGAAGCGCAACAAACAAAAGTGATACGCATAGAGAGAAAGACACCACCACTATTACCATGACAAGATGGGTATGAGACGACTTGGCAGCTTCTTGTTCGGTGATAGTCATATTGGAAGAGAGCTGAAAGAACTGGTAATCAACAACGCTGGAAACATTTATTTGATGCTGGAAGAGGTTATTAATATTTAGCGTGTAGTTAAGAGTTTCTATAGACTAAGTAAGCCATTGTCGCACTTGTCGTCTTGCTTTCCAATGGACCTGAATCGGTCAGTGACAGCTGGAATGTAAGCCACTTACAGGATGGCTAATTCCCGGTCTTGATCAAGATCTACCGAAGATCCAGGGACAAAGCCTCCTCAAATCGCATGTTTTAGCTAAATAGGGTATCAGACTGTTGATCTTTCCAACAGCTAAGACTTCGTACGTTGAGGCTGTTGAAAAATGGCTTGGGCAAAGCGAACTATCATGTTGGATTCGCCGCGTGGCATTAAGCGCAACGTTAAGTGTTAATCCATTCCATATCAACCCAGCAATCTAGCCAAATGCGTCCTCAAGAACTAACATACACTGTGAGAGATCTGCCCCGTCGTGCGACGTTAAAAATTCTCCATTGGTCATTCTACGCCCACTGATATAACACAGCCTCCGAGACTGGATTCCAGACCGAAGCGGTGTAATAATTGCCCGGCTAGTTAGTCTTTTGTTTCAGCTCCTCGAAAATGATGTCGGTGGCTGATATCAAGTGTCGTCTTATTGGCTACGCTTTCGCAATGCGAAATACGAGCACTCGGCAGTGTGATACCCCAGGCATCCGCAATTACAGGGATAATCATTGGACGAGAACTTACATGCAGTTTTGAAGTTCAATGTATATATCAACGACTCTCGCAGCGGTCTATATCATACTCATAATCATCAGTCTTGGGTCAACTATCCATCAGCATGGCAACTACTACGAAACAAAGATTCCATACTTTGTTCAAGGATGATTCATCAAACGACGACAATAAGATTGAACTCTTCTCCCCCGGCGAATCTCAACAGCATACTGAGATCACGGCATTCAACACTATCTCTCAATCCAATGTCGTTCCTCTGAGAAAGCTGAAACAATGGCCTCGGGCTGTGATATGTCCTGCCTGTCGAGAACTCTCTCTGACCCGAGTTGAGCGCAAGATTTGTGGCGGCACGCAGTGAGTATAAACCCTGAAACATGATATGCTGATAGAAGCTCACTCATAAGTGCCATGGCTGCGTTAATGTTTGCGTGCACGATCGTTGGAGGCCCTCTTGCGTATATCGGGAATCAGTGGAAGAATACTGAGCATTACTGTTGCAGATGCAACCGGAGACTGGCGACTTGGCACTTCAGCTCTGGGACGGAGATTCATGTTTGGTAATTCATGTCGCTGTATCGAAGATAAATGATTTATTGGAACACAGCTCGCTGTTCCTCAAGCCTGTCAATAACTCAATAGCTGATACCCTGTTGGCTTTCTATCCCGAACTTAGATCCCATAGCCTTTTAAATTCGCTTTCACGCTTTAATAACTCCCTCGGATTGTCCCATTCGATAACTCTTCCTCCTCCCATCACAGCAACTCGATCAAAGTCCACAACAGCACCCAGCCGATGCGCAATAGCGACGACCGTACATCCCACAAACTCCTCTTGGACAACCTGTCGTATCAATTGCTCCGACTTGGCATCGACATTGCTGCTCGCCTCGTCGAGAAAAATGATCTTCTTGTTAGCGAGTATCGCTCTGGCAAGGCAAAGAAGTTGGCGTTGACCTTGTGACAGTCGATCCACGTCAAGAATGCTGTCCAGTCCTCCGAGCCTCTCTACAGTATCTTTCATCCTGAGGCGACTGAGAACGGCGAGAATCCTCTCTTCAGGCTGCTCGCCACGAGGAACCAGATTGTCACGAACAGTAGTCTTCTTCATGAAGAACGGATGTTGAGGAACAACTGCCACAGAGGCCCGCACAGTTTGTCGCGGAAGCGTAGTGATGTCAATGCCGTCAAACTTGATGCGAGACTTTGAGTCAACTTCCAACATCCGGAGAAGACAAGCCATCAAGGAGCTTTTGCCACTACCACTCCGTCCAACGACTCCGACCTTGAATCCTGCAGCAATATCCAGAGTGACTCCGTGTAGTACTGGCTCACCCGAAGTAGTGTATGCAGCCGTCAAGTTTTCGATCTGCACATGGCCTTGAGAAGGCCAGCTCTCGGGTGGAGTAGCCACTTCACCCTGAAGATTCTCATTGTCAGTTGTGGAGCAGAACTCCTTAGTACGACTAACAGCACCCAGCGAGGTCTCTAATTGCGTGTAATTCTTGATGAGTTGCGTAAGATATTGCGAAAAGGATGTCACATTGAGGAGGGCCATTGCCACAAACTTCGGCTCGAAGTTGTCTCGAAACTTAACAATGAGAACCATCAATATTGTGGCCAGCGCTGCAACTGCAAGATCAAGGATAACAGCTAGCCAGCGCTGAATACTGAAGAGTAGATAGTATGGACGCTGAGATGCGTCGAGGAACCGAAAGTGTTGTTCCTTGAACTGCTTGACCCAGCCGAAGGATCTCACGCTGGACAAACCTTGAAGGGTGTCAAGGAATTGTGTGAACAGGGGTGAGTTTGCTTGTAGCTCAAGGATTCGAATTTGGCGAGAAGTCCGAAGGTAAAATCTCTGAAGCACTAGTTCAACTGTCAGTGCATGTTAAAAAGGGTGTCAGGGGCGAATCTTACGCCAGCAGAAGAAAGCAAGAGGGGGTAGCGTCGCCACAAAGTATCCAGAGAACACACACATCAGTATAACAGCCATGATGGTGACGCTGGTATCAATGGCCAAGTCAATCAGTGCAAACGGAAGCTCTGTGTCTATGACAGACATATCGCGGCTGAAACGGTTTGTTGTAACGCCAACATCCATCCTCGAGAAGAATGACAACGGAGCATTCATGACTGTTCGAAGTAGCCGGGCATGCAGGACTTCGCTGCTCAAAGGTACCATGATAACAAGGTAATGCACAGCTGCACCCATAATGCCAATTATTGCAAGCCCAGCTAGCATCGCGTAGAGTCCAAGGTAGAAGTTATTGACGCTTTGTTGAGTGATGACAGAATGTCCAGTCCAGAAACTTAGCAACAGCTCAGTCATCTTGTGGGATGCGCCGAATGTTACTGTAAGAGTTACGAATAACAGGACATGCCACTTGGGTACTGTATTGAAATAGTAACCATAAGTAGCAAGTTCTCCCAGTGCTCGGTTGGCAGATTCAGTCTCTTCTTCGGGTCCTTGAGGTGCCGAAGTTGATCCTTCGTTGGCTTTTGAGGACTCGTCATCTTCTTTGACAGCCCCGTTCTGCCGAAGATGCAAACCACTGAAGTAATCAGTGTCATTCTTGAGTTGCTCAAATGTGCCTTGGTGCTGGATTGTGCCATGTTCGCTGAGAGCAACAACGTGGTCTGCATATGCAAGCCGATGAACTAGGGGATATTAGTATCTTCCACTCCGACTGATGACAGCTGAACTCACTGGCGTTGGTCACACAGACGACAGTCATTCCAAGCTCTCTTAGCAGCCCTGCTTCTGAAAAGAGCATCCTGTAAATATGCTCCTCTGTCGAAGCATCTTGTCCCGAAAAGACATCGTCGAGAATAAGCATTCCCGCCTTGGAATAAATGGCCCTTGCGAGTGCAAGTCTCTGGTTCTGACCACCGCTGAGAGAAACGCCTCCGCTGCCCGCTTTCGTGGCGTCCTTGTCAGGCATTTCAACAATGTCCTGCTCAAGTCCACACGCATGAACAACTCTATCGTACCAATCTTTGTGATACGTGGATACACCGAGGATGTTCTGCCGAATCGTCAAGTTCTGGATCCATGGCTTCTGGTCAACAAATGCGATTCGTCGAGCGTCAGTGTAGACAAATCCCTTGTACGGTTGTAACTCGCCCAGCAAGGCCTTCATGAGAGTGCTTTTACCAGATCCTACACTCCCAATCACAAAGGTGAAGTGAGATTTACGGATGGGAAGGGAGATGTTGCTGAGAACTGGTGCTTCAGTCTCTAACCATCCGAAGCTGGCGTCTGAAACGATCATGATAGGTTGGCCAATTGCCACTGATGGTTCGTCGGAGCGATCGAGTAGCTCAATCGATTCTCTATCCTGAACAAAAGCATGCGACCCGAGATTTCGGGCTTCTTGTTGGGCTGGGGTATCGCGGATACTGAGAGGTAACCGGTGATCCTTGCAGCTATCCGATAGCAGAAAGCCTTGCATCCGATCAAAGCATGCCAGCGATGCCTTCATTCCAGGGATGGTTCGGATGAGTGTGGACATAGGGTTTGACAAAAGATAGATAAGCGAAAGCGAAGTATATGCCGAAGCCGTGCTCAAGGGGTTGCCTGTCTCTTGCGATACGACGACATAGGTTGCGAACGTAGCAAGCGGAGATATGGCTTCCATGCTATTTTCTGGAAAGTTAAGTAAGCAGGTGACGTATCTAAAAGTGATTCGCAGGCTTACGGAAAAAGACTCGCCAGCACATCAGTTTACGGAACTTCTTAGACAGGTCCAATTCTCTCACACGTAGACTTTGAACCATGTCGTTTAGAACATCCGTCAAGCCAAGCATCTTCACTTCCTGTAATCCTGATCAGTGACTCAAAGCCGAAAGTCTTTTGACTGAGAACTCACTTTCATCGAGCCTAGCATTGAGGCAGTAACATCAATGCGCGTCTGGATACCACGAACCCACCGCTTTTGGGCGTTTGCGATATATTTAGCTATCATCAAGATGCCAGTGGTCGAGACTAATCCCAAGTTAAAAGTGAACTTGTTAGCACATGGGAAGGCAAACCTATTGCCACAACCATGGGGGCCAGAAATGCCATGCCCAGCTGTCTGTATAGGAGATATAAAGCTACTCCGCACTCGATAGGTGAAGCCCACATCTCGTGTATGCTTGCGAAGCTCAAGCAGATATTTTCGGTGTCGGCGGACATCAGCGTTACAGCAACTGCAATATGTTAGCCGGGTCTCTTGCCTAAGAGTCCAATTTTCTTACTTGATTCGTCAAAAGCCGTGATGCTCAGATCAAGGGTCTTGTCATATATCAGGCTGATCAAGCTACCCCTGACTGCGGTAACAAATCTAGATAATTAGCCTTGGCTTCTCAAATCGCGGAAGTTTGGTCTCACTGATAAGTCATATGCCAATAGAATGCGTTGGCGATCTTTTGACTGTCAGTCTGGATACTACAAGAAACAGGGGCGGGATACAGACCGCAAGTCCAATGAAGACGCAACACCAGGCTCCCGTGAGACCCCATCCAATGGCTTTGTCTTCATCCAGGTTACTAGCAAAACCAATGGTTCTCTGAATAAGGAAAGGCTGTGCGTATTTAAAAGCCATCAAACAAACACGAGATAACATTCCAAGAAGAAAGACTGTCCTAGAAGACCAGATGGTGGACCAAAAGAGAGCGTTACTCTTCATTTGATTCGCTGGACTCTCTGTCAGCTTGTCATATGCCACGCGAATGTGTTATGAACTCACCCCTACGCCATGACTTCTGCACCTGTGCGAACAATCTCTTTGCCAAGAGGCTGTTTTCAACGGCATACCTGGTATCTCATTAGTTGGTTCAGGATCGTGACAGACAAAACAACATACAAATCATGCTCAGTCAAAAAGTTGGAGAATCCTAATTTCATCAAGGGGTTGATCCACCAAAAGACACTACGGCCCAGTATACCGCTCGTCGTCTCAGGTGATAGATCACGGTACTGAACTCTCAATATGGACCTCTTTTCCCATGCTTCAGAGATCAGAATGAGAGCCTTGGCGCTGGTGGCTGCCGTGAATAACCTCGCAACTGCATGCGCTCCATCGAGAAGCCATAGCGTTCTGGCTATAGCACAATCGAAAAGGGAGGTAAAAAGGAGATAGACGTTGATAATCGTTGAAGGTCTTACAGAACGCGTATGTTCGACATAAGACAGTAATGCCAGCAACAGTCCGTTCACAAACACAAGCGCCGCTGCAGCAATTTGGAATTGAGATGTAGGCAGAGGTCCCACGGTCCAGTATGTCAATACCACAAGTTGCAGCCCAGTATAGACGGTGATTAACCCCTGATATATTGTCAGCATTACCTTGACCACGGTCTCAGGTGACAAACCAGTTTGACAAGAAGACGTGAATTCTCGACAATCTTTCTCGGCTCCCTCTTCAGCCATAATAGTCTCTGCGGGGCAAGAACAAAGAATAAAGCGGACGGGACAATCGATAGCATAACATTTTCAAACAGGATAGTAAAATCAAATCTTCCCGAGGCCGAAGGACCAAAATCGGTTTCGGGCAGAACGTTTAGTGAAGAATTAGCATCCATGGCGTTTGTGGCTGAGTCGTTTGTGCATTTTCTCAGCGGGAAAAGGGAGATTCATATCATGATCAAATAAACAAGGTAAGTTGGTTATCTCATGGTAAGATCCAATGACGAAATTGCCTAAATCAGTTGGTGCTTACGTGGGTGACCACGTTTTCATGCGTTATTCAACTGCGGGGAAAGAAGTTGATTGGTTGGTCAACTAAACGATATGACAAACTTGCGCCGTCTTACAGGGAGAAATAGGGAATGATTAACTGCATCTTGTTCGAATTGCAGATGAGATCAATTTTCGATTTAACCAATATTTAAGTCAAAGAAAATTCAAGCTCTTTCGTTGATAATGGATTGATGCTATATTGTTATAGTCCTACAAGCTCTTGTTCTCGAGTCAATAACACTTAAGTTCTACTAAGGCAATTCCAGTCTTGCGCTTCTTCATTGAGACTATACAGAGTTTCGATTGTCATGAACTAATACCTCTCCTAATGGAGACCAATCGAATTCTTTGTAAATTAACCGTAAATATGAGCATATTCAGTTTCTTGGTTTTCATTTGGCGGGATAAGAAGCTAACCGCGTCGAGCTTACAAAAGTTCTTCACCGCGTGTCTGGTTTCGTCACCACCTTACGAAACCTTCACCGAATCATCATGACTCCAAGGGTCAAAGCAGTTTAGCTTAACAACAGTCAACGTCAATTTCTTCAAATTCGTAATCTTACAAATTGGTATATCCTTTAACCACGCTTTTCTTTCTAAAAAAACACATCTCGACTCTACAATCGCTATTTTTCTTCAACGTGTAACCACTTTACTCCTTAACAAGAACGGCTCTGTATCGAACCTTGCCGTCCTTCAGGTCGTGCAGAGCCTTCTCAATACCTTCCTCGTTAAGAGGGTATGTCATAATAGTGGGCTTAATATTCTTCCTGGCAGCGAAGTCAAGAAGCTTGCGAAGGCTGTCGCGAGAGCTGACCAGAGAGCCCTGAACGCGAATACCCTTGAGGGAGAGCTCGGTAAGAGGAACTGGGGTGGATTCCAGAGCGGCAGTAAGAGGGTAGATGACACCGTCGGTATCAATGAGAGGAACGAGGCTATCCTTGTTAGTTATGAAATGAAGTGCTGGTGCAGTGCACATACCTGCTGTAGTCGACATTTCCGCTACCGCAGAGAAGCAAGTGCTTAACGGGCTTGAAGTCCTCGGGAGCCTTGTCTCCAGACTTGAAGACAATAAATTCAGAGGCACCGTAGTCCATGGCCTCCTGCCTCTTGGACTCGGAGGAAGAGAAGACAACGACGTGAGCTCCTTTGGCAGCAGCGAGCTTGATGGCGAGATGGCCTAGGCCACCAATGCCCATGACACCGACTCTATCTTGAGAGCGGAGACCGTACTTGGTCAAAACTGTGTAGACAGTGGCTCCAGCGCAGAGAAGAGGGGCCGCATCAGCGGAGTCATATCCATCAGGAATGGGAGCAACAGTCTTGGAGTCCCAGACAGCGCCGTAGGAGAAAGATCCGTTGTCGGTGTCAGAGAAACCATAAATCTGACGCTCACGGCAGTACTGGTCAAGGTCTGTCACAGAGTCAGTATTGCAAGCACTTCAAAGTGCATTGGGTCCTTACCTGTACAGCAGTTGTCACAAGAGCCGCAGATCTGATGTGTGTATCCGAATCCAACTCTGTCGCCAACCTTGACGTTCTTCACTGAAGATCCAACCTCACGAATAATTCCAACACCCTCGTGACCGAGCACAATTCCACTGGGCTGGTAAAGCTTATCTGTTCCACAAACACCAGAGTGTGTTGTCTCAATGAAGACCTCGTGGTTCTGGAGCTCACGCTCGACGGTGTCAGAGACAATCTTTCCCTCAGGGGTTCCTCGGAAAACCTTGTAAGAGACCATTGTTGCGATGTTATGTAGGGATGTAGAGATTCAGAGACAGAGTTTTGTTTAAAGATGGGGTATATGCTTGGATTAGGAGGGACTTCTTGGTTGGGCTTTATATAGAGAACGGCTGGCGATAGCTACGGTTACATAGGGCTATCGGACCGGCCGGGGCAGTCTTCCTTATCGAGTTGGCCGACCAAGGGAAGCACGGATTGTGGGTTTGACTCTGGAATGAGCCTGAAGAAAGAGGCCGAAGTGGGGATGTTAAAGCTTCTTTTGCCTCGTTGTCGGGGTTAGCGAAGAGTCCGTCATGGACATTTTCGCATTCCAAGTTTTGCATGTTTTGAGATGTTTATTTCCGGCGAGACTAATCTAGTATGTTCTTCAACTTTTGTTGATTTTGCCGCTTCTGTTGCTTCTGTTGCTTCTCTTGGATATTGCGTTAACAATGATGTTTCTTCACCGACATGTCGCTTAATGTCTCCCATTGCTATTAATACCGACTTCGGAAACATCGTTATCTTTATCCGTACTGACCGTTTGTTTCAGGTCCTCGGGTCATTCACGTAACTCGTCCCCAGCTTTGTAATCTCAAAATAAAATTCAACCGTTGAAAATGGATTCTCGGACCGCTCTCGGTGGATGCGGACCCGGTGAAGAGTGGATCACGGCGGAGCCGCTTGCCTCGGCACGGAAGTATTTTCCACGTGTACTAACAGGATCCATGACGGTATTGTTTCTAGAATTCCTGATAGAAGGTTTCGCCGTAGAAATCTTTTTCTCCGATCGGCGGACATGATGTCATGAGGTGAGGTTTTCAGGGTCGTGAATCCTTTCTCTTTCTCGTCAATCTAAGTCGGGATAGGTTTGTTTTATGGTCTTGAGATCTGCATTGAATCATCTCAAGTTCAGTTTGGCTACGCATGAGGCCTGGATCAGTAGTGGGAGGCAGTGCCGGATATGCACCACTAGCAGATAGTCTCCGAAGCTTTGTTCAGGAGTGACGATAAGTTACGATAGACATAGATATCAGGCCATAAGCTATTCTGGTGTCAGGGGTAATTTGAACGATAAGTTACAAGCCAGGTTCAACCGACATCCGGTGACAAGATGCCACGTACAACTTTGCAGCTGCTTTGAGTTGAATTTGCGTTCCGATACCAACGTATCATCATGAGACTTGCTTCGTTGTTCAATGTTCCCGTTACCTTGGTGCACAGCAGCTTTTGAACATAAATACATGGTATCCTGATCACTGTTGAAAATGGTTGCGTCGTCAGGTGATTATTCTGGATTATCTAAGTAGGTACCTAAGGTACATAGCAGGCAATTAGCAATTCTATAATTGTAGTCAAAGAAGAAGTATCAAGTAACGTACATTCCGTTATCATCTTGCATCCTCCCAGTTGCCTGCCCAACAGTGGTAAAGCACATATCTTTGGAGGTAGTCGGACGGTACCTTCCGCCTATCGTTACAGAGATGGAAGAAAGCGTAGTCTAGATTTCGCATGTTAACGACAACTTGCTTCTTTCAACTCATCACCATCGTTCAGAACTACCAGTCATCTTCTCCAATATCGTCAAACTCACTGTCAAGTATCATCCAAATTCAAACAATATGGGCTCTTTACTGTCTCGGCTGACTCAATCGAGCCGCAATGCATCACCTGTTTCTCATGAACTCCCGTTCAAGAAGGAGTTCAATCGGCTTTTAGAGCAGCGCATAGTCATCGATGAGTTAGAGGACACTTTCTGGAAGCACATGTGCTTTCTAGAACTTCGAGTCTGGGACTCCGTCTGTCGATGGCCAGGATGCTCTCTTATCCCTGATGACCAAAAGTTAAGTCGATATTGCATCGCTATTCGCCCCGGGATGTTTTCATTTAATGACGAGGGTGGTAAGCAGCCAATACGGACCTTCATTATACAGTCACTAAGTCATGCAAACAGAGGTTTATCATGTCAGGTGCTTCTGTGAGTTTGCGGATCTATGCCGCCCTCAGCATTTCACCCGCCTTCATCCGTACACGCGTAACACTTGGTTCCGCTGTCACTCCTCCGTGTTTGATGTCCCCAGCCTTCATCTTGTCGACGCTGGTGCCGAACGTCTGTTGCAGGAATAGAAAATGCGCGCGTGGAGCCATTGTACAGGACAGAACTCTGATAGTCTGCCATTGGAAGTTCGGAACTTGTTCTACAATGCCGGTTCAGTCGACTACATTCGTGCGCTTCCTGAGGATCAACAGAAACGGCTCCCCGAAAGAGAGATGGTTCAGCTTGAAAATACCCTGGCACCGAATCAATACCATCGTCCACAGGATTTTGTTGGTCGAATGGAACCCGAATCTTTCAGGGCCATGCTAAAATGCAAACACGACAAGTACGAGTGGAATCTGTTCGAACACTATCTCCACTCTGTCGATTACAACGACCCTCTCAGCCTTTTCAAGATCCTACAAGCATGGGAACGTGACTGTATCAGTATAGCTCCCCTCAGTTGACTCTGATTACTAACTAAAGCTTGTATAGTGTATGATCCACAGTGAAGTCGTCCGGACATAGTATTTTGCCAGGTGGTTGGCCACGTCCCGGCTCAGTCGAATAGTCCCTATCCCGCAGGAGATGGGGTCTTGTTACCTCTGGGGCACCCCTCTGAACTTTTTCCACAGCCTTGAAAGCCCGTTGCACCTGTCTAGTCAACGTAAAAGGTGGCAAAATTGGATAGGGAGTCTTCACTTTCCCATTCGCAGTCTTGTCATCTATATGCTCTTCCTCGTGGCGCTCCACATGTTCCTGAAGTACCTACCTGTAGGCAGTTCACTCAAGGAACTGTGGCCACAACAAAACAGCAATGCAACTGTTGCAACATAATGCATAGGTGGAAAGGTCCGACTTTGGCGGAAAGTAACCCAGCGCGATATTACGGGGTCACCGCTCAGCCAGATGAAATTGGATTGCGAAGGAAGTTTCATGATAGACAATCTGCTTTTACGATATCCAGCTCACTCTAGCGACTCCTTTATTCCCCAATCTTGTGTCACGTTGGCAGCTTCGTTGTTATCTGTCCTTGAAAGTGATATTGTGCCGTTTTGTTTAGATGACCGAGAGCTCAAG